CAGGGCTGTCTGGTTCAGGGCTGTCTGGTTCAGGGCTGTCTGGTTCAGGGCTGTCTGGTTCAGGGCTGTCTGGTTCAGGGCTGTCTGGTTCAGGGATTGAGGAGATGTGGTGATGTTATCCGCCTCAGAATCACATCGACGGACGACGCCATAAGTCGAGATAGGGGAGGCAGAACTTCTGTGCGTTAAGGACGACAACAACAATAGAGGAAGGAGGGCGGCTTCGAGGTACATGCTCTTGCTAATGTCTCGTGAAATGGGTGAAACAAATTCTCAAGATGAAATTCAGTATGCACTCTCACTTGTAATCGACGCCAGGATTGTTTGATAGCGTTGGAGGTTGACACAGACAAGATCTCAACGAAACCGTCCTCCATGGTCGATATAAATCCTTGCATTTTTCGAATGGCGGGCAAGAGAGTCTCGATGTCTGGCTTCGGGCGTGAAGGTTGGCGAGGCTGAGGAAAGGAGGTCGACAAAAGGTTGTTTGTTTACCAGCCCTATCGATAGGAAGGATATACTTTTGCTGTTCAGGTAGCTATCTCTTTCTGACCCGCTTGGAGATCGCTGTGGCTTTCGCTCAGACCCACTGGTGTACGCGTGGATACCGCGTAGGGTGGATTGCGATGGACGCGCAGCTCTTTCCGCGACTCTTGAAATGTGCTTTCTGTAGCCAGGTGTAGATTTCAAAATATTATCTATGTTGTTCAGATCAATAAGAATGTACTTACTATGTGAATGTAGTGGTGGAGGAACAATTGGGTGTAACCACACGAGGACATCTGCTGTCGTGGCCACGCGATCATTGGTACCGAGTACGAGGTACCAATCTGCATAGCCACAGCACCAAAGGAGATCTCGAGTCGAGGCCTGAAACGAGCTGCGGGCCACACAGCCGGCTCTGATCGACGACAACCCGGATTCGCTTATCGGAGAATAATGACCCGCATACCAGCCACTGGTAGGCACCACCAGCCACAGGCTTCTGCCAATAATCCCCACCTTGGATCGTAGCAATGGGGCTCTGTGTACGAGGTGGTGGTTGGGATTCTGCTGGAAGCAGTGGTCCCGACACTGGGGTTGCTGCCGTATTTTGCTGGAGCATGTTTGCGACGACAGGCCATAAGGACCCACAAATTTTGAGAGGCGTCAAGGGCGTGTACGAGTCTCGGATTATCTCGCCTAACACGCCCTGCAGCTCATTTGGTCCTGATAGCAGTCTTTAGTTGGCTGGCATGTCAGTCATACTTATCTTACCGCCATATTATGGAGAGACAAAAGCGAGTGGTTAGGATAAGTGCAGCCCAGTTACCCAGATGGCGCCTCCGTCCGTGTAGTTGTACATGCGTGACGTATCTGTAAGAGTGGACATCGGTTGAGTTATCGAGCTTCATACCTAGGTAGGGTATTCTTTGAGACCAGAATCATGCCGTTCGGACAAGGTCGATGACGAAGTTCACCCATCTCTCCAGCGTCTTGTGCAGTACAGTCGCTTAGCTGGCACGATCTCGACGGGGATAAGAGTGACGACGGTCTGTGCTCGCCAGGATCGCGTGTCTTAGCAATGCTGGCGCCCATAGGGTTTTAAGAGGAGTGCCTTGTCGGAGGTATTGTGAATGGTTGAGATTGGTAATATCATCTCGGCGCCAGTGAGGTCCGAATGGGTGCCAAGGGGGTGCCAAGTCGTACCTCCAAATAATGCAGTGTTTGAGGCTCTCCTCACATTAATAAGTCACTCACATGCACGTGATCTCGGCGTGGTCAGGTCCCGGTGCCAAGACTTCCGGAGTGTGGAGCAGCCGAAACTCGAGGAAGAATGGCTGCTGATTCACCCCGTCACCCCGTGCCTTGAAAGATTAATCTCATCCTGCTAGCCAGGCACCTGGGTAGAGTCCCAAGACGCGCGCCCGCCCCCATAGGACCTCAATCTCAAATGAGCGTCGATTTGGGTACATCAGTTTGTCAGCGATATGCCCTCGCTGGTCGCCCAATGGCACCTTCGGGTGGAGGTACTGCCGACCACCGGACTGAGTACTAGTAGGGAGTATACTTGTACTTAAGGCGCAGACGTTGGATGTCGGTGGTTTGCAATCTATACATCGTCTTCTCAATATCACTCGTGCAGTCATAAGAACCTCCACAATTCGTACTTTGTTCCAAACTTCCTCTCGCCAGCATAACCTCAACATGTCCAAGGCAATCCTGATCACCGGAGCCACTGGCAAACAGGGTGGCTCAGTTATAAACGCACTCCTGCGTGCCAAAGCCGACTTTCAGATTCTCGCTCTGACGCGTAATGCTGAGGGAGTTTCTGCGAAGCGATTGTTGGACAAATCTCCAAAGATCAAGCTGGTGGTCGGCAACATGGACGCTGCCGACAGTATCTTCGCGAAAGCCAAAGAAGCGTCGAATGTCCCGATATGGGGGGTGTTCAGCGTACAGGTATGTATCTTCGGCCCCGAAGTCCATCAACCGAGCTGACTGTGTCTTCGCTCAGACTGCTATTGGAGACGGCGCCAGTGTCCAGTCCGAAGAGCGGCAGGGGAAGGCCCTGATCGATGCCTCCCTCAAGGCCGGGGTCAAACAATTTGTCTATTCGTCTGTCGACCGTGGCGGCTCCTCCAGATCAGACCAAGATCCCACAAACGTTCCTCACTTCGCCAGCAAGTACAATATCGAACAATATCTCTTCGAGAAGACCAAGAACCACGAGATGGATTGGACCATTCTTCGACCGGTGGCCTTTTTTGAGAACCTCGTGCCTGGCTTTTTCGGGCAAGTCTTCACAACGAGCTGGGCTCGGAGTCTGAGGAAAGAACAGAAACTTCAGCTGATCGCGACGAGCGACATCGGGTTCTTTGCCGCCGAGGCGTTTCTGAAGCCGGAGCAGTACAAAAGCACCAAGCTCTCGCTGGCCGGCGACGAACTGACTTACGACCAGTTCAAGAAGATCTTCGAGCAGAAAACCCGCACACCGCTGCCGACCACCTACTTCTTTGTGGCCGCCCTGATTAACTGGATGGTCAAGGACCTTGGATACATGTACACGTGGTTTCATGATGTCGGTTATGGGGCTGATATATCAAGCTTGAAGCAGCTCAATCCGGGTCTGAAGGACTTCAGCACCTGGCTAGAGACTGAGAGTCAGTTCAAGCAGACGTGATGGAGTGCGATAATATATATACCTTTGACTTTGACATAGTTGCGCCACATAGAATTGTCTAAAAATGAAAAAATAATCGGAAGAAGAGAGGCGGACCAGACCTGTCATAGCCGTTTGCAGCGTAGGGAGCTCGAGGTGCAGTAGTACAAGGCAGTTGCTCCCGCCTCGAAGCATTCGGCGCCTCGTCTCTCCGTACTGTGGAGTTGTCGAAAAGCCTTCCACAGCCTCGCCCGCAATATACAGCGCGACGGAATCATCTCATAACAAGACGTTAGGCCTTGGTGTACCATGGCTTCAATGGCCCGGATTCACATTAACATCTTCAACCAAGAATCTGAGTCGTCCATCATCAGAGATTCAAACTCTCGGAGCGAGTTAGCGTCCAAGACCAGATCGTCCCAGTTAGTTCCTGCATATGTGAGAGGGTCGTACGCTGCCTCTACCGAAGCAGTGGCATCAAAGCTCTGTCTTGGCTGCCTGCCAGGTGTTGAAGACGGCGACTGAATAGTACCAGCTCCGAACGCAGTGGTGGCAGGAGGAGGTCCATGCCCGTCTCTCGACATTGCTTGCCTGCTCGGCCGTTCAGGCGTCGCATTCGCAGGAAGCCTCGAGTTTGATAATAATAGCGGAGTAGGTCCTGATCCCCAGTGGGATGCACCCTGATCCTCAGTCGGCGACTGCTGCTCGGGCCAATCGCCAAAGACGCTGTATACCGGCCCATCTTCGCTTCCGCTGTCACATCGCCCATGCCCGTTGATGCACACCTGCTTTTTGTGTAGATACCATAACCTGAGCTTGGAGAACGCCACACCCCAGGTCTTCGCCTGCGGGAGATATCCGTCTTCTGTGATTTGCGAGATCTTGCTCAGCATTGAATCCAGATGTGGCACGGCCGATGCTTGTTCAGAGTGTGTAGCCAGGGTCCTAGCTCTCATCGCCTCTCTGAACGGCGTAAGCTTGATGAGAGCTACGGCTGCATACAGAGTCCACATAAGATAGTGATTCGGCAGCGACCGAGCCAGGCGACGGTCGAGAGACAGGTAAGCGTCAAGCAGTATCTGAGTTGAGTCCAAGCAGCAGCAGATTGAGCTGATATGCTGGGAGCTTAGCGTTATATTGGTCGCATAAAAAGAGCCAGACTCATCGCGTTCAAACGATTTCTGCATGTAGCATCGTAAGGCGACCTGGTGGATACAGATGTTCGCAAAATTCACTGAACACTTTTTCAAATCTAGGGTTATTTAGCATTTACGATCACAAACCACGGCGGCTTTCTTGCAATACTGACGGTCATCGACGAAATTTGACGCTGATGTTTCCCAACTGTGTAAGCGCTCTTGGAACGTCCTAAGCTGGTATTGGACGGTCGAACTGTCAAATTCCCCACATGCTTTCTTGTCTCCTGGGTCGAAAGTGTTTGAGACATTATCTAAGATGACTTGTAGTCGCACAAGGCTGCATAGCAAGGCGTCGGAAGGGGTCAGCACGGAATCTGCCGCCGATAAAACGCTGATACAAGCTTCAAGATTAGACGATGGAGGCATAAGATTTTGCTGGCGGAACAATATCGCATTGCTAGTGTAGAGCGAAGAGATGAGCATCAGCAGAAGACACCAAGGGCAGAGAGATCGAAGTACCTTGATGCGGCATACCAGCACGCCAAATATGCCCGAGCAACCTCCTTTGACCCATCCTTATTAGAATCCGACACAGAGGCAATCAGTCCGACCATACCAAGATCATACAACATATTAATGGCCGCAGAGACAAATTGAGTTGGCAAAACATGGGCAGAGTCCTGGTCATGGACATAGTATTGAGAGTACAAGAGGCACGCTTGGATGAGATCGAGGCTTCGTCTGCCTTGTTCAAAGATCTGCCTGGCTAGCTGGCGTTTCAACTCTTTGACAAGTGGGGACAGGAAAGACGGCAAGATCGAGGCGCTTGCAACGCTCAGAATGGCAAGGAACAGCATCGGTTTAGCCTTCCTGCACTCCCGCATGTTGCTTTCTGAAGGGCATACGATGGGAAAAATTGGACGCATTGAGATGTTCCAATGGTCGAAAAGAACCTCTGCCGTTGGCACATCTAGAAGACCTCGGTCCACGACGTCAAGATTGTCTTGTGCGGAACAATGCCTCCATTGAGATTCGTGGACGCTTTCTAAAGTCGGTAGGGCGAATGGAATTGAGACGTCTCTCGACCTTTCGGACGACACCGACTGTGTTGATGTCCCAGAAACGCTGGAATGTCCTGGCTGGCTCTCTTGCCTCGTCGACAAGGCCTGTGAAAGCGACGCAATCTTGCTCTCAAGCTCGCTGATCTTCTGCGAAGACCTTATTCGCGGCTTTGCTGGTCCTGGTCGGACACATGCGCGAGACTTCTTTAGACAGGCCTCACAAGAATCTAAGCCTCGTTCTCGAATACATCTGGTTTTCGTTGCCCTACACGCCAGGCAGGCGATGGGAGACTTGATACGCTTTTCTTGACGACGCACTTCGGATATGGCAACTTGTTTAGGATCCTGACTCTCATTGTTTTCGATTCCAGCCGCCATAGTAGATTGTATGTAGGACTAACAAACAGTTCGCCTGCGAGAGGAGAAAGTCTGGCTGTTGGCGAACCGAACGCCAGCTCGATGCTAACCGGTGGTCAAGATTGATAGGCTGAACTTGTACCTCGCGGATGCCTTGTACATATGAGGAGTAATTACTAACTTGAAGTCCTTATGAGTGCCAAGAGAGGGCAAAGCGGTATCATTACGGCCCACTGGCACTACCGCCAGGTTCCGCCAGGCTTGCCACTCTTTGAGACTGGGGTCGGAATGCTTTCCCACTGCGCATGGCCTGTACTTGACCACATCCCGTTCATTGGCCGACAATTTGTGCACTGGATGATTCAAATTGTAGATTTATTTTAAGAGCGTGGAATCCCGACACGGTTTTGGAACATGGCAACAGCAGCATTCTATGAGCAGCTCGACCGTTAATCGACTCCGAAAAGCCCATGCTGTAGTTTGTCGCCAATGGAAACTCGATGAGGGATGATTGTAGGATCCGAGCCGATGTCTCAGCACGAGGACCGGAAGACACGGTGCAACGGGCATAGATATCAGCGCAGATGCAGCCCTTGACAAGGCAAGGGCTACGCAACATACTTGCAGGACCGAAGAACTCAACCTTCCGCGAAGACGAGACCTCTCCTCCGAAGCTGACTTCGAGACTGTCGAAGATCACTCAGACGGATGCTCCCAAGAGCAAGCTGCCTGTCTTGGGAAGCACAATGAATTGCGGTTTCCCCTCCGACAACCGGCAGCGCTTTCATGACCCGGGCGAAAAAGGGTGATGATTTCGAGAGGCAGCGGCGCTTTGGGGGCGGCGCAGTCTGGGCAAGTGTTGAGCTTGCTCAGTGTCGATTGATGTATGTTACTTCGTGCTCCGGGGCGGAGAGCCCCGAGAACTCCGTCATGGGATGGTCGATCCGTGTTGACGCATGCTTCAAACGCTCTCCAATGCCACACGGTATGAACTCGGCCGCCACAGAGGCTTTTGTTTGCCACATGCACACCATCTGTATTCACTCATTCTCGACGAAGGAGTTGGCAAGCCTGCCAAAATAAGGCACTTCAAAATGGTCCAGGGTTTCAACGTCTCGGTATGCGTGAAGCGATAGAAAGCCGATTAAGAGCAGGTCGATTGTGAACAACATCCAGGACAGCACCTTTGACCAGGACAAGATCAGATGAAAGAAAAAAATGGCCGAGAAGAGCATGCTAGATTGCCATGCGTGAAACCGCACATAGTCGCTCTTGTGCTCGAACAAGAGGAGAAAAACACCTCCGGCCGGCGGAAGCAGAAGATATGCCAACATGGCTTCATAGTCTACTCTTAACGGCAGGCTTGTCTCGAAAGCCTCCAAGCTCTCGTCCCTGTTTCCTCCAGCGAACGACGGCCCTGTCGAGAAATCATTTGCAAAGTCACTGGGAGGAGGCAGTGGCTGCGCGCCGCCGCTGGCACGAGTTATGGGCTGGATGGGTTTGTTCTGGGGAGGAGGCGACCGGACTCGAGGCGAGTCGATGGAAGTGCGAGGAGGAGGTGAAAGAGCGCGTTCTCTGTGGGTATGATTAATCAACACCCTTCTTGTCTGGCCATCTTCGTCCTCAAGGTCCGTCATGGCAACAACTCACATTTCCGGCGAGGCGTCCTGGTAAGGCGCAAAATTCATTGTTTACTTCTCCGCAGTTAGTCGTGTCTCGGAGTCCAAGGCGCAGACCGTGGTAAGACTGCCAGGAGATACGGTTTGCTCGTACTCTGGGGAATCGAGTGCTCCTGTAGAGGGTCCCTTTTCAAGCGGATAGGGACAATTAGAAGAGAAGTCAACGATGAAGCTTATTTGTGACATAGAATGGTGTTGCTTGCTTCGCGGTTCTAGCAATAAATGGGAAGCTGACGCTCCGGGTGCTCAACTTTGGCGACCGCCTTGTGCCCTTGCTGCTTTTAGAACATCTCTACGAGGTACCCTGTCAAGCCAGTACAACGACAATATTCACAGCCCCTTGTCCATGCTCCATGCTCAATACCTCGTTACTCACCTCCTGTATCTGCTCTCGCTCTTGAATCATTCCTACCTAGGTAACGACTGCACGGTCTTATTTTGTCCTGTCTCCTGACATGGGTCACTGGCTTTCTGTGTCGACCTATTCGCAGCCGCTTCATCAAGTCAGAGATTGACACAAGGTCTTCATTGTTAGCTTCGTGCAATCGATGATAGAAATTCCCGTCATTTGCAAGCCTAGCCACACTTGACTCGAGTCGTAATCTTGTCCGACCGTCGCTATATTGTTCACACACTGTGATCTCTGCAATCAGCTGCGTCGGCGTCGGCGAGCGAGAGCATATCTTTGAGCACCCCCCAATTCGCTTCCAGCAGTGTCCATGCCAACCGGATCTTCGCACATCCGTGTCACCGCAACCCGTAGTGTACGGAGTATATCTGACAGCCCTTCGTGCTTGCGCCTTAACTCAGTGAAAGCGTGCAAGACATGGTCTGCCTTGACCACCCGCCTTGTCATTGATCAGCAGCCGCAAATACGCGGGCCCTGTTCGCTCTTGCTCACTTGCCCTTCATTTCCCTTTGGCCGTCTTACCTACCTAGGTAGGTATAATGGGCGGTCCTCGGAGAACGAGTGCTCTCCATCTTGGCGCAATCCGATCATGGTGAGGACGGGTCGAACGCCATAATTCTGGTTCTGGAGTGAGCTGCGATATCACTTCTGGCGTTGGTTGAACGTCGCGGATCTCTGCGGTGAATCTAAGGGCAATGGCAAAATACCGTGAACCCACTAATAAAAGCGGCAAAGTTCAACCACGGCCTCTTGAGGCTCTGCCAGTAGTCCCTCGCCCAAGTCCTGAGTTGGTTCTTCTGCTGGAATATGTCCCTCGCTTTATACCGCTGGTATTAGCCCCGCCTACCTGCACGTAAGATGAGGATTGTGTGCTTGCAGCGGAGCCTCTTCCAGCTGCGCCCATCCTTCCAGTACCTCGCGAAGTCCCTCTTGTGGGTTTGGTGGCCGTCTCTAGTTTGCGCCTCTCTTCCTCTTGCGCCTGCTTTGCTGCTACTCTCTTCCTCTCCTCCTCTTCGGCTTCTCGTCGATCGGCAGCACGCTGTTTCTCCAGGGCTTCCTCTTCGATATCTTCGATGTCCTGACTGGCGCCTTGCCATGAGGGGTCGAGTATAAGGCGCTGATTGTGTTCTGTCTGAGACAAGATTTTTGTCCATGTATTTAACAGGCTTGAAGCAGCTGAGACAGTGTTGTTCACGGTCTGGTACCCAAGTTAGTGATCAGCAACCACTGTGGGGGAAAAGAGGCTGAATCCTTACTCCCATATTGCTTTTGGCCTTGTGGAGGCTCTGGATAACACCTTCAATGGCCCCGTTAACCTGCCGCACGCTCTGTAGTTCTTGACGCAGGCATTCCTCATATGCTTGTTGTTCCTGGTATGTGTGCTTTGCTGCATTGGCTTGTTTGCTGGGGCCTTCTTGTTCTGCAGGTGCCTGCCAGAGACTAGAATCATCGTCGGGCAAGCCAGGAGAGTCGTGATCCATGATGCAGATGAACAGAAGATGGTTTGAGATCGAATAGGATGTGTTGTGGGCATTGGGCAGAGGTGCGCCCGCAATGGAAATCGCAAACACACAAAGAGCGGCTTTACGCGTGGGGCGCGTCTCCGCTCAGGCACAGCCTGAGGACAGTGAGGAGCAGAGACCCGGCGAGCCGGCACTGGCACCCGGGCCCTGGATGCTTCACTGCCCAGACCGGCAAGCCACTTGGGTGCCACTGGCGCCACTGGCGCCACTGGCTGCGCTGGAAGATGTGCGTGGTGCTGTTCCCAGCCACTCATCTGGCAGCCGCTGTACCAGACAAAGCCCAACCTCCAACAAACTCCTGGACCTCCATCTGGCCTATACCTCGTACTTTACAATGCGGTCACCATATTCTTGTTGGAATTTGTGCTTGCTATACTGCTCCTGACCGAGCTGCCTGACATTTGGGGAGCACACTGGTGCACGACTTGACATCGGCCTTTCACCCCTTCACTGTGAATTAGAGGTCCGGCAGAAATATCCCCAATTGCTTGTGAAGACCACCACTTCACTGCTGCATGTGCGCCGCACAAAATGACTTCAACACCGCCTCTTCAAATCGCATCTACTCCTCAGACTCCTCCGACCCCTTTACATGGCGCCGCTTATGACCGTTCTAATACGTACTCTAATCGACGGTCTACAAGAACAAGCTCTCGAATTGCGTCTGCAAACCTTCACTCCACTCCCGATGGGCGCGAGAAGATTCCTGAAATTGAGGTGCCAGTGACTACTCCGCGCTCATCCAGACAATCAAGGCCCAAAGTGGCTCCTGGTATCCAATCGCCAGAGTCAACACCAAAGCACAAGGCACCCCGTCGTGTCCAAGTCGTCTCTCCTCCATCGCCCGACGGCGACAACCTCCTGTCAACCACCAACAAACCCCCTCCCTCCAAGTCGCACCTTCAACCTCTGGCGTCTTCCTCTACCACAATCTCCGACGGCATGCTTCCGACTCCGGTCAAAACTCCGAGAAAGAAGATGGTTCCCAAAGCAAGCAGGGCTGCCCGTGCGCTATTTCAAGACAACACTACGGGCGCGAACGACTTGGTGGATCTTGAACCGAGCCCTAGAAGGGATCGAAAGAACAAACGCTACAACGGCTTCTCACTCGAAAGCTTTTCCGGAGACAATGGCGACGGCCGCGGGCAGGTCCAGATTTACACCGACTCTCGTGATAGAATTCCTCACGTTGACAACAGCGAATCCAACCCCTTCATAGAGCGAAGCATGAACGGGGAAACTTCGTCTACTCGCAAGATTGCTGGGACTTCCAAGCGCCGCAAGATTAGTGGAGAGCGGAAGAAGCTGGATCCACAAGTCGAAGAGGCCATTGAGAAGGACGACGGCATGGTTTACGTATTGTAAGTTGCACGCTCTTTATCATAAGCTTCAATACTGACTTTCTCAAGCCGTGGCAGGAAAGTCTACCGACGCTTTGATGATGAAGAGGATGAGGAAGAAGATATTGATGCTGGCAATCTCGGTCTTTTGGAGCACACGCCCAAAGGTACAGAAGCCAAGTCCCTCAGAACCCTTACCCGCCGGTCGATCAAGCCCAAACGACTTTTCCAGACTGAAGCGCAGCAAAAAGCACGCGAGGCAGAACAGGAGGAGGAAGCCTTGACTGACATTGAGGAACCGGCCGATCCCAGCGGCGATGCCTCGGCAGCAGCAGGCGACAGCAAATCAAGCGACGTTTCCTCAACTTCAGCGACAAGGAGATCACTTCGCTCAAGTGGTCCAGCGCCCGTGATTCCCACAGAAGCAGAGACCCTAGAAGCCAGCCGTCCTTCAACTCAAAAGGTCAGTCCATTCGATTCTTGGCCCAGACTGAAAAGCGGAGGGCGGGCGGCGGCTAGCACTCCCCGGGGAAAGAAGCGTGGTGCGGCGGATATATTGGAAGACAGTGTTGGGGCCTTAGGTGTTGAAGCCAAAAAATCCAAGACTTGAGATGGTGCATATCAGCGTTGAATGGTGTTGCCTTTTTGTCTCCAGGAAATTCTTCTCGACCGTGGATTACTAGGATTGTATAAGATGAGGTCTTGGACACGATGGCAGTTGCTTTCCAGAAGAGGGATTTCGATCAAGGAGGTGCTGCTTCTACTACCATCAATTTGCGTGCAGGACTTTTGCTATTCTTGGGCTCTTCCTAATGATGTGGATGTGGTGGAATTCCCTGAATGAGATATTTCTACCGAGTACTCCAAGTTTGCTGGCTTTAGCCTATATGTTCAGGGAATCTGCATGGGACCGTCAGTAATTGCGCCTTTGGATCAACCGACTTCTTCAACATGGACCCGCTACCTTTCTTCGTACACATCGCCTGCGACTAGACCTGTGAGCGTGATGTATCTGGCCTGTACTCGAGCCAGGGCACGTGACGAATCGTGCCAAGGCTTCATGCCCAAACAGAGGAAACTCCTGCAGATGACTGGCCGCTGCACTCCAACTCCAGATCCCCATGCAAAGAGGCCAACACCAACACCAAACTCACTCCCTCTCCTCCCCCCGATTGTTCCTGCATCTTCACCTTTCATCAACTATTTCCTTCTTTCACTCACACGTTGTACTCGTCAACTCTTACTGCTTTTAGATTTTGCCTTTTACTCCTCCCTCATACTGTACCTACACGCATTGTCCAACGTGATTGATCTCCCCGCAAACCCTTCTCACCAGCGCCGCCCTTTTCCAAGGTCATGAATGCTTCCCATGATCCTCAGTCCTGCCGCGTCCGGCCCCTCCTCACTTTCGAAGATATCCGCTACTCAGATTCTCCTGCTGCTTGATACCATCAGTGAAAGAGAGGGAAAGGCAAAGTGGGACTCCAAGAGGGAGAAGATACAGCGTCTGCTCGATTCCAACGGCATGGAGGTCTTCGCCCAGTTCTTCAGGCGAACCATCACCCTGAACACCGCCGCCATCTTCCAGGGTGCGAAAGACTTCGATCAAGGGAGCTACAAGTTACTGCGTGAAGAGTTGGACAAGGTCGCTTCAGACCCAGAACAGCCATCCAAGATTGCCGAGGCCATTGACACTTCCAAGGAAGATTCCTTCCGCGACTTTGACCTTGTTGCCTTCATTCAACATTTCTTCGCCGATACTCTTCCTCAAGTCATTCTCGCCGTTGCCTTCACAAAATGCGCTCGAGTCGATCTGAGGACAAAAGCAGAAAATTTCCTCGCCGAGTTCGCTGAAAGCTCCCTGCGCTCACTAACAGATAGGCGCGGTGGGAATGCGCAGACATTCGCTATTGAGAACATCTGCTCCGTGATCGAATACTTTGCCCTAGCCGCCGCAACAACTACGCAGGAGCAGAAGGATGAGCTCTGGCGCGCAGTCATCAGTCGATACAATGGTACCAAACCCGAACAATTCTATGGTGCCTACCAGCTCCTACGTCTCTCAGCTGAAGCTCGAGATATCGCCCGCGGTCTACAACGCCATGGTCCTAAGGCAGTCGCGTCAGAACAGGCCGCGCGAGATTTCCTGGCGTCGTTACCAGCAACCAGTGTCACGGAGCCACAAGTGGCCAATGCTCTCCTGTTCCTTGTTTTCTCCATCAACCAACAATATGATATGTCAAACTTGGTGGAGGCTCTCCGGGCAAAACAGCTGGACTGGAACCTGGTCATTCAAGGATTTGACATCCCAGGTCTTCGCATGCGGAGGAACGATTTCCCAAGGTTATACAGGTCTTTGCTGCATGTGGCACAGGAGGACCCGCATTTCGATGTCCAGAAACTCTGGGGAGGGAGATGGCAGAATCCAGATACGCAGATCCCCTTCCTTGGTGGATTTCTCGCTTCTTCTTCCACAGACCTCCAGGCAACGACAATACCGCGTCTTCGCGAAACCTTACCCGCAGAAGATTTGAACAATTTCTCCCCCGAAATGACGAGATTGATCAGCCCTGAGCTCGATGGTCCATATGTATCCGCCGATGCTTGCCAGGCCATTTTTGAAGTAGTTCTGGGGACTGCTACGGGGCCCGATGGAGAAGATCGACTTGACATATTGCAGGATGTATATCACAATCACCCGGCTATTTTCCTCTTGTTTTTAGCGAGGACAAACGCAAAATCGTGGGTGCAAGAGCAGGAGAAATTCATCGCTGAATGTTTCAGCTTTTTCCTCGAGAAGCAACGGCCAGATTATCGCCCTGTTCTCGAAACACTCGCGTCCCAGTATCCCCAGTACCTGTTTGAACTTTGTCATATTGTCTTTTCGCTCGATCCACGACAAACGGAAGTCATATACGAACGCGCGCAAGAATTTGGGTGGACTGAAGAATTCCTCAAACATTGGTCAAATCCTCTGGCACTTGACATTGCCTGCATGCGAGACAAGATCGATCCAGCATTTGATTTGGACCGGTATCTCTCTGAAGCTGCTGATGGGCAGACAAATCTGGGTATGATTCTCTGCAAGTACCTTAGGATTAAAGCAGACGACGAATTTCGAGTCCAGCGTGGTGAAACCACTCCCCAGTCAATCCCGCTCACCCTCCGAAGTGTGCATACGCTTTTGGAGAAGCTCGAAGACCATCTGGACAATCGCGAGCTGGTTGAGGCCGCGCAGACCACGTGCTTGCAGACATATCCGCGGTTAATGAACTACGGGGCCGGATTTGATGACATACTGGAAAAAAGCAGTGAAGAAAAAGGCAACAAACTCTCAGAGGGTATTGACAAGCAAATGTCGGAACTGTTTGGTCGAATGTATCGATCGGAGTTGTCCATCCGTGACATGGTGAACGAAATGCGGAGATTCAAGACTTCTCGAGATCCAGATCAGCAGGATCTCTTTTGCTGCATCGTCCATGGACTATTCGACGAGTACGTTTGCTACAATGAGTACCCTGAAGATGCGCTCGAGAAAACGGCGCTCCTATTTGGAAGCATCATCAAGTATAAACTGCTCCCATCGATCCCTCGAGACTTTGGCCTTGCTCTCATACTCCGAGCTGTTCGCGATCACGAACCCGATAGCCTCATGCACCGCTTCGGCATCGAGGCACTACTTCAGATCAGCGATCAGCTCTCTGAATGGCCTGGACTGTGCAGTTTACTGCTGCAGGAGCCTTCGCTTCAACATCCAGAAATCCTACAACGAGCTGAAGAAGGACTGCGTGCACAGCAAGCCGCTGGAAACGGTCTCGGTACAAATGGCATATCAAGTGCCCACACAACGAATGGCGATGACTTTGTTGCACTGGACGCAGGCCGTGGCTTTCGAGCTTTGCGTGCCGACCCTCCACCGGCTGCCGCGCATTTTCGAGACCCAGATCAGAAAATCCAAGAGAAAATTCTGTTTGTCATCAACAATCTCTCCAAAGACAATATGGCCAGTAAATTGGCCGACCTGAAAGAGTCGTTCACACCTGAGCACTATCAATGGTTCGCTTCGTACCTGGTGGAACAGCGTGCCAGGTTAGAACCGAATAACCAGGAGATGTACTTCCAGTTTGTCAACATGCTCAATGACAATTTGCTCATGTCAGAGGTCATACGCGAGACCTACGTCAGTATTGTCAAGATCATGAGCGCAGAATCGACAATCAGTTCTGCCACGGAAAGGAGCCACCTAAAAAATCTTGGAGGTTGGCTCGGATCTCTTACTCTCGCGCAGGATAAGCCGATTAAGCACCGAAACATCTATTTCGTTGATCTCCTCGTGGAAGGCTATGAGACTCAGAGACTGATTCTTGTAATACCATTCACGTGCAAAGTCCTGGCTCAAGGCGCCAACTCGATGGTCTTCGTACCCCCAAACCCCTGGTTGATGGAAATAGTGGGAGTTCTCTTGGAACTATACCATTTCGCAGAGCTGAAATTGAACCTCAAGTTCGAGATTGAGGTGCTTTGCAAAGATCTTAAGCTCGACTTCAAGAAGCTTGAACCTGCTACAGTCATTCGAGACCGACCACAGACAGAAGACGATATGGCAAACATTCCTGCGCTACCAGACGGCCTGGAAAACTTTGACGATATGTCCTTGAACGGTGCCATAACCAGGGCTGTTCGCGAACGTCTTTCCGCCCCCGAGATCATGGCCACCCTTCCAAATCTTGAGGACGTGCTCAAGTACCCTCCCACCTCTGGCTCACCTGCAGATCAGGCAATGGTCAAGAGCATCATCTACCGTGCTTTTGACCAAGCCATCCAGGAAATCATTGCACCAGTTGTCGAGCGGTCGATCACCATAGCATCTATCTCTACAGCCCAGCTTGTCACAAAGGACTACGCGCTTGAGCCGGATCCAGAAAAGTACCGCACTGCCGCTAGGCAAATGGTCAAGTCGCTTGCTGGAAGTTTGGCTCTTGTTACGTGCAAGGAGCCACTTCGAATGAGCATCTCCAATTACATTCGCCGTCCTGCCCAGGACGATTTGCCAGAGCATCTTTTGCCTGAAGGAGCCATCCTCATGTGTGTCAATGACAATCTGGACACTGCCTGTTCCTTCGTCGAACAAGCAGCTGAGCAACGTGCCGTAGCAGAAATCGAGCAGGTCATCGAAACCGATCTGGAGGAACGCCGCCGATTCCTTGCCGAAGGGGGAACTCGGGATTTCATCCCCCAGGGAATTAACCGGTGGTCAGCGTGGATTCCCGAGCCCTACAAGCAAACCGTCGGCGGACTTAACGAAGCACAACGGGCTGTCTACGAAGAGTTCGACCGTAGAGTGCACGGAATGAACACTAGCCACCTTCCCAGCGCTTCCGCTGACACTACTGGGCGCCAGATCCCTGACGTACTGCAAGATCCTCTTACGATGCCAAATTTGTCGACACCTGCTGATCAGCCTGCGATTCCCCATCAAAGTCCACTGGTCTCCCAAGAAAGTCGGATGCTCTCTGCAATGCAGCAGCCACGGGTCAACGGCTTCCCTGAGACACTACCACCCCATGAAAGGATCACCATGCTCATCGAAGACATACAAAAGGCTGCTAGAGCATCAGAAGCGACACGGCTGAAAGATCTGGAGAAGAACAGCTCAATCTTCCAAGATTTCCGCCAAATCCTCATCGTGCTCACTTCTTCAACGCGCCCGGCAGCTGATCTTCTGGCCCGGCAGATTGCCGAGAAGATCTGCCACATTTTTGTCACCAAGCCGCCAGAAGGTCCTCTCGAGGCTGAGGTCTTAGCTTTCTTGCTTTCCAAACTATGTCAGCTCTCGGACCTTATTGTGCGCGATGTTCTCAGGTGGATGACAGCTAATGAAGACTTGCTACTGGCCAGCTCCAACGTGGTTGTCGCACTGATCACGGCAGGTTTGATGGAGTTCGCTAGGGTCGATGTCGCGATCGCTGGAGTCATCATGAGTCGAAACATCCACGGGCTCCATGTCCTTGCTGAGATCATGGATCAGACTCTGTTCACCGATGAGCCTACGGCATTGCGAGCGGACTTTGCACATAGTCTCGTTGCAATGGCAGCTTGGGTCAAGGAGAAACCAGATCTTCCTGTTGCTCCAGAAATCAACACAAAGTTGAAGGCTCACGGCATGCCCGAGTTTGTCAGTGTCGAGATTACCGACAAAGCCAAAGCAAAGCAAGACCAAATGCGATACGTGTTCGACGAGTGGGTGGGCATCTTTGAAAGTATTGGTCCAAATGAAAGCACCTGCGCAGCATTCCTGAAAGAACTCCACAAGGAGCAGACGATTAACAGCACTGAGGACCTCACAGAGTTTTTGCGCTTGTGCATTGACTCGTGCATCGAATGCTACGACCGAGAAGCTCAGAGTCCCAGAGGCAGCGTGGACGTGGCTTTCTCGCACGCGGATGCACTTGGTCGGCTAGTGATTATGCTGGTCAAATTTCAAGGAGAGACCAATGGTGCAGTCCGGCTCAGCAAGGCACCCTACCTCGAAACTATTTTGACGATGCTGGTGTTGATTTTGAACCACCACCAGAGCATGCGGGGAGTTGCCTTCCACCAAAGACTTTTCACAAGACTGTTTGCCAATATGCTCTATGAATATTCGGCTGCTCGGTTGGATACGACTGTCGACCACAACGACCTGATGTTTGCCTTTGCCAAGTGCTTCAAATCTCTACAACCATCGTGGTTTCCCGGGTTTACATATGGATGGTACAGTCTCATTGTGCACCGTGTCTTCGTTGCTGGCATGCTGAAGCCAAACAATCAAGAGGGATGGGATACTTACCGCGAGCTCGTCGGCTTCCTGCTCCTTTACATCTCAGAGCTGTCACAGGTGCCTGGTTTCGACCTCCTGAATCTTGACCTATACAAAGGCACATTGAGGAACATTCTCATTCTGCTACACGACTATCCCGAATTCCTGTGTGAAAACCACTCATACTTTTGCTCGCGGATAGCATACGGGATCCCGCAGCTGAGGAACCTGATACTCACGGCCAAACCGTCGGCATACCACGATCTCCCGGACCCCATGACGCCCGGACTCAAGGTCGAACGACTCGAAGAGATGAAGAGGCATCCGATCCTGGCACGGGACTTTGAGACTCCTCTTCAACAGGCGGAGCTCAAAGACATTGTCCTGGGGGCGATTCGGAAATCGGGCGAGCTGGACGGTGCTATCAAGCAAATCAAGCAGGCCCTCCATGATGAGCAGAAGGAGTCCACTGCCATGGCTCCAGCCAAGAGCGTGGAAATTATCAACGCTCTCGTGCCATTCGTCGGGCAGGACGCACTCAGCAATTCCCCGGGGAGATTCGATTCCGGTGCAGCACCGGTGGCCTTCTTCGCGAAGCTTGCTGCCAGCCTAGGCTATGACGGGCGCTACCAACTCCTCAATGCCATTGCAGACCAGATTCGCTATCCCAGTACGCACACTGACTTCTTCTGCAAGGTGATGCTCCACCTTTGGGGGACAGGGAGTGGAGATGAGCAACAGCGCGAACTGCGGGAACAAATATCGCGGGTAGTGTATGAACGGCTGACGGTTGCGCGGCCCCACGTCTGGGGGATGACCATCCTGTTTCTCGAATTGCAGCAGAATAACAGCTACGGCTTCTGGGAGAATCTTGCCCCAGATACGGCCATGCAACAACGCCTGCAACAAGCCATGCGGACGGCCCACTAGCCCCCTAGCAAAGGGGCAATCTCTATGTGGGGGTACATTGATTCGGATTGTGCATATTATGTTGAGAGGTGGAAAGAAATGCAGATGATGATGATGATGATGGGCGAGTGGTCGAGGCGCGACCTTGGTTTGAACAATTCCTATTCTTTGTACACTTGACCTCTCGATTTTGTTGGAGTGATGCCCGAATGGGCATGGCGAGTTGTCGCCTCTGCTACATCATGCATATGAGGGAGCGGTGAGAGGGCATGGAACGGGGGGTGAGTGCACTGGATGGACCTTGGCCTCTATAGGTAATGGAAGGAAAGGGGCTGAACAGGCGAAACGGAGGGCATAATCATAGCATGAAGGGACGACCGGAGTTCTGACGACTGGAAACCACTGCGTCTGGAAAGGGAACCAAAAAGCAAGACTCTTATTTTGTAATGCTCGACTAGTTGGGCAGGAAAGAGGGAGTGTGAGCTGGGCGAGGAGGAACAAGGTTGACTGGGCCGCGTAGGGACCATCTGCAGAGGGAGGCTGTGTGTTGCACCGAGCTGCCCATGGGGTTTCCTGCTTGGTTGAAAACGCACCTGTGGCAACCCGAATCAACATTTTTGTGTAACATAGAAGAGAAGCTTTGGAATGAACGCGAGTGTAGATCGGACAGGTTTGGCGTGGGTTTGTTTGGGGTTCTCGACTCTTGACCTTGGCCACTTGAGTAACGTTTTTCTTGTAGGTAGAGGAAATGAGGGTGACACGAGGCGGTTCGAGCTGAGCAGATGTGAAGGATGAGGCTAGTGTGGTACGAGTAGACGAAGAGGAACTAGTGGTGATACCTAGGTAGAAGGGGGAGTTCAGTTGGTTGTTGGTTGGTTCAACTTGGTCGGCGACTTGAGCCACCCGTGGCTGGTGATTGTGATGGCTGTGATGGCTGTGATCGTGAGAGATGATCGGTGGTGATGGAGATGATGATGATCGGTGTGGTGGTGATGGTGGTGGAAGAAAAGCTAAATCGACAGGGGCAGTGACATCATGCGATCTCTGCCGAGAAATCCAGTGCCCGAATCGTCTTAGCGAAGCAACTAGCTGACGCCCCGGGTGGGTGTTGGGGGCTTGCTAGTGGTTGATAGCGCCAATCAATTGTGGGTGCATCTTCTGTGGCTGTCAGTGGCTGACATCATTTGTCTGATACCTTTTGGTGGGTGCTTGCCCTCAGCTTGCTTTGTCCCGATGTTTATTGTCCCCAGTTCAGCTGCGGTGCGTCAAACTGGGCAACTGGGAAGTTGTGTGCCCAAATGAGGCGCCTCTGATGTCCCCCTCGGGCCCCTCCCCCCTAGAGGACGCTCCCTACATCGCTACTAGGCTGCTGGCGCCCGTCTTGGGGGCCCATCTACGGTACCCATCTGCCCATCTACCCGTGCTGTGGGCATTCACCAAGTCGTCATCTGTGAGCTCATCTCGCTGGAACTGCAGCTCACCACTGGGTGACCACCTCCACCTCCACCGACCAGAGAGTGACTGCGCAGCTGCGCACTCCCTCCCTCGCGTCACTCCATCTCTAACAACAATAATAATCATCACACATCCTCCCTCCCTCCTCTGAAAGCGAATTTCCTTCCTCCTCGACTCCTTTTCTTACTCGCTTACTCCCCACCCCCTCTTTCGTTTGTCTCCCACAAGCGAGATCTCATCTTGCTCGCTTAGGATCAAGCCAATCCCTACCCTTGGCTCTGGCCCAGTTGACGAGGCTGGCATTCCCCTTCATCTGACGACCTCCCAAGTACCGAGTACCTGAGCAATCAACCGCAATGGACGGGGGTACAATCACCCACGTCTTGTATCCTCGACAGGTGTGTATCTCTTCAACCCAGACCCGTGACTCTTCTGACCTTCGATGTACAGTCGCAGGGAGCCAATCGAAATTCAGGCTCTAACTCGCTGTCCGGCATCCTTTCCACTCTCGTCCCTACCTTGGTCATTGCCATCGTCGCCTTTACCGCCTTTCTCATCGTCCGCACTCGCTATAGCCGCGTCTATCGACCAAGAACCGATGACAGACTTTTGGAAAAGGGCTGGACGACCCCTCGCTCCGAGGCGGGCTTCTTTGGCCTCCTGCGTAACTTCTCCTCTCTGCCCGATTCCTATGTTCTGGGTCACAACTCTCTCGATGGCTATCTCTGGCTGCGCCTCCTCAAGGTCTTCATTTTGATGAGTTTGGTCGGCTGCTGCATCACTTGGCCTGTACTGTTTCCGGTCAATGCTACCGGACATGGTGGCCAACAGCAACTCGACATTCTGAGTATGAGTAACGTGGTCAATCCCAATCGCTACTATGCCCATGCCGGCGTTGCGTGCATATATCTAGGATTCATCACCCTCCTGATCGCTCGGGAGAGGCTCAATTTTGTTGGTCTGCGCCGAGCCTACTTTCTCTCTGCGGCCCATGCCCAACGCCTTTCCTCCAGGACCATCTTGGTCATGGGTCTGCCCCACGAATACATGGAGGAGAAGGCTCTGCGCCAGATGTTCGGGCATAGTGTACGCAGAATCTGGCTTCAGACGGACTGCAAGAAGCTCGAGGACGACGTGAAGGAGCGGCGGAAGACAGCCTTGAAATTGGAGGGCGCGGAGATGAAGCTGATCAAACAAGCCAATGCCACGCGCCTGAAAAGTGAAAAGAAGAACAAGACCCCAGAATCTCCCGAAACCACCGGCTTGGAACCCAAACGCTGGATCAACCAAAAGAAGCGCCCGTCACACAGACTGAAGCCTCAGCTCTGGAAGAAGGTGGATACCATCAACTGGTCGCGTGGGAAGCTCGAGGAACTGAATCGCTACATCCCAGAGCAGCAGAACGAGCACCTCGATCTCAAACACAACAAAGTTCCTGCCGCATTCATCGAGTTTGAAAATCAGACTGCTGCTCATAATGCTTACCAGTCAGTCGCACGGGAATCCCGAACCAAATTCTCACCACGATACATTGGCGTCCAGCCCAACGAAGTGGTCTGGAAGAACTTGGGTGTCAGCTACACCTCCCGAAAGTCCAAGATGTTGATTGCAACCATTATCATTTGGGTCATGGTCATCTTCTGGGCCATTCCCGTGGCTTTCGTGGGCGCTCTGTCCAACATCAACTATCTTACGAACAAGGTGCACTTCCTCAGTTTCATCAACCATATCCCAAAGGTCATTTTGGGCCTTGTCACGGGTTTGTTGCCTGTAGTGCTTCTGGCAGTCTTGATGGCTCTTGTCCCCATCTTCTGTGGGCTGCTGGCAAAGTTTGCCGGTGAGCCTACGTTGTCGGCGGTTGAGCTCAAAGTCCAGTCTTGGTACTTTGTCTTCCAGGTGGTCCAAGTGTTCTTGATCACTACGTTCACTTCCAGTACGTTCGATCACTCCAATCTCGTCTGAACCAGAAACAAGCTGACTGTGAAATCAGGTGCTAGTTCCGTGACTACGCAGATCGTCGAGAATCCTGGTTCTGCGCCAAGTTTGCTCGCGACAAATCTACCCAAGGCATCCAACTTCTATATCAGCTACTTCATTCTCACCGGCCTGTCGCAGGCTGCTCTGCAACTGTTGAACATTGTGCCCCTGCTGATGTACTCCATTGTGGGCAAGTTGTTGGACAAGACGCCGCGAAAGCGATACAATCGATTCACCAACATTGCTGGAATGGGCTGGGGCTCGACATATCCCAAGTTTACCCTTCTGGGCGTGATCGCCATATCATATGCGTGCATCGCACCTCTGATCCTGGGATTCGCCACCATTGGATTCTGCCTCCTCTATCTGATGTTCAGATACAATTGGCTCTTCGTCCTGGGCAACAAGGTCGACATGAAGGGCGAGGCATATTCTCGAGGCTTGAAACAGCTCATGACCGGAGTGTACCTCGCAGCTTTTTGTCTGATTGGTCTTTTCGCAATTGGCTGCAGCAAGAGTGCCACTAGCGCGGGTCCGTTGGCCATCATGGTGGTGTTTTTGGTGGTTGTCATCATCTTCCAGGTCTTGTTCGATCGCGCGATCGCTCCAATGGAACAACATATGCCACTGGAACTGCTGAACAGCAACAAGTATAGCACGACGATCATGGAGCAGCTCATCGATGAGCAACATCTCAAACACGAAAACATGGAAGCTGGCTCGTCGGTTCGGGGAGATTCCGTTCCAACGACTGTGGGATTCAACAAAGAGGAAAGTGTTGGTGATACCCCTGGGTCTCATGCTCAATCAAGATCCCCACCGTTCAACTTTTTGAGTCGGCGCATTGAGCCCATGGCTCTCAAATTCTACGAGTCAAACAAGAAGATTATTCCCGAATCGACGGACTCGGAATCGTGGATTCCAGGATATACGTCGGAGGAATATGAACAATCGTATCTCAACCCTGCAATCACGGATCCGAGTCCCGTCATCTGGCTGGCCAAGGACAAATCCGGCGTGAGCGGATTGATGGTTGCCGAGAACAGGGAAGCGGGCATCCAGAGCACTGACGACTACGCCGAGTTGGATGAGAAGAACAAGCTCGTTTGGGGTGAGGAGAAGGTTAAGGAGATGCCATTGTGGCGGAGATTGGTCAGATATTGAACTAGGAATTCTGCGTCCAGCGACCTGTTTGGTGTTACGGACGGTCAGCGGATGGATGGAAGGGATTGTGGAAACAAAAGCAAAGGAAAAGAGGATTGGCAAAAGCAATCACGGTCTTTACGCGCTTAATGGCGCTGTTATGAAATACCCCCGGCTTTGAAGGAATATGGCAGAATAGGTCAGATATGGCTTGCCATGGTAATTGATTCTTCCTTGTAATCTGTTGAGAACCGTTTGCAGTTCAAATTGATGGTGTCCGCATATCGAACATCGACGTCATTTCCCTGTCAAGATTCCGACGCGTCTCGACTGCTGCTCCATAGCAGTTCAGCCTCTACCACCTGTCGAGCTGTTTCTTTCCAATGCGCCATGCTCCAACGTGACTTGGGCCTTGATCCCTGAATGCACAGGACCTTGAAAATCTTGCGAGTGGCATGTTGAAAATGACCACATGAAGCAATATCCCTCTTCAGGGCAACTCATTCTGGGCATGCCCTCAACATGGCAGACCCAGCCTACGACGACGACGAGGACAGCAATGACACCCTCATCCACCGAGTGCTGGTATGTTCTTTTCCGTTGTTGAACGTGCTCGGAACTTCCTCTCACCTCACTGTTGTGCAGTCGCTGGGCCTTACCCCCCTACGAATCTTGACCTCCCGCGCTGCCATCAAAGCCTACCTCTCGACGATCCTCTTTCTGGGCACCTCAACCGTCCTTCTCGCCCTCTCTTCCACCGCCTATGCCTTCTTCTACTACAACTACATACCCCAAATCAGCCTCGAACGCGTTCTGTACCTGCAATACGGCACAGAATTGCCCCCTCACGCGACGGCGGCGCTGGACACAAACGGTGGTGGATTGGTCTCGCAGCAAGCATACAATGTGGAATTGATCCTGGACATGCCGCGCACCCCGACCAACCTGGCAGCGGGGAACTTCATGCTGGATTTGCGACTGTTGGGTTCCAAGGGTGTGCCTGACGCGGTGTCGTCCTGGTTAGGGAATATCACAATGGAGAACGTGCTCTATCACTCCCGCCGACCGGCCATCTTACCCTACGCGTCTCCCATCTTGTCGCTCAGCCACACGGTTCTACATCTGCCCTGGCACCTGCTCAACCTGCGCGACCTGGACCGGTCTCACCTGGTCGTGCCCATGTTCGAGATGCTGGCTTTTCCCAGAGGTGCGAGAAATGTGCCCACCCACGCCCGACTCGAGTTGCAAGCTGGCAGCAGTGTTCTACAGGTGTACGACGTCAAGTTGGCATTTCGGGCCAAATTTCAGGGCATGAGGTACTGGATCTACAATTATAGAGTTACGGCGTTTCTGGTTTTTACAGCCGTGTTTTATGGCGTTAGCGTTATAAGTATGGCGTTGGGGTGGGCTGTGATTTCGCACGCGTTTTCCGCTGATGGGGCCGGCCAGAAGAGGATCAAATTGGAAGGGCGAGATGGGATGACGCCGATCAAGACCGAACACGAGTCGTCCTCTGGCGCTGCGGCCGCCAAAGTCAAGACGGAAGAAGACGAGGCCGGCGAGTCGTCCGGTCCGCACGGTGGCGGTTTGTCATTGTCCAACATCTCCGACACGCCGACACAGTTTCCCACAGGGAGAGGCCGACCGCCGTTGTCTTATCCCGGGCGTTCGACACCTGCGGCAGAAGCATCAAGAGAAAATGTGGAGGCGGAAGAAGATCGTCTGAGAAGACCCATCGGACCAGGCGAGGCGGCGGATGATGAAGACGAGGGAGAGGACTTTGGACCTCTTGAGGAAGACAGAGACGGTCGTGGGAGAGGGAGGGAAGGAGATTCTGGGATTGGGACGAGTATGGAGAGCGAGCATGTTGGCACCGGTGTTGTCCGGAGGAGGAGTTCGAGGGGGTTAGGGAAGAGATCCTCGTAGATGGTGGTGAGTGAGCGGGAAAGAGTTTCATGACTTGTTCAATTTGTATGGATATACCCCAGAGCACAGGATTGTTTCAACCACCTGACCACGATCTGTTACTGTCTTGTCTTGTCTTGTCTATCGATGTCTATTTGCTCCGGCCTGAGACTCGCCGGGTTCTGTTTAACGAACCGCCATCTTTCTAGTCTTTCAGGATACTCCACGAATTTCACATCCCAGCTAAAACCGTCTTCGCAAGGCTTCACATACCATATGTTTTATTTAGAGCTCTCGGAAGACGCAGCAGCAAAGCCCACTGGCTTGAACTCGTTTTGACTCCCCTTGTCACAACTTGGCCTTCCTTGAGGGCGGCTCCCTCTCCAGATCCACGAACCGCTCATACTCGCGCAAACACTCTGGATTCCTTACCGTCGAACTCACCTGCACCTTCTGCCCACTAATCACCCTCTTGACCGCCACCTCGACTTTTTTCCCGTTCACCGTGTAAGGGATGTCCCGCACCCTCTCGACGAACTTGGGCACGTGTCGGGGACTCAAGCCCTCGCGCACGGCGGCCTTCAACTGCGCCACGAGTTGTGGGGTGAAGTGGTGTTCGTGGCCGGGGGACATGACGACGAAGAGGAAGACGGTTTCGTCCTGGTCGGTGGCGCGGCGGCGGGAGACGCACAGCGTGTCGCTGATCAGGGTGTTGAATTGGGGGCCTTCGACGATGTTGTAGATCTCGGAGGAACCGAAGCGGATGCCGCTCGGGTTCAGCACGCCGTCACTCCTCCCCAGGATTTGGAGGCCGCGGGTGACGGGGTTCATGACGATGAAGTCGTGTTGGGCCCAGACGTCCAAATACTCATCCTCTCCCCCTCCGGCAGTTGCGGCGCTATCTTTTGTGGCCACCGGGAACTTTTCAAAATACGCCTCCCGGTACTTCTTATGGTCCTTGGTGTCGCCCCAGAACCGGCACGGCATGCTGGGAAACGGTTTCCGGCACACGAGTTCCCCCGGACGGCCCTCCTCGGCGCACGACTTCCCCGTGTTGCTGTCGAGAATGTCGCAGTCGTGGCCCAGCGCCCACATCTGCATCTCGTTCGCGTACACGGGGCCCGCGGGGTTGGTGGCGATCCAGGACGAGGCGATGTCTGTCCCGCCGGCGACTGAGGACAGGTGGATCCGCGGCGGGAACGCGCGGTAGAACCAGTGGAATTGCTCGCCCGTGAGAGTGGCGCCGGTGGTGGTTATCAGTTGCAGGGAAGACAGGTCGAACGATTGCGGGTTGATGGAGGATTGTTCCAGTTCGAGGAGGTACCGGGGCGATGTGCCCCAGTACGTGGCGCGATATTGGGCCACGATGCGCAGCATGGTCGACGGGTCCGGGTGCAGCGCGCCCCCGTCGTAGCAGATGACCTTGCTGCCCACGGAGAGGTGGCCGTTCATGACGTTCCACAGAATCCAGCTCGTGGATGAGTACTGGAATACCGTCGACCGGGGACCCAACCCGTTGTGGAGCAGGGAGATCTTCTTGTAGTTGAGGATCGAGACGTGTGGCGACACGATGCATTTCGGTTCACCGGTCGTGCCGGAGCTGTACACGATCACTAGCGGATGGTCTGTCGGTACGCGCTTGTAGCTCAATTTGTCCCCCGCCCGGGCGGCAGTCAGGAACTCGTGTAGTGAGACGGCCCCCGCCACGGGAGTGATGTAGTCCATATGTCGCTGCCGGTGCGGGCGGTGGGTGGTGGGCACAAACACCAGCCGCGGCTTCGCTTTTGCGGCCGGGAGTGCTTTCAGGATCTGCATGACTTTCCCCAGCATGGACGGCCGCGTACCGCGCACGGCGACGTCGACGTCCGCAAAAAGCCATTTTGGCTCGACCTGCGCGAAGCGACTCACACAGCCCGACACGCCCAGGTCGGGGCTCACGGAGGTGAAGATGGCGCCCATGGACGCACTGGCCAGGAACAGCACGACGATCCACACCGAGTTGGCCATCAGTCCCGCAATCACGTCGCCCTGTTTGATACCTCTCCTCGCCATGGCCGATCTTGCTAGACGTACCAGCTCCGTCAATTCCGCCCAGGTGACCTCCTCGGGATCATCGAGACGGTTCTCACGCAAGCCCACCAGCGCAACGGCATCGGGATTGTTGCGCGTGTTGGGCACCAGCACGTTCTCGGCGTAATTGAGCTTCAATCCTGGAAAAAAAGTCGGGATGTCGCGCAGCCGTAGGCTCGGGTCGTAGGCCAGTTTGGTGTGCTTGGGCAGGGGTGGCACGATCCCGCAGTACGTGTACAGGTCGATCCAGAACTGGTGCGGGTTTTGCACCGTCCAGCTGTGCAGGTCGTGCGAGTTGCGGAGTGATTGTGAGAATTTGGCGTTGACGTGGTGTCGGTATTGAGACATCGGTGGTGCCTCCGGGTCCGGGGGCGTCCATAGCGGCGTTGGTGGGGAGGACGTGCCGTTGCTGTTTGAACTTGCACTGGACGATGGCCCTGCTGGATTGCTAGGTGGTGATGATCCCCACTTGATCTCGTCCCGATACTGCTTGGAGCAGTACTCGAGTGGCAGTCCGACTGCGTTGTAGTATGCTGCTGGTGAAGACGGCATCGTCGAGTTCGACCACCTGCAAGAGACCCTTTCGCTCTCCTTTGTGGGTGGCCACAACTTGCAATGTGTCGTTTCCGTGCCGACCTACCGGTAACGAAAAGGAGGTGAGATGGGTAGTCGAGGTGTCGAGTACTAGTCGGGTGTGGAGGGTCGTCGTGTCAATGCCCCAGATTTGTCCTAAACAGCCAGAAATGCCCCCAAACAATCAGATCCGTCAATTCAATATAATCCAGATCCGTCCAATCTATGTATATTGTATTTTTGTCTGGTCTCGTGTCTCGTTTCGTGACGTTGTGTAAAGTAACTTCAGTCGTCGAGCAAAGTATATATCCTGGAGTCCTGCTTCTGTTCCTGTTTCTGTTTCTGTTTCTGTCTTTGTTTTTCCGTCTCTGCTCCTTCACCCCTCTTCAGGAAACGAGAAACAAAAAAACCAAAAAGGAAAAGAGTGGGATTTGAAGAGAGAATGTCCTACTTCTGTTGTACCTTGAATGTAACCAGGTAGGTAAAGTTTTGTAGGCCGAGTATTCGGCGAGAAGAAAGGGTAACGAAGAGGAGGAAGACGGAAGGGAGTGAAGCGACGGTACGGATAGTAGCCCGAGTCGCAAACGCATATCCGATTATTTTGTTGGAGAGAGCCTCGGCAATTGATGGATGCGTGGCAAGCAAGGCTGAGCGTGGGAGGAGCGGGATGTGGGCGAGTGAGGGGGGCAAGGCTGCGGATGGGAATGGGATGAGGCTACAAGGCTGAACCACGACTGTGCATGGGGTATCACTGGTATGCACCTCATCATCATCGCCTCGAGGTATCTACGTAGCTATGCATCAGGAAAAAGAAGCCATACAGTGATAGGCACGAGTCTAGAAGCCTTGCTTCCTAGGCAGAAGTCCATGCGAGCCATGAGATTAGCTGTCAATCTTCATGGTTGGAATCTGTTCTTCATCTGTGACATCTCAAACCAACCACCACGGTCGCGTCCTGTCTATCTATCCCCCACTGTTGCAGCCGATCCTGACTCCCGAACCATGCGATCAATCACTTCCTCCACCTCCACTTGCTGATTTCCACCTCCGGCAACCTCAGCGCCAAACTGCTCGTCACAACACTGACACTGCTCGCCGCCATTGCTATACTCGCCCAGACCGGGCTAAATCTCCACCCAGCGTGGTGGTCGTTCGCTCCGATAGCAAAAAACACCCCTGCCGCGACGGGAACCAAGCACAGATTGTACACCGCTGCCCAGCCAAAGTTCAACTTGACCCGTAAAAACACCCGCTTAGCAAGTTTGACAAGCGCGAGGATAGTGTTGAGGTCGGAATTGAGCAGGATGAACGATGCGGTGGTTATTGCCACGTCCGAGCCGGAAGAGAGCGCAATTGAGACATCCGCCGCGGACAGAGCAGGAGTATCATTCGTGCCGTCTCCCACGAACGCAATGATCTTGCGCCTGCCCTTGGGCCCTGAGGGCTCGCCCGAGGATATCCCTTGCAGTTCGCGGATGTAGCTGGCTTTATCCTGTGGAAGAACACCTGCACGCACATTGCTAGCTGGAATTCCAAGCTGGGAAGCGATAGCCAGGGCTGTAGTCCGATTGTCTCCCGTGCACATGTGAATGTCGAGTCCTGCGCTGCGTATTGACTGAAGGACTTGAGGGGCCTCAGAACGGATCGGGTCTGCAATGGCAAAGACAGCCAAAGCTCGGTAAGACGACGGTGACTTGGCTTTCTCAGCGTCTTCAGGTACCTCCCGGAAGGCAAAGATGGCGGTGGAATGACCCAGGGATTGGTGCTTCCCGAGTATTGGAGTGAGATAGTAGTCCTCCCCTTTGATTGTCACACTCGCCTCATCCTTCTTCGTCGGCAAACCAGACTCCGCACTTTCGGGAGCACAAATGCTCTGTAAAAGTCTCTCGTTTCCAAGAGCAATCTCGTATCGCGACGTAGAGGAATTGCCTCTCACCAGAAATCTACCCGTCATTCCCTGCCCGGGCACCTCTTTGATCTCCTCCTGCTCAATGGAAACACTTGTCGAGTTCTCCGCACAATAGCTTGCAATGGCCTTTGCGATTGGATGCGTACTTGACTCTTCCAACATGCGAGACGATGCCAGGATGACGCTATCATCAAGTGCCGCATCACGGCCGTGGCTGCTGATCACTTCAAAGTCGGTGACTCGCATTTGACCCTCAGTCAATGTGCCTGTCTTGTCAAAGACAATAGCGTTCAATTTCGACGCCTCCTGGAATGCTTCGCCACCTCCTTGGACAAGGACGCCATGTTTCGCGGCCAACCCGCCACCAACAAAGAGTGCAGTAGGCGCAGCAAGACCAATGCCGCATGGGCAGGCGACCACGAAGACGGCGATGGCAAATTCAAGAGACCAGAAAGGCCACCCTCCTCGGCTCACGTCAAGCCATGCCTGAGGGAGAGCTCCGGACAAGCCCAGACCCATCCAGATTACCCAAGTTATGATGGCAATGAGTGTGATCACTGGGACGAAATATCCTGTGAGAATGTCTGCAATACGTTCAATGGGGGCTCTTTTCGCCTGGCCTTCACGAACGACGTTGACAATGCGGTCCAGCATGGATGTTCCCCCAACGCCAGTCACTCTGATCCGTACAGGGTCGGACACGTTCACAGATCCTGTAAAAACTTCGTCGCCATAAGTCTTGGTGACCGGCTTCGATTCTCCAGTGAGGGAGCTCTCATCAAACAGAAATGTGCCTTGATTATCAATGATGCCATCGGTTGGGGGAGACGTCCCGTGAGGGATCTGAACGAGATCTCCTGTTTCCAGCTGATCGACGGGAATGGTTTCGGTACTACTGGACGCTTTGCCGTTCGCGTCATCCATGACAAGGAGTGCAGTTGAAGGCCTGAGGTTGCTGAGCATTGCAACAGCATCACCGGTCTTGGTCTTGCTGTAGGCTTCCAAGAAGCGACCGATCAGGATGAAGAAGGTAAGGAATGTCACGGTGTCGAAATAGGTATCCGATGAATGATGATGCCTCGTATCCGGCGATTTGGTCGTAGCATCCATAATCAGGACAGCCAACGACGAGAAATAGGCCACCGAAGCACCAGCACTAATCAACAGATTCATGCTGCCAAAGCGGTAAAACCGACGCAGAATGGGTATTTTGCTGTTTGGCCTCCACATTGCTTTGATCTCCTTGAACGCGCGGACATGGAAGAGATCTGTGCCGAAAAACATGACCGGTGTGGTCATGAAGAAAAGGGCCCACTCTATGCGCATGGCTTGTCCAGCTAGGATGGGCTGTTCCCACCATCGCCTCGTTGGATTGGATTCGGGAACCAAGCTCATGTACACCACCCCAATGATCAATGTGGGAATAGCGACTATGCCACTGAACAGCAGCCGCCAAAGAATGTATTTCATCTCTTTCCGCTGTAGTCGTCGTGATCGCTCTTCCAGCGTTGGCGGGTGATACACGCTCGCCTTTAGAGCCTCATGTGAAGCATCGATTGCGGCGATGAAGCTACGTATGTTGAGTTGAGGTGAGGACCGGTAGGTAACGGTAATGACGGGATCCTTTAAAGTGGGCAGTTGAGTAATGGTGTACATCGATCCGCTGGCAGTTGACAATGCAGATTGGATGGCAGTTCTAATATTCTCGGGACAATGCTCACAGTACATGCCGTCGATCCTGAGTTGCACTGTTCTTTCTTCTTTGGGGGCCTGGGTGGATTTGGCGGTACCCTCCAGTTTAACAACGGTCGCATCATAACCCAGATCGTCAATTTTCTCCAGTATTGCTTCGAGATGCTGCTTTCCGCTGAAGGTGATATCGCCGCGATTCCCGACAAGGTCAATATTGACATCTTGGATGAAGGGTAGCTCCTTGAGTCCTCTGGTGATCGTTCCTACACAACTTCCGCAGGTCATTCCCTCAATACTGAGCGTGACTTTATGATCCTCATCACTACCTTCTGACGGCGGCTTTTCTTGCACTGACGGACGTATGTCGTCAATTACAGCTTCATAGCCCAAGTCTTCGATCGTTTCAATGAGTTTTTCCGAGTTGCCTTTGGGACCATGGTACATCACCCTTGCGTTGTCCGTCATCAGATTGACATTTGCCGAATCCACAAAATCCAAACTCTCAAGCCCTTTGGTGATTGTACTTGTGCAAGACGCGCAAGTCATACCGCCAATCGACACGGTCGCAACATAGTCGGAAGGTACAGTTTCTTCTCCTGCGCTGTCGACATGTTTGTTCGACAGCTTGTCTTCAGCCAGTGTGTCACCTGAAACTGCGGCCTCCTCGTCGGTTGGGGTCTTCCTTGGAAGGGCTTGTCGGCGCAGCCGTGTAACAGAAGCCCATGTCAATCTTGGTCTTGATGTTTGTCCTTTCTCACGTTGACATGCCTTGCAATTCTCAATGTGCTTGCGTTGAGCACGAGACATGAGCCAGCGGTACCGCGAGAGCCGGCCGTTGATGGGACTTGGTGACACATCGGAGTCGTGAGACTGAACACCGTCGGGTCGGATGGTTGTGACATGCTGGACTTCGAAAGCTGCCTTGATTAGCTCACTGACAATGACTTCTCGGGTCGAGTCCTGTGCATGTTTGACACGAATGACTTGGTCAATGAGCGAGGTTTGGATGGACTGGATTCCGGGGATTCCATGGAGAGTATCTTGAACATATGACACGCACGATGGGCAGTGGATGTTTGACACTAAGAACGTAGATGTGTAGGCCATGGCTGAGGAAAGGAGGAAAGAGATGGGCAACACTCAAGGCGTCTCGTTGGGTTGGAAAGCGGTAGGCAAGACAAGGACTTGGAGTAGAATGAGATGAGATGTAACAGAGCAAAGTGACACAAAAGGAAACATGTTGAAGCTTCTCAGTCTTTATTGTCCCACATTGTATTGAGGAGTTTGTGCGTAGAGCAATACGCGAATTTCACTCGAAACTATCAGGTAGATCCAATATCGCATTGAGTCGATGATAGGTTGAGGAAGTCGTGGATCATGCGAGGAGATGATGGCAGGATGCGCGGATTGTGCGTGAAATGACGACCAAGTAGGGAAGTTTGCCGCAGGCATTGCGCAGTCTGGACACCCATAGAACGAGGGTGGGATGGTCACGTGGAAGCTGACATAGTATTCATGATCACGTGCACTTTGCTCCCAACATCACGTGTGGACATCAATCCTGCGACCTCATCAGCGCTCATCCTCAAACCCGTCCTTTTCTTCTCGAACTTGACATTCCCTCACCAGCAAACCAGGCTTGAAGCTACATTGCTAAAATTCTGTCGTTGAGATTGACAAATTGCCCGTCATGGGGCTGATGCAGTCTTGACGCAGGACGAGGCTGCTGTGTTTCCATCCTGCTCCCTTGCTTCTTCCAATCAAAGCCCACAACCCACCATCGAACTGAACCCTTAACGAAGGACGGCCTCAGCTGGCATGGCTTCCCCACCAAGAAGTTCCTTGGCTCCTTCCGATGCCTCGAACGATCCCCGGAGTCATGTCTTCCTTATGGATGACAGAGAACACCACAGCAAGTCGTCTACGCAATCCAACGATTTCAATATACCTCCTGCTGTTCCCACCCTCAGTTTTAGTGTCACATACGACACTCTGAATCACGGCGTCGAGTTGTTGGACCCCCACCGAGCTTCCAATCAGTATCCGCCCCAACTGAACTTCAATCCAACATCTCACCCAGGCTCGGGCCCTCGCCGGGGATCATTCTCAGATATCTTACCTCACGGTCACACTCCGCCTCCGCCTATCAATGCAGGCATGCCCACTGTGCAAGCTGGCAGGCCGGACCTTCCCACAGGCGTCAACGCCGGAGTAGACGATGTGCAGACCGATAGCGACCCTGAATTTCGATATTCCGTACCATCCTTGAGTATGAATCAGACTCAGACTCCCTCTTCTGTTACTAACGCCGACGACGCCGACAAGGACACAGTTGTTATTGTTGGCGGGGTTGCGACATCCGGTATTGCTAGGGAAGGGAGTACACCGACAGCAGGGGTTAGTCAAAGCGCTGTGCCTGGCAGAAACAAGCAATATGTCCTCCCCAACGGTGCAGTGGTCTCTGGTAAGGGTCTAGGTCGAGGCAGACCGGGCATCAAACGGGGGCCTCGAAGCACCAAGGCTGCAGGTGGTGACCAAAACTTACCCCAAGTGGTACCGGCAAACGCTACGGACCAGCCTTCTTACCACTTTGTACCTCCTAGCAAGAAAAGAAAGAGTGGTGCTTCCGACACTTCAGAGTCTAATAATCAGCGTGCGTCGACTTCGGCATCGACGGCCACCCCATCCAGAGAGAGCTCAGAAGAATACACTCCGTCTGGACAGACTCGATCCGGAAGGCAAATACAAAAGCTCATCACCCTTCGCGACGGTACTCCTGTGCAGGCGAGTCCATCAAGGAAACTATCTCGCAACAATTCTACCGCCAATACAATGTCCAATTCCCCCGCCTCCATAAAAACCCACCCAAAGATCAAACGCAGGGTGTATCGCGGACGTGAGCAGTTTGCGCTTTGTGAGCATTGTATGCGTGGACATGGTCCTCCCGGAAACGTGATTGTCTTCTGTGATGCATGCAACAAGTGCTGGCATCAACGTTGCCATGAACCACAGATCTCTCCGCACACGGTAGCTGACTCCAAAGCCGAATGGTTCTGCTCTGAATGTGACCGAATTCTACACGGCAAAAAGAAGGACAAGAAGGCAAATGGGAAGACGAGTGTCCAAGCCACAATCGTGGCACCTCCTATCGTCCAGCAGAAACCCACATTTACAGGGCCACGAGTAGGAGGTCGTTTCCTCCGACCCGAGCAAAAGGAAGCCTACCTCAAGACCCTTTCCAGGGATGATCTCTTGTTGTTAGTTCTGCATGCATCAGACCTGGCACCGGACTTGCCTTTGTTCCAAACACTAGCACCACCGCCTCCTCCTCCTCCTCCTCCTCCTCCACAATTGGCGATGCCACAGGCGCAGTTCACTTCTACCTACGTGACACCGGTCTCGAAGGTGCCTTCGTTTGGGGCCAACGAAGTGGGTGAGGACAACGAGGTAGATGAAGGCTACGATGGATACTTTGATGAGCATGCCGCCTTGTATCCCAAGCCTGGAAATGGAGTGCAATTGCCGCCAGAGAGCGAGGATTTACATATTTTGCTGGAGGGTAAAGACTGCAGAACTTTTAGTCACTGGGTGCAAGGGATGCCCGGGAATCTGTTCAGCGGGTCGGGTAATGTCTCTTCGACAATATACTGAGGCTCGAGACAGGCTCTGTTGAGTAGAATCCAGGAATTGATCTAATACGTCTCAGGTGTCTTGAAGTCCTATTGTCCCAATAATCTCACAATGAATATTTCGGATATTTTTTCCGTAATTCGCTATACTTGCCCGCTGTGTCGAAGTTTGTCTCACGTCCATCGTCTGGCTTCAGTTTCGCCCTGATATCCATCTTGCTTCCCTCAGGCATGATTGACTTGGTGAAACTTCATCTTGTATTTTGTGTCCTGAATGCGTACTCCGTTGGATCATGAAACCTTATGTGTGTGGCCGTACCTGGCCTGTTCATGTCCAGGAATGCCTTGACCAGTGCCTGTATGTGATGGTTTCAACCCAAATGTGAAAACGGGGTCAAGTTTCATCGCGACACAGGACATATGGGCCTAAGTCTGCATATCATGTTAAGCTGATAGTTTTTGAGCTTGGAAGAGGTATCGTGTTCTTACTTTGCTGTTTGCCTGTCGTTGCCTGGCACCCGCCTGGCACATTACGTCCACGATGATCTGTTTGAGAAGGTAAAGGACCACAGTTCCAAGGTGTCAAAGTCGCAGCTATGGCAGTCTGCATCACTTCTGTGGAAAGTAACGAGCAAAAAGGCTATGCATAGGTTGGTGCATTGAGAAAGAGTTCACTGTCTGAAGATGGACATCCAATTGTCGCCGAAAGAGACAGACTGCGCTGACCTCGCTGCCATGAGACAATGTGAGACACTCTGCCTCACCTTCTCTATTCATTCTATTCAACAATGACTATTCAATGACTGGGCCCCGCTCCCAGCCACCTCGATGAGTCCCAGTGACTCACTGAATCTTCTGGAATGGCAAAACTGAGAGGACTTGCTCTGTCTTGGCAGACAACTTGAACTTGAAGATCTCTCAACTGACCTCGCACAAAGATTCCTTCTTCTCAGAGGGAAAGAGAGATGCAGTGATCTTTCCATCTTTATCGTTCACCATTTCGCGCCACTGAACTCATCTTCTACCCAATTCCATCATGATTGCGACCATGAGGCCTTGCGTTTCCGCCTGCACGGCGGGACAGGGCCTCAACTGCGACTCTGTGAACGTCCTTTCTCCGGATCCGCGCCCTCGCCTTTCCTTCACCGACGATGGTCCCGGAAATCTCTCAGTCTGTGGTCCCCGCCACGATAACGACCATCAAGACTACAAAAAGATCAAGATCCTTCCGACTGCCGACGAAATCCTTGCTGTTGATCGACCAACCTACATGCCAAAAAAAGACCTCCACGAGCCGCACTTCCTAGACAATGGGCCTGCGAGGCTGCTGGATACGCTTTTCAGACAACTACGATATGACAGCATTGAGAGCATTCGTGACATATGCTATTCAGCCTCACAAGTCGCCTTCCTCGGCAGCGGCACAGCTCCTGAGGGCCATGTCCGTCACGAAACCGAAGCTGGCAACCGATACTTCCTTTACAACAATGTCAAGATTGAAGAGCTGCTTTCACATGAGCAAATGACAATGCTGGTCCGTGTCAGTTACGACTGTCCGTCTTTCATGAGGGCTCAGAAGTTATATGACTCTGGCCGGTTTCAAAAGGGCATGCTTGTGGCGTTACTCCAACTGGACCATGCTACCATGAAGTTGTCCGTCTACTTCATGGAGGTCCATCTAGCTCAAAGCACCTTCTCCATGGACTGCTTTGACGGACATGGCACTCGAGCAGCAGTTCAGCTCTCTTTCCTGCCTACCACCAGTCACGATGATGTCCTGCAACTCTGCCGCCACGCACTGGGCCTTTGCACAGGAAGTGAACTCTACCTTGTAGAATTCCCCAAGCTTCTCTTCGCTGGGTTCTACAACTGTCTCAAGCGGTTGCAACAGATGAGGGAAACAGATTTCTCTTTCCAGAGCTATGTCGCACCTGAGACGGATGTCAATGAGGCCTTATTAGCCAGAAAGCTGAACTCCGTCACCGGATCGCCCCCTCGACTTGCCTGTCCCCCACCTTCTTACGCGCTCTCATCGGATTTCGCATACAATCTTGCCAAGATCGTCCCACCTACATGCCCGATTGCCTCAGCATCTGTCGGAGATCTGTCGCGTCCCTCCACTCTAGACATCCTCAAACGCGAAACAACTCTGGACGAAGGTCAAGCGGTGGCCTTCAGAGACAGCCTCATGCGGGAGTATGCATGCACACAAGGACCACCTGGTTGCGGCAAGACTTTTCTAGGTGTCCAGCTAGCCAAGACACTTCTCGATTCCCGACCCTCACAGAAGCCCATCCTCTTGGTGTGTCTGACGAATCACGCTCTTGACAGCTTCCTCGCCGATTTGCGCGATGCCGGTGTCTCCAATCTGCTCCGAGTCGGCTCCGCCAGCAAGGAAGACTGGACAGATGCCATCAATCTCCGCAACTTGCGAAGAAAGACTCGGTTGAAGAAACAGGATGCCCAGATGCTGCATGCACATGATCTGAAGAAGAAGCTGCTGTTCGCAGAACTGGATTCATTGTGCAAAGGTATGGTCACGTTCCATTTGTCCTCTTCGAACAGAACTAATTGGGAATAGCACTCTCCTCCCAGACGCATACTAGCACCCCTCCATGGCACTATGTCGAAGACATCCTGCGCAACAAGTACCCCGATGTCCATTCTCAATTTATGACAAATTCTCGTGTCTCGCTTGCGCAGTCATTCACTTTCGAATACTGGTCAGGAGGCGGAGACTTGGAGACTATTCGGGATTTACACCTTGAACTGGCTTCTAGGCTAGCCCAAACCTCAAAAGACGGTGCAAAGCCAACTCAGGCAAATGTCGATGAAATCCTTCTCGACATATCTTATCATGCCGAGCTCCAAAGTGCAAACGCCGGGGAATCGAGCATCTGGAACCTGCCTCTGAGTGAACGTCAGCTTATGCTGCGGCGTTGGGAAGCGGAGGTGGATAAAGAAGAGTTTGCAAACAAAGTCGTCTCTCTTTACTCCGAGTCGCAGGAGTACATCAAGAAAATCAAGACAATCAGCGATGGGCGTGACGTGCAGGTCATGTCGTCTCAAAACATTATCGCCATGACCACGACCGCATGCGCAGCTCGCTGGGAGCTTCTGCGATCTCTAGATCTTGAAGTCCTCATTTGTGAGGAGGCTGCAGAGGTTATGGAAGCACATGCACTGTGCACCTTGCTGCCTTCCCTGAAACATGCAATTTTCATTGGCGATCCTCAGCAGCTCCGGCCTGAGACAAACGAACAGACTTTAAGTCTCGAGACGTCGGTCGGGCGTCAGTATCGATTGGATGAGTCGTTGCTGGAGCGGCTGATGTTTCCTCACGACTTGTCAGCATCTATCATACCATCAAGCCACTTGAGCATCCAACGCCGCATGCATCCTGATATTGCAAATATCACCCGCCTGACTTACCCTTATCTCAAGGATCATGAATCTACGGTCCAACGCTCGCCAACTCATGGCCTTGCACACAGAATCTTTTGGTGGGATCATCGAGTTCCTGAACTTGCATCGGACGATTTAAAATCTCATGCCAACCTCCACGAAGTTGAGATGGTCGCCTCCCTTGTCACGTATCTGCTTCGTGGTGGTGCGTACTCACAAGGAGAAATTGCAGTCCTAACTCCATATGCAGGCCAACTGTTGAAGCTCTACGAACGGCTGGGTGCAACATGTGACATATGGCTCTCTCAAAAAGACCGCGAAGCGCTGCTTGGTGAAGAGGTCCTTAGCCTTGGTGATGAAGGCAAGACTACCAAGGACGAAGTTGCGATCTCCGACATGCTCAGAATTGCAACAGTTGATAACTTTCAGGGCGAGGAGGCAAAGGTCATCATTCTCAGCACGGTCCGAAGTGGAGGTAAGGCTGGGTTCTTGAAGACATTGAATCGCATCAATGTGGCCTGCAGCAGGGCGCGTAACGGCTTTTACATCGTTGGCAATTCCCAAACTCTATCTCAAGTCCCCAGGTGGAGAGAAGTCATCAACTCTCTCGATGGGAAGATTGGAGGTTCGATCATGGCTCAGTGTCATGTGCATCCCAACCATCGCCATCTCGTTGGGCAACCAGAAGACTTCCAAGACGTCCCAGACTGTTCAGCGGCTTGCGGCACGACTCTGCCCTGCGGTCACACCTGCGAGGAGACATGTCACCCACCGCAGCTCCATTCTCGTCTGGTCTGCCAGAAGAAATGTACTAAGGTCTTCCCATCGTGCGGACACAGCTGTGAGAAGCTGTGCTATCAGAAGTGCGGAGAATGCCAGACTGTCATCGACGAGGTCACCCTCGATTGCGGACATCGAGGAAAGTCACTCTGCTCTGGAGACAATTCCAAATGTGAGGCTGTTATAGAGAAGAGACTTCTCAGCTGTGGCCATTCCCTGACTATCTTGTGTGGTGAGCATCCCGAAGAAAAGACTGTATGCCAACAAGCATGCGGCGCGACACTCCCTTGCGGCCATCTTTGCACTGGAAAATGTGGCGTCTGCAATACCAGAAAACTCGGGAAGCATGACGCCTGCATGCACATATGCAATCGCCTCAAATCATGTGGCCATCTTTGCAAGGAGACTTGTCATGTCGGAAAATCTTGCCCTAGCTCATGTGTCGAACCCTGCTCGGACAAGTGCGAGCATGGACCTTGTACAAATCGATGTCAAGACATCTGTGACCCATGCGTCAAGCAAACCGTCGCTGGATGTGAGCATGAAACACCGTCAGCCATCCTTTGTTGTCTACCGAGCCTCTCATTACCGTGCTGCCGACCATGCCCGCGGACTCTGGAATGTGGCCACGACTGCCCATCACTTCATGGCGAGACGTGCCCTCCACCAGACCTCTGCCCGGAATGCCTCACTGGAAGAAGAGGCCCCAAGGTCCTTTATTCTCCAGAATGTGGACATATGACGGAGATCGCCCAGCTGGATGCCCTCAACCTCTGTGGCATTTACGACGTCAATGTCGATGGGGTTATTACATCAATCAAACCGGGCGTGAAGTCACAAGATCTTAAGAGCCCAAATTGCCTATGTGGGATGTCCATGCAAAGCACTCGCCGTTACCGACTCCACTCGAAGCTGATTGACTTCAAGAACACTTTTGACCTTCTTCTCGCGAAAATGGGTCGCAAATTAGCTTCCTTTGCGGCCGCGATCGAAGTCAAGGGAAAGCAGTTGGACCAGACATTCAAGGCTCTAATCGAAGAAATCCGACCAAACCCGCTTGCGGCAAAAGCGAATGCTACCCTCGTTCTTCGTCGAAACCAAGAGCTACTCGATCTCCAGAAACAAATCATCAACTTCAGGAGCGAGGTCGTGGATCGGTTTGAGAGTGGCATCACGGCGTTACATCAGGTGCTTCCGAACATCATTCCCTCGTATAACCTGAGTTTCCATCTTCACCTTGACGTCTTGGAATACAGAGTTGTCGGTGTGCGCCTCGCTGATGCCCTGAAACTCTCAAATCACCTTCTCCCTCTGAAAGACCCGTCCTTTGGAGTGCAACGTCTAGGCCTCAAGATGATCCAGTTTGCCTACAAGGAATCCGTTTCGTGCGTCAACTATTGTCAAGGTGCACTGGAGAATACCTTGATCGGTACCAATCCGTCCATTGAAGCTGAGATTAGGGTGCAACAACTCCAGTTCATGCTCTTTGCAAAGTCAACAAGAGCTCAGCTTTCTGGACTTGGGCATCCTGTCAACGACAATACGGTGATTATGGACGGGGCAACAGTCAAGGCTGGCTTGGAAGCGGTAAGCGCAATCAGCCGCCGATCCCCAGGGACGTGTGCCGGTTTGATGGCGACCGCGCAGGATATTGCCACAGCCTTCGAGTATCAAGATGGTTCGGAGCCGTCGTCAATCCCAAAGATCAAGAACGACTACACAAAGCAGGTCGAAAACCTATGGGGCCGTCATGAGCTTGGATTCCTGAGCATGTGCAGCCGGTCGCACCCTTATTCGGCAAAGACTTTCTCTGATGGCTGCCCCAATTGTGAGAAGCAGGCTCAACTGTCAGCTGATGAGGTCTTCCGCGAATCTGGGAAGCACCTTTTTGAGCAGAAGTTCTTGCGGTTCATGCATTCCGGGTCTCTGGAGCCTCACAAGCCCGAATGCCCTGACCCAGAAAGCTCGAAATCAGCTGTGCAGTCGGTTGAGCAGCCTGGCTTGGAAGCAGACGCCACCAATGCAGTCGTGATGGAATTGACGCTCGAAGAACGATTGGAAAGCTCAAAATCAACTGAGCAGCTGGCTGTGCAGCGTGTCTTGGAAGCAAACGCCGCCAGCGAAGCTGTGATGGAGCTGACCGCCGAAGAACGATTTTTGGCAGCAATGAGGAAAGGACCTCCGAAGATACTTGCTGGAGTGCCTTGCAACGCAATGAAACCGCAGAACGAGGAGGTTGGAAAAGAATTGGCTGGAGGCGTGGACAATGAAGCAAGGACGAAGACGACGCTGGCGGTGAGAATGGATAAACAGGAGTTAATTCGAGTTGAACCAGAAAAAGAACTGACAATGGAGGAGAAATTTCTTGTGGCTATGAGAAAGATTGGCAAAAACTGAAAAGAGAAAGAGAGGGGCGAAAGTCAAGAAAGTGAAGAAATGGATGGTAGAAATGGATGGTATCGTTAGCATGGACACTCGATGTTTGCAAACCACATTGGCAAAAATTGAAAAGAGGAAGAGAGCGACGCAATCAGGAAAGCGAAGAAATGAATGATATGTTAGCACGAGCACTCCATCTTAGCAAACGCACAATCGACGGGATAGAAATAGATAAGATCATAGAGGAAACCATGGTCTAATACGTTTTCTCCGGCTTTGTGCTTCTAGAGGTTCAGCCTTCCAATCCCTCTCTTAGACTCGGACTCGTACACAACGAGCAGGCAGATACCAGAGCCGTTATACATTCATGACTGGAATCAGGATTGAATTTGCCGATGTCTGGGAGACCAGATGATGGACTGAATTGTACCCCCCAAGAGTCGGCGAAAAGAGACTCCTGGCTGGAGCGTTATATGGATGGTATAATGAAGAAGGGGCCGACTCATCGGGCGCCGCAGTTCCCCAGTGCCACCACCCGACCACGGAGAATAATGCGTCCACTGCCTCGTTCCTGTAGCTACCTACAGTAAGTACGGAACCCGGTTCCGCTTCCCAGGTTTGGCGATTCGTCAGGGCCTTCGTTTCGCGCTTTACTTTATAGTTTGGATTTGGGCGTCGTGGGCGTCTCGGACGTCGCTTGGACCACGGCGGGCTTTGGGTCGACGGCCAGCTCCGTCCACCACGGGTAGGTGGTCGGTGCGGCAGTGGAAAGTTGGTCTGTGAAGGTGGGCTTGTCGGAGGCGAAGAAGGCGCGTTTGGCTTCGGCGTGGTCCCTGTATCACCGATAAGTAAGTGAAGAAGGAGATGGGGGATTTTAGATAGAGAGAGGAGGGGTGATGCTGCTTGGGGAGGGCGGACTGAGCACCAGCAGCAGGGGAATGGATCCTCGCTTTCTTTTCGCGTCGCTTTGCTCCTCCGCTGAGAAGTCATACTCACCTGCTCGCGAACTGATGCGCCAACAACGGACTATCCACCAAATGCGCCGCCTCGGCCGAACCCGCATTCCTCCAAATCAACTGACGGTTCAAGTGGATGGCCGTGGTGCTGACCCTCTCCACGATTTCTTCGGCGAGTTTGACGGCGCGCGGCAACACGTCCTTCGGTTCCGGCACAAGCTCGGAAAATATCCCGTCCAGGGTTTTCGAGTCGGCTGGGTATGTTAAGCCTGTGGTTAGTAGGTAGGTTGCGCGACCGTAGCCGACCATCCGGGGCAGGAAGAAGGACGAGGCGGATTCCATGGTGAGCCCGATTCGGGAGAAGGGGAAGCCGAAGCGAGACTTTGGAGAGGCGATTCTGTCGGACCCAAGACCACCCCCTTGTTAGCTTCGCGTTGTATATAGGGAGGGATCAGATGAGTAATGGAGATAGGGAAAGAGTCGAAGGAGGATGAACAGGGTGGACCTTGGGGGGAGGGGATCAAGGACCATTCATTCATTCATTTTACATACCTGATACCCGCTGCAAGCGTGGACGTCATGCCAATACCCACTGACAGCCCATTATACGCCACAATCACCGTCTTGCTACAATTGTACATGGCCAACGCGAGCCTCCCGCCCGTGTCCCGGATATCCGTCAGAGGAATATCCCTGGGCGGCGCGGCGTCGAGGTTCAGATCGATCCCCGCGCTGAACGCCCTCCCCGTCCCCGTCAGGATCACCACCTTGACACGGCTGTCGTGATCGACGACGCGGAAAAACGACTCCAACCCCGTGATCATTTCGCCGGTAAAGGAGTTGAGTTTTTCGGGCCGGTTCAGGCGCACGATCAGGATGGGCGTTACCCCGGAGGCGGATTCCGGGTGGTTGGTCACTCGTACATGAGCGTCTGCTGGCGTCGTGTATGTTGATGGGATGTGGATCGTGGAAGGGGGTGGTGCTTGCATCTTGCCACGGGTTGACAGGGCGAGATAAGGAGGTGCCGCTTTTTCAAAGCTTCAGAGGAGGGAAGTGTGTGAAACAAAACCTAGGTAGGTAGCCTTGACCCTAACCTTGGGGGAGAGTTCGGATCTTCATTTGCTTGTATTAAATGCTTTTGATATCAATACATGTGCAAGTTTCTCCGGGCGTAGACCGAGAAGGCCGCGGCCAGGGTTTAGTAATCACGAGATCCATGCTTTGTTGTAGTTATATCCTGAATAGTAAACCCTCCCGTTTTTGGTGCGCACCTCGCAGCTGAAGCAAACGAAAACCTTCCCAACTTCGCGATCCGGGGTATGAAGTCGCGGAATCCGAAAGCATCATACCTGTGATCTTCTGGTTGACGAGGAGGTTAAAGTCTGAGCAAGTAATAAAGGGTAAACGCGTCAATTGCTGTTGCATCGAGAAAACACTGGAAAAGAGTGTGTGGGATTCTGTAGTGAGTATGAGCTGATGTATTATCCATCTCCGCCAGGGAGGTCATGTCCGTGCTGGTTTGTGCAGCTTCGCGCAAGGCTGGTCCTATGCGACGATAAAGAGATGCACGCTGCCGATCTCGGTGGGACTTGATGCCAGGAACGACAGGGGTTTGTCCGTCCTGGCAGCCTTGCGTGCCTCGGCAGCTAAAGAAGAGCAAAACCTCCACCTTTTCACCCGCCGTGCCCGCCTCTGCATGTGCATCAGAATTGTTCATGCGCAGATGTGCTCCCTCCTCTGAATGATGCTTTCGACATTCTGCAATCTAGAACCCTTCCCAGCATTAGACGAAGCGTCCATGCTGATGGACGGCGAATTGGGGCGAGCTGAGGGCTTAAGCATTACAAACCAGACACAGGGTATATGGGTGATCTCTCATGTCTCGTTAGATGGGCTCGGAAGCACGACCGAGACAGGCCTGCCGAGATGCCAACTGTTCCAGCTCGCACATTTTTACCACGCAGTTTCCGGCTCATTCCTCTCAAAGCTCCTGGGAAACCCGTCTTTGACTGTGGTCTATCGTGTCAAAGGTGGACAGGTCACTTGGGATCAAAAGCTGACTTGAAACCGCGGGTGAGTCCTAAGCGTGGCGCCGTATCTCATAAAGACAAACGGTAGCGGGACCATTGCCAGCGCAATGAATCCGAGCACGCTGTTTCCCCAGCCCAGCCCGAGACCGGAGTACAAGGGTCGTCCCGCGAGCGGGAGGAAAGCCCCCGTCAGTGAGCGGACCACCGTGTTTGCTGCCGTGACGCTGGCGGCGAAGCGCGGATAGCAGTCGACGAGATAGGTTTGGACGGCCATCTACAACGTTAACTTGTCAGCAGAGAATGCCCCCCAAAGTCAGAAGAAGGTTATCAATTCCTCACGAAAATGCCCATCAGTCCCAATCCCACCCAGCCCGTGCCAAGGATGGGCATAATCCAATGAAGCTGCTTTTCCGCCGACCATCCGTACCAAAACAGCCCGATGGGGATGCAGAACGCAGCCGGGATCAGGCCTTCCAGCCTGACTTCTGGTGAGATGTCGCCTTTGGCTTTCTTCGCCTGGATCCGCTTGTCGCTGGTGGCGCCGAACAAGGCCAACCCTATGAACATGCCGACGCCAATACCCAGATACGACAGACCGGCCAGACCGGTGGAGAAGCCATATGTACCCTCGTAGATCTCGGTAATGGTGGTGAAGATCAGGTAGAGATAGCCGTAAACGATGGAGATGTAGACCTAGAAGAAGCCATATGACTAACAGTTAGAAAGGCGCAGCAGGTCGCGTGAATGGGGACAGCATGACATGACATACGACAAAGATGAAGACAATGGGAGACATGAAGAACATCTTGGTCGGGCGGATCAGGGCCTTTGCGAGCGCCGTGCGAGGGGAATCCGCCGTCGACATCTTCGATCGGTATTGTGCATTGCCCGTCGACTTGCGCAGCTTGGCGGCTTTTCTCTCCAGGAGGACTGGCGCGTAGGACTCCTTCATGAAGAGGAAAGACAACACCGTGACAACCCCAGCCTGGCCTTCGCGTCAGCTGCCCAGTCACAGAAATCTACACAGTCATTACCTACCGCAATGCTAATGACCCAGAAGACCCATCGCCAGCCGACATTCTGCGACAGAAAGGCACCTGCAACGGGTCCTGATCAAGAGTCAGCATGTGCATATTGAAAGTCCCCTGGATTAGCCGTAGCCCCCAATAGGGGTTATCAACGGGTACGTACCTGCCACAGGACCGATCAACGGACCCATCGCAAAGATGGCCATCTTCGACCCTCTTTCCTCCCTGGTGTACAGATCCGCCACGCTTCCTCCCCCGAGAACCAGGGGCGCCGACCCAGCCGAACCGGCCAGAAACCGGAACCCAATGAGGCTGTCCAGCGACGGGGCCACGGCACAGGCGACGGTGAAGATGATGAACAGGACGTTGGTGATCTGATAGACGATCCAGCGGCCGTAGATCTCCGACATGGGCGCGCACACCAGCGGTCCGAACGCGTAGCCAATCAGGTACACCGAGACGACGAACGAGGCGAGAATGACGCTCGTGCTGTCGAAATCGCGCATCACTCTGGGGATTCCCGGCGCGAACATGGACGACGCGAGCGGGCTGGAAGTTTTTCTCACTATCAGCAAATAATGAATGGCTTTGATTCGGTAAGGGTGTGTTTTTGCGTTTGGACATACGTGACAAACGTCAGACATGAGAGCAGAGCAATATTGATCGCCTTGCGCCGGGACGGCCAGTTCATCGGATTCGCGGGGTCGTCGTCCCCGTCCCAGTCGACGACAAAGTCATTCTCGTTCGCCAGACCGGCCTCCTCGACCACCTCCTTGGTATTCTGAGCCATGGGTTGAATGCGTCTCAACGTTGTCTATGGAGGTTCTGATCTGATATGGCTTGGAAGAACCGTGAAGCCATCCGCAGCAGAGAGCATGCCTGCTTTAGAAAGACACCAACCGAGGAACAAACACCGGGTAAAAAGCACCGGAACTAGTGCAAACAAACCTTTGGGCAAATGGGCCATTGTTCAAGCGGCCCGAGGCTCGCTTAGAGATTCGGACACTCAAATTGTGCAAATTGTGCGCAGTTATGCACAGTCGGCAAGTCATGATGTATGATGATTGGTCGGATAGCAGAGAATGTGGGACGTGCGGGGGAGGCTGTCTCGTGTACCATTCCGGAAACGGACTGGGTTACGCCAGAATCGCATCTTGACTATGCGGATCATGGCTTAGTAGGACCAGACCTCCCCCTTCTCGGCAGCCTGATACCCGACTCGTCGCAATAGAAGGAGACTGAACCTGCACCGAAAGAAGGTCAGAAAAGACTTACTCTTCTTCGATCCTCTCTCCTCTGCGCTGGACCGCTGAAGACATGCATGGTTTATACCACAGCCTGTCATATCTGTCAGTGATGTGCTTGTTACTGGTCAGGGTCGCAAGCAGCTCCCATCCCGCTTGATCAGCCGCGTTATATCCAGATCGACGCAATCAATCAGGGAACTCAAAAAACCATCGTGACAACGGACTAACTGACCGACTGACCTGAAAGCTGGACAAGCAAGCGTGCGTTATGTTATATATCGGTCTTCTCGATCCCAGTTTCACCATTACGTCCCATGTGATGCAGAACTCTTTTGAGATTCTGCACGCCAACAGGGGCGCGCTGTAGCTGCCCCTGGAATGCCTCGCTCAAGAATGAGACGGACACGAAATCCGACTGTGCAATTGGAGCGGTGAGGGATTGGAAGGCCAACGGGCGAGGAGAGAGGCGGTATAGATGTGGATTCTTGACACCACGGTCCGCTGCAGTCGATGCCCCAAGCCTGGAGATCATCAGGACCCAACGCCTTCAGTGGCAGGGAACCTGCTGGCGTTCCTGTTGCCGTTCGGTGTGCCTTTCATGTCTCGACGTCTTCAGAGCAATGGTGCCTCGAATCGGACTTTGGCATGCCTTTTTCTTGTCATTGTCAACGACAACCTGGACTCATACGTGACCTTTTTGTCAATGGCGCCGTGGTCAAAATGCAAAAGGGGGTCAGGGTTTTCGACCTGACCTCAGCCGGGCTTCGCCTCGCCGGGAGTCGCGCTCCCACTTTTCTCCACCGCATCCCCGCCACAACGATACTTTGCCCCGCCGGGCCCAGTGCTTCCAGCAACTTCAATCAAAAGTGGTTTTTCCCCCTTGGGCAGTATTTAGGCGCTGCTCTGTAACCATGATAATCTTGCTCGGTCTTTGGATTTCTGGAATTAGATATACATGTTTGGGTAATCCCGGGTTCCTTCTTTTCTTCTCCTCCTCCTCCATCGGACTTCAGTATGGGACTCTCTCTGGTTGATCCCACCGAGCAGCAAAACCCTGTGCAATCTGCTGACGGAGCAGATCGTATCCGACGCCTGTCATCTTGCGTGGATGTTCCAGTGCTGATTGTCGGTGGAGGACCTGCAGGGCTCCTGCAAGCCCATCTCTTATCCCAACTCGGAGGCAAGTCTGCGGGTGTGATGTCGACAAAGAGTCACGATTGACAGTGGGAAGTGAAATGCCTCATTGTCGAAAGATATCCCGAGAGACTGGGCGCCCCAAAGGCACATGCATTGTCACCCAGGTCGCTAGAGATATGCAGACAATTCAACTTGGACGTCGGCAGGCTACGACAACTCGGCACGAGGAGGCGCGATGCGTTCTGGGTCAACTTTGTCACAAATCTAAGTGGTCAACAAGTCGGCCTGCTCCCTTACGAACGCATGGACGTCGGAGTGCTGAGCCATACGCCAGAGGCAAGTTCTTTGGTGTTCGTTGTAGTGTATGCTGGCTCCCCACTGACGAGCCAAGATGATTCATAACGTCCCGCAGCCCGTCTTCGAAGAGTTTGTCACGGAGGTGCTCGCCAAAGACTCGAATGTAGATCTCCGCAAAGGCGTTTCGTTTGTGTCGTTAGAACAGGTAAGTGGGACCGGAAAGCCGCCCAGATTTAGGGATGCTTATTTGAAGGATTCGGAAGGAGTTGTCACCACCGTGGAAGAGCGTGCGACAGGATATCAGTTCCAGATCCGGTCGAAGTACCTTGTTGCATGCGACGGCGCGCGGAGCAAAGTCCGCAGCTTCTTGGGGATCGAGAGTGATGGCGAGGACTCATGTAAGCCCCGTACAAGACATTCAGAACTTGACGAAACTGACAGTTCAGATGAAACAATGATGACTATCCATTTCAATGCTGACCTTCGTCCGATCGTGAAGGAGAGGGTCGGCATGCTTCACTGGATAATGGACCCTTTGGCGTCCGGGTTCATCATTGCGTACGACCTTTCCGGAAATGCCGTCTTGATCAGCAACTTTGATGTCAGTGAGTCCGATCGTCACGAGTATGTGATCTAACCGCAATCTCCAGGCGACCAAATATCCAGTCGAAAGCTGGAACCAAGAGCTTTGCCGTAAGGTCGTTGTCAGTGCCCTAGGAACAGAGGTACCATTTGATATCCATAGCTACCGGCCTTGGGTGCTGAGCCGAAAAGTAGCGAGATCATACCGGGCGGGGAATGTCTTCTTGTGAGTTGCATCATTTGACCAGGTGACAAGTCTAACCAAGCAGAGCTGGAGATGCTGCCCATTCGTTTCCCCCCACAGGCGGCCTCGGATTGAACTCTGGCTTGGGCGACGTGCACAACCTGGCATACAAGCTTGCATTTGTCCTTGCGGGACAAGCTGGAGACGCTCTTCTCGACACGTACGAATCAGAACGACAACATGTGGCTGTTGTCAATTCGATGCAGAGCGTAAAGAACGGAAAGAAGATTTTTTCACTTCTCAAGACGTTGGGCATCGGCGATGATCTGATCACAGCGAGAAGAAATTTGTACGCCAATATCAAAGATCCCCAGAAAATGAAGGTGATTGATCAAGGTGTCGAAGAGCAAAGAGAGCATTTTGACAACGTATGCATTTCCCAGTAAGCGATCTGGCTGGTACTGACGTACCCACCAGCTAGAGCTTCACATCGGATATGTGTACGGCAGCAAAGAAATCCCTCCACATGCCTCAAAGTATACCCCCAAGTTCGAAGTAGGTGCAAGGCTGCCTCACGCCTGGATTCGCCTCCCACACAGCAGGCTGAAGCCGGTCGACGTCTCATATGTCGACGAGTTCTCGCCGGCAGACCTGGAGTCCCACCGCTTTAGTACTTTGGATCTGTGTGATCTTGACAAATTTACCCTGTTAGGGGAGCTCGATGTTCCTGGCGTAAAGACCTGCCGGGTTGGTCGCGATTTTGAGGTCATTGGCGAGGCAGGGCAGAAGTGGTTGGCCGCGGCCAGGATGGATGTAGGAGGAGGGCTACTTGTGAGGCCGGACCAACATATTTTGATGTTGTTGGATGTTGGCACCACGACGGAAGAGGTCCAGAGGCGCTTGAACGCACATCTGGGTGTTTAGCATTGCGGCTGGATAGCTCGAGAATGACGGGGGCGGACCTTTGGTTGGCGGGGTTGGCAGGTCACCTGCGCTCATGGGTATCTAGGTATGCTTCGTGTAAGTCCTTAGCTCCCTAAGCCTACCTAGGTGACCAGCTACAATCTCGGCATTAAGCCGCCAAACTCAAACGTCGTGCCTTGGTTGTTAGAGCCCGTTCGTCCTCGAGCGAAGATCCGTGTACTTAGTAATTATGGCATTTCTCTAAAATCTCACTCGAGGTTAGTACTGACTTAATGGTATTCTATTGTCCACCCCTGTCGAATCAGGAAGCCTGGAAACGAGCAGAATACCAGACTATGTTTTGGGAGCGCCGATATAAAGCACCACTATTCACATCGCCAAACGCACACTAGGAGATACACGAATCCGTTTTCCCGTCAAGCTCCTTGAGATCAAAGTCTGCCTTGTTGCTGAAAACCACGATGCTGGCGGAAGGAACGGTATCAACCCGGCACAGCTGCGGCAGACAGCTCAAATTGCGGCGCTGCTGGGAATATAAATAAATGAATGCTCGCATTTGCAAAGGGATTTCCTTGCTGAACTGCAGGATAAACGGACAACTTTCTTGTAACGCACGAGCAGTCGGTTGTTCGACTCGGGCAATTGGCCATTAAATATGTCGAGTCTTCGAAAGCACAGCGTGCTTTCGATCCTAATCTTCGGGCTTGCGGCGCTGGCCTCATCAACCGAGGGAGCTCCAGGTGGTCACAACACAGCATGTACGGCGCTGACCAAACCAAGCATTGCCGGAGCGAGCGTGCTGTCCTTCCAGTCACAACATCTTCCCAACGCAACGGTGCTGGCCAGCCCGCCCCTTCTGAACAATAACTTCACCAGACTCGACATTTGCAGTGTCGATCTGGTGATCTCGCATCAAGGCGCCCATGACAAAGTCAAGATCAAGGTGTGGTTGCCTGCCACTGGCTGGAATAGACGCTTCGTAGGAACAGGAGGGTCGGGCTATGCAGCGGGATTCTTCGAATACAGCCTTGCACCTGTGGTGGCACTGGGCTACGCCGCCGCATCCACGGATGCAGGTCTTTCGGGAGATCCCTACAGCCCGGGAGCATGGGCTCTGCATCCCAACAACACCGTGAATGATGACCTCTTGCTGAACTTTGCCTCAAGATCCGTGCACGACATGGCGGTGGCGGGCAAGGTGATCGCAACGCAATACTATGGCAGAAAGCCTGCCCGTTCATACTGGACAGGCTGTTCGACAGGTGGAAGACAGGGCCTGGTGGCGGCACAGAAGCATCCCCACGATTTCGACGGCATCGTTGCCGGAGCGCCGGCAATTGACTGGGCCAGATACGTGGTCGCAGAGCAATGGCCGCAGGTTGTCATGAAAGAGGAGGGGACCTACATCAGCCAATGCGTCCTCCAAGCCTTCACCAACGCGAGCATCGCCGCATGTGACGCTCTCGACGGAGTGGCCGACGGTGTCATCACAGATCTGCAAGACTGCAGATTCGACCCGTTCACCTTGGTTGGAACAAGCGTACAATGTGACGGCGGCAGAGAGGAAACCATCACAAGGACAATGACCAACGTTGTCGGCAAAATCCTCGCTGGGCCCCAAGGACCCTCAATCTCTCATCCTTACGCTCTGAACCCCGGAGCTGCACTAGACAGCCTGGCCAACACGACAGTCGCCGCCAACGGAACCCGAGTCGGAGCGCCCTTTTTCGTCAACGCCGCCTGGATCAAGTACTTTGTCAAGAAGGACCCAGACTTTGACACAAGCGCCATTGGCTACGCGGGTTTCGAAACAATCTTCAACCAGTCCCAGCAAGACTTCGGGCCCATCATCGGCTCATATGATCCCAATCTCTCTGCCTTCCGTGCCGCAGGTGGGAAGGCGATTGTCTGGCACGGCCTAGCGGACCAATTGATCTTCCCGCACGACACGGTCGCCTACCATCAGAAAGTCATACAAACGCTAGGGAACAACGCGTCCGCGGTCGCAGAGTTCTATCGCACGTTCCTCGCCCCTGGGGTCGATCACTGCGGCGCTGGCCCAACGGCCCCTGGAGCCGTGCCGGTGGACCCGCTGGCGGCGGTGGTGGCGTGGGTTGAGCAGCAAAAGGCGCCGGATGTGTTGGAAGCGCGCAAGACGGCGGCGGATGGCACGGTCGTCTTCACAAGGAATTTGTGTCCGTTTCCCCAGACATCGCGATATAGGGGCACAGGCAACACCAGCCTGGCCAGTAGTTATAATTGTGCGTGATATTGACCTACCGTGGTGGACAGAGGAGATACTGAATTGGATGGATGTATCGAGGGTGATTTCTGCCGCTTGTGTCGTGGAGGAATGTAGGAGTCTTAGATTTTTGTTGTATTCTCAAACTCCTTAGGGGAGAACGAGTCCGAGGAGAAAAGAAAAGCAAAGACATGGAGGGGGTCGAGATCGACTTGTTAATACGAGGTAGTTAGCCTAGACTCCTTGCTGATTCATGTTGCATGTTGGCATTGCCCAGCCTTTCGGCTTCGCTCATACGAATCGCCTGGCTCGGCCTTACTGTACATAACAAGCGCATTAAGGGCATTGTGGTTTGAGGGATGTTACTTCAGCCTTTCACCGAAGTAACGGCAGCAGTTTCTAGATGCGGTAATTATGATTATAGCTACCTAGGTAGCTGCTGGGCCGTGCCCTGATGATTGCAGGTGTCAAGTCACAGCTCGCTCAAGTTGAGATTTCGATCTAGCATCAACTCCAAATAAAAACACATCACCGTCTCCCTATCCCAGGAAACCGCCTTAATTTCCACTTTGGAGACAGCGACATCATGGCTACGGCGACCGAGTCTCAGTCACAGTCCCCCTTTTGGCGCCCCATCGACATTTCCCACACGGCGCTGCTGCTGAGCGACGTGCAGACACAGCTGCTCAGCCAACTGAGTCTTGAGACCAGCTAAAAGTCAAAACATAGAAAGCCATGACCGTAATGAGCACAATGGGTTAGACTCTCTATGAATCATAGTGCACGTGTTGTTTGTCCTTTAGCGACAGCTGGGATGGCGGTGGTGGCTGTAGAAAGTCGGGGAAACGTCGGAACCAGGCCGGCGTCCCAGATTTCGACGTGAGGCTCAAGCTTGCGTCGTACCCCGCAAAGCTGGAGATACTTTCTCCTTCGGACCGTCTATCACTGTGCTTTCTTCTTAATTTCTGAGGGCAGTGTTAGTGTTTTGACATGCTATCCGACAATGGCTAGAGCCTAGAAATATCAGTCACCATCTCTTCCTGTTATCAACACATCCCCGTCCGCCTTAGCCCCGTCAGCCGAGTGCAAAAAGAGCAGCAAGACTCAGAGACAGGGTCATGCTCCGGCAAGTCAGGCCGACAACAACTCTCTCTGCCTCCCTACTACTCCCCCCGTCGCTTGGGCCGTCGACTGCTCCATGCCAGATGCTAAGATAGGAGCCGTGATCCACCAGAACAGTATGCATCAGCCTGATCGAATGGCGGACGATGTCCACTCCGCCAACCAGAGCGACCGGGCTCAGCAACGTCGCCAAAAGGCTGCCGACGCCGAATGGACCAGTGCCAAAAACGGCATCTCCGGAGCTGACCAGGCGTCTGATGCCAACGATCCCCCCAGCAAACGACGACGGGTCGCGCTGGCGTGCACTGTTTGCCGTGGGCGGAAATCACGTGTGAGTCTTTTTGCCCGCCTGGATGGTGGAAACAACGACCATGGCGATGAGCATCCTGTTGTTACTGACTGACCTGGCCAACATTGCTAGTGCGATGGCACGCGCCCCAAGTGCTCGCTGTGTGTCGAGTTGGGATTCGAATGCATCTATCAACAATCTGCGTCGTATTCGAACATCATCATCGGCAAGGAGTGAGTCAAGATTACGAGGACCAAGTGCGTCGATATTGATCTTCCTTTCAGGTACTTGTCGTCGATCGAGGATAGATTGAAGGAGGTAGAAGGCCGTCTTGCTTTTCTCGAGAACCGCGACCGGACTCTTGTTCATCAACCTGCCAATCCAAACCTCTCCAATGGAGTTTCTTCTTCAGATTTCCCACAGCCGGACACGGCGTGCTTACGGGAAGAGAGCCTTGGAGATGCGGAAACCGTCGAAGATCCCATCGATGCCATGGGCGCGGTCACGTTTGCGCAGGAAGAGGACTGCGCATTCTTTGGGCCGTCGTCCAACATTGCGTTCCTTCGACACGTATCGAGGGCCGTGGCCCGCTTGACTCACGACCCTGAACCCTGGAAACCGTCTCCTGCAGAACATCACTCGGTAGGTTTTACAGGCGGATTCATCAATACCTCTGGCCCTGCATCTCCTATTCCGACACCCCACGACCCTCCTCTTGATCACGTCAACATCTATGCCCTTCCTCCCGACTCGGTGGCTCGTGAGCTCCTAAACTGGTATTTCAGCAACACTGGCTTGTTGTTTCCTTATATCCACGAGCAGTCATTCATGGAAACATTTGAACAGGCCAGCAAGGTCAAGTTCAAGGGCGTCAGGAGAATTTGGCTCGCCCTGCTCAATATCGTCTTCGCTCATGCCATGGTGCATGCACGAGAAAACACCACGACTCCAGGGAGTGTCGAGTCGACCGCGGCAAAGGCCAGCGCCGAGTCAGAGATATATTTCCGCCGAGCTTCAGGTCTTTTCAGCGAAAAGAACGCCAATGGAACTGGGACTAGTGTCGAAGTTGGTAAGTTGTTGGCGGCGAGCTCAGCCTATCATGACCTCGTCCGGATGCTTACAGGAAACAGTGCAGTTTCTCCTACTCATGGGTCAGTACTTGCAGGGAACGCAGAAATCAGTGCAGACCTGGAAGACACATGGTCTTGCAACGCGAGCTGCGTTTCAGATAGGTCTTCACTCGAGTGACTTGGCCCGAGTTTTCCCTCCACTCGAGCAGGAGGTCCGGAAAAGGACATGGTTTGGTTGTATCATGCTCGACCGGACCTTGAGCATGACCTTTGGACGACCACCAGCGATCCCTGACAGCTACGTCCAACTGGAGCTGCCGGTGGGATTCTCGGCACTAGACGGCGGAGCTGCGGCGACGGACAAGAAGGAGTCACTGAGCATTGCCTTCTTCAACGGCACCATGTAAGTTGCACCATGAGAAGAACCCTTTCCACCGATACAAGCTAAACCTGCCCCCATCAACAGTGCGCTCTACAAAGTGCTCTGCACGATCATTGATTCGCTCTATGGCCAGAATCTGGCCTGCTCATTCAAATCAAACGCCGTGGACACGGTCGCCTTGGTCTACAAGATTGAAAACCAACTGTCTGAGTGGCAACGCGGACTCCCGTCTCACATGAGGCTCATCGCCACCCAAGATATACTCCCGGAACGCCTGCCGCAGGTAGAGAGCTCGGCCGAGGAAGCATGGCGACAACTGCGGCTCCGCTTCATCCTCACCCTCCGCTACACCAATGTGCGCATCCTGCTCCATCGCCCCGTGCTGGTCAAGTTCCTCGACGGACTGAGCAATCCGGCAAACCACCAGGATACCTCGTTGCTACAGCAGGTCGGCACCATCCATATCCAGATTGCCATCAAGTCGGCCAAGGAGATTATTTATCTGGTGCACAACGCCCTGCAGTCCGCAACGGGGCGGTCGAAATGGGGCTTGTTGGGCGCATGGTGGTTTTCATTGTACTACAGTATGTTTTATTTCCCCTGCGCAGCAGCAATCCGATTCTCCCCCTGTTGGTTCGTTCGTGGAATCTGATCAATGGTGTTACTGTACAGCATTTAATGCAGCCTTGGTGCTGGGAGCATGCGTCCTGGTTCAGATCGACCAGAAGGCTTCGGGCAACGAATCCAACATGTCGCTGACCGAGTCGACCGAGGACATGAGCCTGCATTTGGAAATGGCCATCGAAGCGATCCGCCATATCGACAGCGACAATCGCATGGTGGCACGGTGTCGAGACTATCTCGAGCAGTTTGTCCAGGTCGTCCAGGCGCTAGGTATGTACTTTGCAGGGAGAGCGCTCGCCCAGCTCCAACCTCATCCTCCTCCATTCCTTGATTCGTCGCCTTTCTCCCTTCTCCTTAAATTCCCCATATCCGACCCTCACTGACCCGCGTGCCTAATCAGCCATCGGCCAGGGCCTCCTCCCCCAACCCCATGACTGGCAGCCCGTCACATATCACCACCCGGCCGGTAATGTGCCCGCATTCCCACAGGTGCCGCACATCCCGCCGCACGAGGCAGGCGACTACGGGGTCCTGCTGGGAGGCGGCGCCGGGGCCGTCATGGGCATGTTCAACCACGGCAGCAGCGGCGTTGTGGCCAGCAGCAAGCAGTCGCCGCTCGGCATGGAGCTGGGCGAGTTCATGCTCGATGGCGATCTCGAGTTTCTGAGTAGTCACTCGTTTGCGTATAATCGGGGAGTGGCTCCGTGAGAGGAAGACTCCGGGGGGAGAGGGAGAAATGGAGACTTGACGGGGGAAATAGGAGGATGTAATATATAATCCGACCATTTCGACAACTTGGCATGCCTTTGATGCTGGACTGCGTGACATTTGACGACGAAAAGATTGGCACAAAGCTACATACCTACCGAGCGAGCGAGCGAGCGAGCGAGTCAACGCATAGACAACCCCCCTCGCGGTATTTTTTTTTTGACAAAAAAAAAGAGAGAGAAATAGAGAAAGAAAAAGCGTTCGTGTCGCGTTCATCCATGCAAATGCTGCGGGAGAATATCTTGTCCTCACTCGCTCAACCACCGGTCTTTAATCTTCCCCGGCGACTCATTTCCCCATCTACTCCGAATCTCATGTGCCGTCCTCCGAAAATCCCCATGTTGAACCCTCTCGTTCTAGTCTCGTCCAAGACCTTTTTACATCAACATCTTCCGATATCTCGGCTGGCAGCGGACAAAGAATTCCGAGGGCTCGGGATCGCCCAGGTTGAAGATCTTCCACTCCTTGTCTGGGTCGGCGAGTTCAAGCTGTAATTATCCCGGGTGGCTATTAGCGCGAAAGATTTTCCCCTTCTCTTGTACAAGCAACGGGAAATTGAAAAAAACGTTGGGGGGAGAGAGGCAGGAATGAAAAATGGGAGGGTCTTACCGTGAACATCCTCAGAACTGAAGGCACCACCTTGTACAGCTCCAGCAGGGCAATGTTCTTGCCGATGCAGGTGTTGGGCCCGGCGCCCCAGACCAGCAGGGCCTTGTTCATGGCGGCCTGCTGCTCCGGGGTGGCGTCCAGCCAGCGCTGCGGGCGGAAGACCTCGACGTCGTCGCCGTACGTCGGCTTGTGGCGGTGCATGATCCAGGCGTTGCAGCTGACGATGATGTTGCCGGGGATGTACTCGCCGAGGATGTGCGCGCCCTCGGGCGGCGTGACCCGCTCGATCAGCTGCATGCCCAGGCCCGGCCAGATGCGGAAGATCTCCTTGAGCACGGCGTCCAGGAAGGGCAGCTTCTGCGCCTCGGCGAACGGCACCACGTACTCTGCGAAATCCATCTTCTCCCCGCCGTTGCTGGCACCGGGGGGCGGGAAGAACGAGTCGATCTCGGCCACGAGCTCCTTCATCACCTGCGGGTATTTGAGCAGGAAGTAGAATGTCGCGGCCAGCGTGGTGGCCACGGTGCCGCTGCCTGCGTTGACCATGGAGAGCGTGAGCCCCAGCACGGCGCGGTCGTCGACGATATCTGGGTTGTCGACCTTGGCCTGGAGGAATTTGGTGAGCAGGTCCACGCGCGTCTTCTCGTTGTCGCTGACGCCCTTGAAGTCGCGCTTCTTCTGGTCCATTTGTCTCTGTGCGATGGGCACTGTCGCCGTTACGCTGTTCCAGAGACCCCTCCGCCCGAGCCACATGAGGACCGGGTTCTTCTTGAGCACGCGGTCGAGCCAAGTGACATTGTTAACCTAAGAGGAAAACCCATCAGCCTTATATATTCGTTGCTGCCACTGCCGCTGCCACTGCCACTTGAGTAGCTAGAGGGAAACTCACAATGGTAAAGTAGCGCAGGAAGGTAGTCCGGGCATGGATGATACCGATGTGATCATACCCAGCCTCCAGCAGACCGTAGCCTTTGCCCATGGTCAAGGCGCTGACCACGTCCAGGGCGAAGAACTTTGTCCACTCGGACATGTCACAGATGCCGTCCGGGCCAGGTCTACCGGCAAACCTCTGATCCAGCTGAGCGAGGAAGGTGGTGACGGTTTCGGTCACATAGGGTTCATAGTTGACGAGGGTGCTCATGGCGAAGGCATTGGCCACGGAGCGGCGCAGCTTGCCATGGTAGATGCGATCCGTGGTAGAGAAGATGTTTGGCACTGCCACACCCTTTGACACTCCCTGGCCAACCTTGTAGAAGTCGGACTGGAGATTTGTTAGTGGTTAGAAACCTGAACCATTTGACTTTCTAAAGACAAACTCAATTATAGGGGGAAGGGGACCTGGGAAGGTAGTGGCTTGTGTTCAGGGACATGTCCCTCTCCTCTCTCTAGCTCACCTTTGAGAAATGGGTCATGTAAATGTCCTTGATGGCCTCCGGATCATTGAACAGCAGCGTGTTGGGCCCAACCCGGATGATCCTCCCATACTTGACCACGCTGGGATAGGCACATCGGTCCGTGTACCACACCCACTGCCACAGCCGCCAGAAGTTAGTGAAGGAGGCGACGAATGGGCCCGGGTACTTGTTGAGACCCTGTTTGTACCGGAAACTAGCTGCCCACGCGCAGACCAGGACTGCAGCGAGAGAAACCCACCCCCATGAAGGGATGTGAGATATCGAGTCGGCGGCGAGCAGCATTGTTGTGTTGTGTCGAATTAGGAAGGGGGAGAGGTACGGACAGGCTGGACTCTGTGTAGCGGTGGTGATGATGGAGGTATGCACACCGTGGTAGTTATTAGTCGTGGGCGGCTCAGACGACTTCAATACTCAATGCTCAATGGCCTTTGGGATCGATCAATCGCCCTTCCCCTCCAGATCCGGCGGGAAGAATACCAAGCTTCTTAAGAGATAAAGGCTTGAACAACAAATATCGCCCTTTCTCCAATAACGTCTCACCGTTTTCAACTACTCTCGGTCAAGTTCCGCATCTCGGAGTCTGACTCGACCTGTTGGTCCCACGGTGGGTTCCATGCACCTGCGAAATGCTTTCAAGGGGAAGTCGGGAAGCCGTGGCGGGGAAAGGCCGGAGTTGGTGGTTGTCGAGTGGGACATGGGAGTTGCCGTCGCTATAAGGAATATGTAATTAGTGTTATGTAGAGACCCGATCGAGGCTATGCTAGATCGGAGATTGAGGGCCTAAAGCATCTCAATGAGAGAGTAGCGAGAGCGTGACGAGAGTGAGAGGATAGAGAGCTGGAGGAACTCAGACGTGGTCAGTGGAAGTACTCATCTACATACCGGCAGGCAAGTGTTCTCAAGGTTCACCGAGGCCCCCTCTCACCAGAATCACAAGGTCATAAATGCACGACAGGTGGGGAGATGGTCATTCCTTTGTTTGTCAGACATTGCGTTAGCGAGTTCAGGTCTTTGACTTCTTTGTATGTGTCGAGCCATGACTACCAGAATACAGCATATCGCTATGCAAGCCCAATGCTTTCCTTTGCAGCCGCCCAGTCTGCTTCCAAATTCCCCTTCCACACCCACGCCATGCGATCCTTGACCTTGTCCCGCACTACTGGCAGGCACTCTTCGAACGTCTTCCCCTCAAAGTCTGGCCCGTGCATGTCGTACACCTCAGCCGCCTGCCGTGATGTGATCTGAGCCTTTTGCGCCCGTGGTACCCGTGCCGCCTGGTACAGGTTCATATACGTCGCGAGTCCAGCGGAGGGGTTCTTCAGGTAGTCCCGCACGGCAAAGCCGAGCACGTTGCCATCTTCGATCGAGAGTCCAGCCCCAGATCCTAGGAGGTGGCATTAGACGTTGAACGGGAAGCAGGGGTATATAAGTAGAAAAAGGAAATCAACTTGCCTTGCATGGGTAACATTGCGTGCGCCGCATCGCCGCTGAGAACGACCTTGCCATCCAGGTAGCACCACTGAGACAAGATCTCCCTGTCATTGATTTTCCACTCGCTGATGATAGGCGGCATGGCTTGGATGATCCTCTGCACCGTCGGATTCCACCCGGCGTATTCTTTCTCGATGGCTTCCCGCGGCGCTTCACTTCGCCAGCTCTCCTTGAGGCCGCCCAGTTCGCTCTCGGGCTTTGAAACGAACGCGACGACATTCATGAGCTGGTTTTGTGACATAGGGAACGCCAGGAAATGCTTGTTTGGTGCTAGCCACGAGAGCGTCCAGGACGAGTACGGCCAGTCGTCAGAAACGGCAGATAGAGGGATTATGCCCCTGAAGGCTATTCGGCCTGAGTAAACAGGCTTGTCCACCGCAAAGTGGGAGCGGACGGCGCTGTGAATGCCGTCGCAGCCAATGACCAGATTCGCCGACTCCTCTGTTCCATCAGCAAAGCGAAGCGTCACTGTAGAGCCATTATCCTATCTGAACATCAGACATTGCGAGGGCAAGATACTTGTGACATGAAGTCCAGATGTTCATACCTCAAGTCCGACGAGTCTCTTGTTCGTCTTCAGCGTTGCACAGTTCTTCCTCTGTATCTCGCCATACAAGACCTCCAGAAACTCGGCTCGATGCACCCAGAGCTGCCTTACCTCCTCGGCGCCACCATTGTCAAAGGCCAAGGCGTCCACAATCAGCTCGTCCGTGTCCCAACGGCGATTGCTCCGGTGAACGTTGTTTCGATAGCCCGAGATGGCATTCGCTGCCGGCCACACCCCAAGCTTCTGTAGCACTCGACCGGCAGAGACACCTATGCCAACCCCGGCACCAATCTCGCTGTATTCCGGGGCTTGCTCATACACTGTGATGTTGCTTGCGGGCAAATCAGGACTGTAAGTCGCAAGGCTGAGCGCCGTTGTTAGTCCACCAATGCCGCCCCCAACGATGGCCACGCGGAACTGGGAGGCGTCAAAAGCCCCGGTGGACGAGTGGTCTCCGTTTGCAGCCGGCATTTGATAGTGATTGATTGCGATATGCTACTGGAGAGTTTGACTCGGTCAAGGGAGTAGATCAGCCAGGTTTTTTACCTTGTCAATGGGTTGCACGTGATGATCCTGTGCTCGAGACAGACGGTCAAATATCTCGGCCCCTTGACACTGTAAATGGCATCCCCAAAGATGTTGGCGTCTGCGTATACTCACTCCTCACGGCTCGATGCCGTCGGCTTAAAAAGGGTCATGCTGACTTTCTGTGGCACTGGCGGGTCAAAAGAAGAGGAGGAGAGTGAGGAGTTGTCCAAGTCAGTAAGGACGGGGATAGCACGGGAGGGTCTTCTTGGGTATCTACGTATCTGGCACTGCGTACCACCGTGGTGTCACTATTTCTGCGCATCCTCAAACGTGTATCACCGTAACCTCGGTGGCCCTTGGTGGCGTAAGAGATTGACTATTTCTACATACCTAGCGGGCTAGGTACCTCGCTAGGTACATATCAAACCCTGCAACAACGCCAGAAGTGCCAGTAGAAAGCCCTGTTGCTCCATCAATGGCAAACATCATTTCTCCCAAGCTCGGCAAGTCCTATCCATCTCGGGTCAACTAATGTGCCTGGCGCTTGCATAGCTAGTCACCCCAGCGAGCTGCTGTGTCTCAAAAGTTGCGCAGAGAGCCTGGAAGGGACGCAGCTTGATTGTCTCTGATAGCATGAACGATATGTTTTCCGTGACCTATGATGGTCTGGAACCGTCGATGATGAGCTGATGCTCTTGTGCCACTCACAGTCATCTGGAAGCCTTCAGATTGGTAAGAAGTCAGCACGTCAGAGTCTCCCCTGGAAATCTCCGTTTCTAGAAGTGGGTAAGAAACATATTATATCTCATCTTCTAGCCAGGCCGCAAATGAAATTTCCACCTTTACTTCTTTGAGCACAACAACAGTCCATTCTGTCAATGGACACTCATCTCGCCAGTACCAGCACAGCGAGGAGTTCGAGAGTCGCGAACCATCGAGGCTTTCTATTGGCCACGAGACGAGTCGGCCGATTTCATCACCTGATTTAGGGCAGACATTCAACCGTCACGCCGCTTCCAGCCGTGAATGTTGCTGACCTGGACTACCCTCTCCGGTCTTGACGCCTGGCCAATACGACATTAGTAAACCTTGGGCAGGGCGGTGGCTAGAAGAAATGATCCAATGGTCGCGGCGACGGTGCACAATCCTAGCGACTTGACGCAGCGACACGAGGGATTTCCCCTCAGGCAACCCCATACCAGACAAATGACATTGGTTGTTTGTGTTACATCAGACTTTCCCAGTTGTTGGATAGCCGTGGAGAGTCCTGACTCCTGAGGTCGAAGAACGGACGCCTCGTACTGCGCGAGGCCCCCCATAAGGTTAGGCCCGTCAGCCGGACAAGTATAATAGTTTGCTCATGTCACGGTCAACTCGAACATCGTACTTACAACATCCTTCCCCGGTCTTATCCTCAAACCCCCAATATACCATTATGGGGTCCCTTCCAGCAGTCGTCGACTTCGATGCCCCGAGTGACAGGGTATTGAGCCCATCTGTGCTGGCTCATGTGGTCTTGCGCACCCAGAAGTTCCAGGAAATGCGTGATTTCTACACCACGTAAGCTTCTCTACAGGATCCCCATGATTTCGATTGCACAAATGAGTTGACGAGGAGCAAGCTTCCTCGGTGGTCATGTCACCCACGGAAATGACTTTATATGTTTCATCACCTACGACCATGAGCACCACCGTATCGCCCTGATCCAGACCCCTGACACTGGGCCAAAGGTGCCTACCAGCTCGGGCTTGCACCACATTGCGTTCACGTTCGACGACTTGCAGACTCTCCTGCTGTCATATCGCCAGCGCAAGGCCCGAGGCATAGTGCCGACCTGGGGCGTCAACCATGGCACTACAATCTCGCTCTACTACAAGGATCCGGACGGGAACCTGCTCGAGACTCAAGTCGATTGCTTCGACACCGCCGCCGAAGCCACAGAGTACATGATGAGCAAGGAGTTCGCCGAGAACCCGATCGGTGCAGATTTCGACCCGGAGGACTTGATCGATAGGATCAGGAAGGGAGAGCCCGAGGCCGACCTGAAGCGCCGAGCCAATGTTGGACCCAGGACGCGGCCAAACCTTGACTGACATCATGTAACGATGGGGCAGCATGAGCAGAGGAAGCATGTAGCAAATCATGAATACTGTTGTCCAGGAAAGACATCGAACACCTTCTTATCTAGGTACTTGTTCGTTCTCCGAATTAGAATGCGTGAGTGGTTCAAGGCAGCCACTTCGACCTCGGCTTCGTACAACCGCGACTTCGCGCGATACCTGGCAGAATTTTCTCGCGCCAAATCTGGCTGGCATGTGTTTCTCCTGCCCAGGTAGACAGGCATACCTCGTACCAGGCTACAATTTTCTTACGAGCATTTACCGAAGTCGAGGTTGTACGAAGTCGAAGTCGCTGTCCTGAACCATTCCCTGGAGTTCACCACAACTCCCCGTTCCTTCCACATTGAGTAGATAAACAAAATCTCTCCATGGCCTCCAATTTGTACATTGGTCCGCACTTGCGGTGTCGCGGACCTTTTCTTGCTCCGGCATGCGGCAGGTGTTCGCTACTCGTAGTTGGACAGTACATATGTACCTAGGTACATATGTAATTTGCGGGGTTGAAAAACGGGGAAGGATGCGGGATTGCGGGTGGATGGCACTAGTTGAAAACCTGGATCTCTTCGAAGCCAGAAGCCGCAACGAAAACCACAGGACGATGAGCACTGCGCCCACAGTTCTTCCCTTCGCAGCATCACCCACTTGGTCGACAATGACCGGCGATATAGGCGCCCAATCTCGATGTTAGAACACAATGGGCTCGAGCAAGGTTGCCCGGCGCAGAACTCCTGCCTCAGCACCTTGTCCAGAGTGCGGTCGCGCCTTCTCGCGTAACGACAGCTTGAGTCGCCATCTCAAGACCCATGTCAATCACGCAGAAGAGCGGCCGTTCCATCGAATCATCAGCGAAAAGTTCCGTGCCTGCAACCAGTGCCGGAAATCCAAGATTCGATGCACGGGCACCGTGCCGTGCACCCGGTGCGAACAGCTACAAGAACAATGCTCGTATGATCAAAGGCATCAAGATAGCAGCATCTCGTGGGCAAATAATCCTACAGCGACGTCTGTCTCGGAAGAGCCTCGAGAAAATGCTTCAGCTCCCTCGCCTTCTCCGCAACCATCCGTAGGCGAGCAACAGCCACGAGGTAGAGCGGCCGTTCAGGAATCGGACAATGTCTCTCTGGGTGTAGCCAAGACTCCAAATGATCAACTACGGTTGCCTGATTCCTCCCCAGAGAACCCTACAGCAATGCTTCGTCTTGCTCTGGCGTCGAATCCCGAGACTCGAGTCATGGATTTGGACGATGGCAAGGACTTCTCCGTCATCCCGTCAACATACGTATCTCCGACCTTTCACATATTGGATCCTTATAGCTATAGATTACCATCTATAGCCGACTCCCGCGAGGCACCCACACCCAACAGCCAGGCATTTGCGCAATGCAAATACCCTGTCCTGCACTTTCTATCGCCATTCCTGGATAGGGATTTTGGGTCTGGTCTAGCTTGCGACCTTCTGGACACCTACTTCTCGAGCGCCTTTCTCAGTCGCATGCATCCCACGTGCCACCACATCCACAACTTCATCTTGCGCAAAATCGACGTCCTCGATCCTTACCAGCCCCGTCAAACCCACCCGGCGCTTCTGGGCAGCATGCTGTTTGTGGCTGCCTTCAGCGACAAAGCTTTGGGGTTGTTTAGTGGGCCCGAGGAAAAAGATCGCGTGTGCAAGTATTTGAGTCTGCTCACGTATCGATTGCTTAATCCCGCCAGGTATGAACCGTTGTTGAGACAGGAAGACTTGGGCCTGCCTCCCAACTTTGGCACGGATTCGGGATGGAGCAATGATGACTTACTCCGAGCGGTGGATATCCCGAACGACACTTTTCCTGAGTCCTGGGGCATGGACTACATCATCGCTTTTATTCATGTCTCGTCGGTGATCTCGGGAAGTGAAAAGAAGGCGGCAAGCATCAGATGGTGAGTCATTCCTTGGACTGCTTGCGATGACACGACTGTTCTACCTTACCACGATGACTCTGACTGCCAACCAGGTGGAGTGTGGCTTTCAACCTCGCAAGAGATTTGAAGTTGAATGAGGAGGTACAGTCTGCCATAATGCCACACAACGCAGAAACTGGGTCAACCAGCTTGAACTGCAAGTGTTCGTTGGGTGAGCATAATGATAGAGACTTCATTAACGAAGTCCAGCGTGAAGAGCGTCGCCGGACGTGGTGGCTCTTGTTTCTGATGGACCGACATCTAGCATTGTGTTATAACAGGCCGCTCGCACTGTTGGAAGCCGAATGCAGAGATTTACTGCTGCCGCTCGACGATGTTACCTGGCAATCGGGTGCGCAGCCGCACAGCCACGGTACTCGTGCTGAAGGGCCTCGATGCATGTTATTACCCCCTGGAACTGGGCGCTCACACGGGGCCCCAAAGATTTGTTCAGGGGTGGGCCTTTTTGAATTCTTTTTGCCATTGATGGTCCACTGTGGTACACTTCTTGACTGGAACCGGTCGCGCCTACATCCCGTTCTGTCGGGAGCCTCGATATGGAGCTCACAAGAACGTCAAATCTTACGTGAGCTTGATCATTACCAAGCGACCTTAGACCACGTCACGGCGAGCATATACGCCGAGAACGACGCCGAGGAAGATTCCCGATGGAAGCCATCTTCCGCCGCGGGAGCAGAAGAATCTGAAGCAACGCACATTGCTAAGACTGTGGCTGGGTACGCGAGCCATATTGTAAGCGTTTTGAGAATCTTGGTGGGTTCGAAATGGGATCCAGTTTGTCTCTTCGAGGATGCGGATTTGTAAGTTAACCTGGTGGCTATTTATGGGGAGGACTCACATTGAGACCGCTTCCTCCTTGCCCATCTGGATACATGCTGACAGAATACTGCAGCTGGACATCTTCACTGGGCTTCAAAGACTCCATGTCTCACACAATGGCGGCTTCTGAATGCATTTCCCAGATATTGGAATGTGATCCCGACATCAGCTTCATGCCGTACTTCTTCGGAATCCAACTCCTGCACGGCAGCCTTCTTCTCCTGCTAGTAGCATATCGCCTACAGGCCGATTCGGGAAATGCGATTCTGGCAGCCTGCGAGGCTGTCATCAGGGCAACGGAAGGATGTTACGTAACTTTACCTACTGACTATCAACGACAATTCAGAAAGTAAACACAACCCTTTCTCACCCGATGGAGCGTTTTCGATGCTAACGACAGACCAGCGTTATGCGATCGGCCATAGCCTTAGCCAAGGGCAGGAGGAGCAATCCTCGTGACACAGAAAAACAGCTGACTTTTGTGTTGGCCAGATACAGGTGGTCCAGAAATGGAGCTGGCCTCGCTCGCTGAGGATTGGTTGTTACCTAGTCACACTGAGTGCCGGGATTCTGTGCTTATTTGGACACTTTCTTCACCGTCTACGATCTTGGTTTCAGCCTGCAGTTGGTATGGTTCGGAATAGTCAAAGCAGTATGCACATTGTGGAACGACACTCCTGCCCATCACAAAGGCTGTATCTGGCAAGGCTGAGGAATACAACCAAAATTGTCCCACAGCCACATGTTCCAGCCGACAGGATGACCGCGCAAAGCCCTTCCCAATCTAGTTGACCAAGGAGCCTCCAAAGCAGAAGCGCGGGACAGGTGTTTGTATCCGGGAGCATTGCTGAGTTGCACTGAAATAGTCGATGCCACAGGCGCAACCATGCACCAACAGACCTCCAGCAGGGCTGGCTCGTCAATTTGCAAAGCCCCTCTGCGATGGCCAGGTTTAACGGGAGACTCCTCACCATGACACAATATGCCTCGTGAGATATCACCATCATACCATGACCGATGACCGATGATCGATGATCGATGATCGATGTCCAATGATTCCATGGTATCTCTCTTTTCATCATTCATCCCAAAGTCCTCAGGAAATGATTTCCCTTTGTCCGTGTCCGTCTCCATCTGCTTGGAGATAGGAGAGAGCGACTTGACCTATATAGACATACGCCGGCTCGCTCACTGACTAGAATGCTAGGATGCCCTATTTGCACCACGTCCGTCCCCTCTACTATACTGTGCTTGACTGTGCAATTTGCCCTTTTGAGAGATTTGTACTGCAAGATGGCCCCGTTCACGTTCTTGGTTTACGTTTGGCATCCATATGAGCACACACACACACGCGCGCATGTAACCAACTATCCATCCATATAATTGTATCCTTACACCTTGCTCCCTGTACAGACGAAATATAGACTTCCAGCTCATCACGCCCAAAACACCATGGCGCTCCACCAAGAGAGCTGTAGTCGAGTCGAACCGAGTTACCTCACCTCACCAATGCGGGATGCAACGTATCGGAGGCTAGGCTGCAAGGGTGGTTGAAGTTGATAACTGGACGCCGGACGGTGTAGCGGATAGTTGCCAAGGCGTGCTTCTGCCTTCATCTCATTGAGTTCCTTTGTAACTGAGGCGAGTCCCTTCGTAAACGAGGCCAGTTGCGCTTGAAGTCTTCCGACTTGATCTTGACTGTTGCCATTTGTAGTAATAGCAGAAACAAGAGGCTCCTGAGGTATCCACGGCGAGAAGTCTCGACACCTTGAGGGATGCAAGTCAAGATTGAAGGTTATTTTAAGTCGGTCCCCGCTTAATTGGTCGCTTCTGCTTGGATACCTATGAATGCCCACTGGGACAAATGTGCGAGGAAAGGGGGCCCTTCACTGGTGGGCTCATTGCTGCACCTTGCAAAATCGTTGCGGTACGCAAATCGCAGACGCAGACGCAGACGCAGATGTATATATAAATGCAGACGCCGTGAATCTACTCAGATCAAGAACGGTCCGTCACAAGGCGGCGTGCTGCCACTCCTCGTCTCCGGGCTTCTCGCTCAACCCCAGCTCGGTCTGACTGCTCATGGCGCTCGAGTTTGTGCTCTGGCGCCGGAGCAGCTCCTCCAGCCGGACCGTCTCACCGCGGTGCATGGCCTTGATGATGTCCTGCTTCTTGCGCCTGCTGCACCGGATGCGGGCCTCGTACTGGGTGCAGCGTTTCGTCTCGTCACACCAGCCGCCAGTCCAGAAGCGGTCGCCCGTGCACGACATGCCGAAGATGTCCAGCGCCAGCGCCAGCGACACCAATGCCACCGTCGTGCCGATCAGGCTAATGGACGAAAGATGCTTGGCCAGTGGGAGGAGGAGGATGGTGATGGCAATGCACGAGCGGATGATCAGGCGAGGCCCTTTCCCCAGGCGCGGGTTCTCCAGCTTCTTGTGCACGTGGCAAAATGAGAGTAGGTTCATGGAGAGAAGGGCTGCGGCGATGCCCCCACAATAATACCAGCGGAGACCGACGTCGATGTCGGCGACCGATTTCAGCTGGTAGGTTTCGCCCAGGTCCTCGATGTTGGCGTTTGCACAGTCGTGCGCAAGGACGAGTTTCGACAGCGTCGCGGCTGCCAGGACGTAGGATAGCACGAAGGGCAAATGGCAGGTGATCCAGACGGTGCTGGAGAGCCAGTGGCGGCGGATAGCATGCACGTGGACCCCTTGATGGTCAATCTCAAAGTATAGCCATTGAAAAGCAAAAGCTTGTATAAGACCGAGGATGCCTTTACCCAAAAAGGCGTTGAGGCCGACACTGGCGCGCGACTGGTAGAGAATGGTGAGCACCGAGTAGCCAAAGACCAGCGATACAAACGCGTTTGTGCGCTCGGTGCGGTGCTCGATGTTGATAGCCGGATAGAATTCAAAGTACTTCCGAATGAACCGCTCCCTGCGACTGCTCGGCTCGCGCGAATGTCGAAAAGAGGCGCGCGAGAGGAACATGCCGAACCCTTGTCCCCAGAGATCGATAACGATGGCGATCCAGATAAGGGCCAGTTGGCCGGGGTAGTTGACATGGATGCTGCTGACCCAAAACACGATGGCGAGGAGGATGATAAAGGATGTGTACAGGAGGGTGCCTCGAATCAGGGGCACGACGTAGGAGAGCCAGGTAAAGTACAGGGCGCCATAGAAGCGTTCGGCGAGATAGAAGGACATCATGGGTATATATGTGTCGTGCTCTCCACCGGGGTGTCTCGTCTCGAACGCGTAGGATATATTGGTGGTATAGGCGAAGAGAAGGATCAGGTAGAGCATGACAGACAGCTTCTGGACGACGTCGTCTCGTTCGAACCTGCCTCACAGTCAGCATGAAGGACAATGACACTGATCAAGTTTCGCTGAATTATACGCTCTTACTCACCAGTTCGAAACGAGTGTGAGATCGTTCCAGATTTTGAAAGCCATGGTGAAGTTGATGGCATACACCAAGAACGACTTCCCCGTTGGGTCCTCGGCCGCCTTGTCCCCAATGATGCCGATGATGCCGACGTAAAGCAAGTCGGCAAACAGTTCAAAGGTGCCGACCTCGCCGCTGCGGGCAGAGCGCCACAACAGGCCCTTGTGGAAATACTGGCGGATGACGGGCCGTTTAAAGAACTTCATGCCATCGACAACGCGGCTCTGGTGCTTGTCGAGCAGAGTCTGCTCTGAGCTGGATGGTGTTGAGGCATGCGACGGCGTGGATGACCCGCTGTGGTCGTCCTTGGTGCGGATGCGCGCCGTGTACCCGAACTTGCTGAAGTTTGCGTCCAAGGCTACCTATTCCCCTGAGTTAGCAACAAGGTGCCCCGGTACTTTGACAGCAGGGAAACGTACTCCGTGGTGAGTTAATTGGTTAAGTTCGCTGGACAGATGGTCCAAGTCATCTCTGACCTGCTCGAATTCGTGGAAGATTTCACCATGAGTATCCCGCAGCGTTTCGCGTCGGGCCGTGTGATGTGCGTGTAGTTCGCGAATGATAGCGAGGTGTTCTGGGGTGCCAGATATCACGACGTCGAAGTCGTCTGGGCCGTGCTGCTGGCTCAGCTCCTTCCGGAGTTTGACATGTTCTTCAGGTGTGTGGGCGATGTGGATTTTCCGGCCATCGGGATGGATGAAATGGCGGAGCTTCTCTTTGGCATGGTCGACATGCGGGTGTTGGTGCTGTTGCTGTTGCTGTTGCTGTTCGGGTGGGGGACTCTGGATGCCTGATGGACTCTGTGCCCCTGGAGACATGGCTATGGGCGAGGTGATTCCAAAGGTGATTCCAAAGGTGACCGATGTCGACTTCTCGCGCAGGCTGTCCAACGAATCCTCACCCGGAAGGCCCATTGTTGCAGGTTTCCCTCAACGGTGAAACTGAGGAGGGAGAAGAGGACGCCTGCCCTCTTGCGTCTTCATTTTAATCATCACAGGAGTTGCCACGGCCAAGTCTGTTTCATTCTTGGCCATGCGGCTTGTCCTGTGATGAGCTCAGCGAATGTAGAGACAAGAAGATGTTTGTCAGCTGCATTAGCTGAATCGGTTAATCTGGAGCAAGCGAGTACGTGAAACTGTGTTGCCACGTCGAAGTTGGAGATCGGCCTGGGAGCCTGATAGTGACAAGCCACTAGCTCGATTAGGCTGTGGCCGTCGCCCGGAAAAACAGAGGCTCCGGACTCTAATTCTAGCTGGTCGGTCCTAGCTTACGGGCGCCTTAGGCACCGTCGTAGCTTACTACCAGGAGCTCCCAGCGGGTACCGGTGGGTGCCAGTTACTACTGGTAAGCTGCAGCAGCTCCTGGGGGTGACTGGTTGCTCCTATCACCAATCCGCCCGCAGTTTGGCGCGTGCCACGACCCTCTGAGTGACCCTGCCAGCTCCAACACCGAATTCGCTGTCAGGGGATTACTTCCTAAATTCTGACGGCTTCATCTTCTCTTCACGCCGCATTAGTGAACCAGTGAATGGCCCCGATCTGAAGACGAAGATCGTATGGACAGACCTAATGCCAGCTATTCGAGAACATATCTCACGCGAGAGAACTATCGCGGCCCAACGCTGCTGCGATCTATCCGAGGAGAAGAGTCTCAGAAACAACTATCAAGTCCAATCATGAAAACCGACGTGCGGGAAGATGAGAGTCTCATCTACGCGCCACCTGATTCCAGTTCTTCAGATGAGGATGACGACCTGCCCCGCAAACCTGCCCTGAGCTCGCCCAGACAGTCCAAAGGAAAGACTCTGAAGCCCTCCAGTCCATCCACGAAACGTACTGCGAACACAGCTGCCTCGACCAGACCGAAACGGCGGAAACTCAAAGATGAACCTGCTCTTGACGCGCTCCAAGCCCTTGAAAGTTCGACTCTTGGCGACCCTTTCCCCGGTTGGACCTCGTCGGGTTCGCAGAAGAGAAAGCCTTCCAAGAATTATGCCAATCGCAAATTCTTTCAAAAGTTGGAGCCCATCGAGAGCATGAGCGAGCCAGTTACAAAAGGAAACGGGTTTGTATCTTATGCCGAAGTGGAAGAGCATGAAAAGAAGCCCTCCAAGACAACATTCATACACGTTGCCGAGGTGCCTGCTCTAGATGTTGCGAAGGAAAACACCAACTCAGGTCAGAAAATGACTATTCCAAGTCTTCCCACTGAGACTTCGGAACCCAAAAGAACGGAAATCCAAATACCAGAGTTGCCAGACTTTTCGTCCTCGGGCGGCACAGACAACCTCGTCTCTTTTGACGCGGATTCGCCTCGAGCGGAAGGCCGTAGAAGGTCGGGGTCAACGTCCTCTCTGTCTTCCGTGGACGACATGTTTCTACTCCTGCACAACGAAGAGTTCAAAGAAGAAGCCGAACTGGCAACAGCTCGAGTGCATTGCCCGGTCTGCCAAAAACCGGTCCGAGACACCATTTCGGTATTTGTTCCGGACAACCTTCGCACTATGCCTTTTCAACAACAGCAAAAGTTTTGTTCTCAACACCGACTCGCGGATGCACGAGGGCAATGGGAAGAAAGAGGTTATCCCAGGCTGGATTGGGAGCAGCTGGAAACTCTCCGCATACCGCGGAAAACCCAAGAGCTGAAGCGGGTGATCAGTCGACAAAGATCCAGTTACTACCTGGACGAGCTTGACTCGAAGATCAAAGCGGCCAAGGGCAATCGCAGGGCCATCCGGAATTATCTCAATGAGGGATTGATTGACATTGCTAAACCGGGTTATTATGGGCCCAAAGGTGCCCGAATCATGGTGCATGCAATTACGGAATCACTCTCAAGCACTCTCAACAAGGCACTACAATCGGACTCGGCGCTGCGAGCTACGGGCGTGGGCGCATATGTGAGTGCTGTATTGGTGCCCGAGTTGACCTTGCAGCTCGTAATGGAAGATATGAACCTGCCAACAGGCAAAGAAGGCAGGAAGGTGTTGGACGAGAGTACTGATATCGGAGTCCTGTTGAATCCGGACGACGACCATGTGGAACGGGAACAAGAACATGATGGGGAGAATGACTGAGGAGACGTTTGAAATATTGAAAGGTGTTGGTGTTGAACTTGAGTGAAACAATGAGCATTGCAAATACCAGGGTTTAAGGCGGACAGTGTAATAATGATGATTGTTGTTGTGGCGGAATCAGTCTCCTGCATGACATGTATAGCGAGAATGACAGGCATCCGAGCAGAGATGCGAGTGATATCCATTTATCCATGCTTGTTTCACGCATGCGAAGCGGATTTTGTTCTCGCCGTCCACCTTGTAGGTCATTACTACCTCGCCAGCGTCATACGAATCTGCATTGTCTGCCATTGTCCCCATGGCTACCTACCTACCTAGGTACTTACTATACAGAAGACGATGGATACCTCTGTATGCCACTCACTGCTACGTTCTGATACCTTTCTCCAGCCCTCGAAAGGGGCTTACGTATCCCCATCCTCGTATGTAATGCTTTACCGAGTAGGTAATACACATGTATCTCTCCCGAACAGGCAAATGGGGCTTGCGCCCGTGCGCGGCCACGGCAGCCGTCAACCCCCGTCTGCTTATTCATTGCATGCCCACCACCACCACCCACCGTAACCCAGGAGTCCAGCACCTGGGGGGGAGGCACGCGGTTGTTAGTTAAATATCAAAAGCCCATCGCCATTAGTTGTTGGACCCGTGCCTGAAACAAACAACAATTCTCTCCTCGTCCTGCTTCTCTTTCCCGGTCTGGTTTTTATTGTTGCTACAACCGAGTACTACTTACTACTCGTCGTCTCGTCGACTGAAGAAGGTCCACATCTCGGTGTCGACATTGACAATTGCCATTGCCGTCGACGTTGACCTTGGAGGCTGGTTTGGAGCTTCTCGCATCTTCTTCCCACTCCCTTGTACGGCCGCCGGGGCCGCCGGACACTTTGCTCTGCATGCACGGGACCGAGTTCGTGCAAAGGAATGTTTTGATTACCCGTTTACAAGGGGGAAAACCGATTCTCTTCGGGACTGTCCTCATTGGATTTCTTCGGAGAAAAGGGGGGAGCAAAGCAGAAAGGAAGAAGAAGAGAGGAAGTTAGGAAGGAAGTGAGCGGAGGGACGGAAAACCGCTGAGCCTGGTGTTGTCGAGAGACACAATTCGGTCGTAGACACGGAGCCACTGGCGGTGATCGAATCGACGAGCGGGCGAAATCCGAAGCTGGCGGCCGAGTTCCAGATTCCCATCTCCAAGAAGCACCTGTACCGCGTCTTTCACGAAAACCCAAAAAGTCTTTGGAGGCAGCTGGATCGAAGCAGCACCAAGGGCCTATGACTGATTCACTCCACTCAACACAACAACAGCAACAACAATACACCCAGCCCACCACGGAGGAACGACCGTTCAAGGCCGCTCTCTCACCTATTCCCTCCCCAACCTTCCGCCCCTGCCGCACCGTCCCCGACCGCTTCCCTTCCACCATCACCTACGAAATGTCCACCACCGCCACGAGGCCGACGATCAACCCGAGCCCTCTAGCTCGCAGGCGACGCGGCGGCTCATTGAGCGCCCCCTTTGCCGGTCGCTTGGGCGGCAACCAGGAATTCACCGTCGACCGTTCCGATCCCAAGAATGAGGAGTTGCTGAAAAAGGTGCCCGACGCGGCGCCGAATTTGACACTGCAGGAGAGCTTCGATCTTCGAGGTTTTCGGGAGGTGGAGCTGTGGAAGGCGGCTTTGATCGAGTTTGTTGGTGAGCATTTTCTGCGCCAGTCCATTGCGAGAGGAGGCGATGTTGGTTGGGATAATGCTGACAACACCTCGGGGTTGCAGGCACCTTGATCTTCGCATGGGCCTCAGCTTGGAACAGTCTCTCACCAGATACGCCTCCACCGGCACCCTCAGAGACGGCCGGCCCCTTCAGCCGTTCATATTTCCTAGGCCCCCTCGTCGCCGCCCCTATAAATGCAATCCTCCTCGCACTATTAATCTTCTCCTTCGGTGCCATTTCCGGAGCCCATTTCAACCCGCTGATCACGATCGGCACATTTTTTGCCAGATTAACCACCTTTCCCCGTCTGGTGATGTACGTGGCGGCGCAGACCTCGGCTGCTGCGCTTGCCGGCCTGCTGTTGAGAGCGTCGGCGAATACCAGAGACTTCAAGGTTGGAGGATGTTATCTCTTCGAAGATATGGGGACTCCTGTGTCGAGTGCTTTCACCATCGAGGTCGTCGCTGACTTGCTCCTGCTTGTGCTCGCCTTCGGAGTTGGTCTAGATCCCCGTCAGCGCGAGATTTTTGGCCCTGCGCTGGGCCCAATCTTTGTTGGGCTGGCCGTGGGAAGTATGGCGTTGTGTACGGCATTCAGTCTGCCCGCGTACGGCGGCGCTAGCCTGAACCCAGCAAGGTGCTTTGGTGTATTCGTGGGCAGTCGCTTCCCAGGCTGGCATTGGGTGCACTGGGTAGCGCCTCTTGTGGCCAGTGCTTTTCATGGTGTTGTATACTTCCTTGTCCCGCCTGGTGAGCCAAACAGGGCACACGCCCACAAGATTGGCAGAGCTACTCACAAAACTGAGCCGCAGAGCCAGGAGGATGGAAAGGAGAGCGTGTAAAAACTTTTGGGCAGGCTTCTGATTTCGCAGGTCTGAGATAATCGTAATGGGAGAGTGTTATTTGGCGAAGGTTGATGACGGTGTCAAGCACCCATCATGACTCTTCTCTTGGGTGCCTTTTTCTTCCCACCCCCTTTGACATATTGGACAGCCTTGTGACTGCGTTCCTCTAACCCAGCGTCCTCGCCTCTGTGACCTTCTATCCAACAGTTGGTACAGTAGAGATCTCCGTCACAGCCAATGCACTGGAGCGTAGCGTCATCGCTGCATATAATACACCAAGTGTCAATTTCCTCGTCGGTAAAACCGATCTTGGGTTTCGATGCAGCAGACGATGACTTGGTAGATTTCATGCCAGTGGGGACTGACGGCAGTGACAAGCCTGCAAAGCGAGAGGCTAGGTCGTCATCTTCATTTGACTGTCCTGTGGAGATCTCTGGATCTGGCAGTTTTGAAGGAGTAGTAGGCAGGTCGAGAGTAGAAACATCCCGTCCAGAACTGGGGCTTGCTTGCCCCGACTTGCTTGGTGCGATACCGTCTTCATCCTTTGGCAAACTCTCGCTTTCTTCCTCTGTTTCTGCAGTTTCAAGTTTGGCCTCGTCTAGAAACCTTGCCAACAGTTCATCCGCCTCCTGGTCCAAGGTATATTTCGACTTGTTGCCTACCGCGGTGACTGGACTCTCTTCTGTTTCTGGTCCCGGTTGAAACACTGAGACATCAATTGGCGGGAGTTTTGCAGAAGTATGATCCTCTCCTGTATCTTGAGCCTGATCTTCTCGTGATCGTTCACTTTCTGTGTGTGAGGCATCTGCCAGCGCTGAATTTGCAGTCCGCAGCAGATCTGCAACCTGTTGTTCTTCACTCTGTGTGACTTCCCACGCATCTGAAGGCCCTAAGTCTGCCAGAAGTTCTTCCACTGTTTTCTCATCTTCAGATTTTTCGGCTGGAATAGCGGGGTCCTTGGGTTGAGACGAGGAAGGACTACCCCCGAGCGATTTCCATCTCGTGAGAAGGTCGGAATGGAGGGCGCGATCAGGGCTAGGGTCAAGTGAAATAGGAGTTCCCTTCCCCAGAGGTGTCTGAAAGCTAAGAAGTATCAGCTCAAAGTCTCCAAGGCTTGAGAAGTCATTCAAGTCACTTTGTCTGTTCAAAGGACACGGCCGACGTTTTCAGCGCATTAAGCCGCGCCAGTAGGTCTCTGTCTGCATTTGACCTTGACTCATCCGACATCACGGCTGTATTTGTTGTACAATACAATGCTCATCGTGTTGACAGCCGTTAGGGCACAAGACGATCAAGAAGCTTGGTCACAAGCGTCAACATTCACTTTTTGCGCGAGTGGTCAACTACGCGTGACGTAGTCAAGTTGCGCTTTAGACAACCATCCGTAGCACGTTGCACGATCTGTTATCAAAGAGTGCCTAAGAGTGCCATTGCACTTTGAAATGCCTCAAGCACCTTTGCATCTGAGAACAATGTAAGCAGGGCATTATATCATGAGCAAGTGTGACTCACGATGGGCTTGCTTCTGGGCCAACAGTTTTTCTGAATTCTGTGCAAGAGCAATCCGTGTTCGAAGTCTGCATCAATGGTTAGACTACGTCTCAGCACAGGACAAGCATGTTGAAATACCTCTTGATGGCCCTCTCTGACTCATATTCATTTGATACTTGCATATACAGCAAAAGTTGCTGTAATTGGTTAGCCTTCCTGGGTGCCCAAGAGAACTAGGCGCATACCATAGAGCGGGCACTGAATTCATCCATGATCTCCCTCTCGGTAGTAATACAAGGCTGTATCTCCCTACTATATCGTGCTTCGAGATCGTCCCAGTCCATTGCATCCAAGTCGACAGAGGTATCTCTCTCGTTCAGTGCTCGCTCGAAGTTTTGGAATTCGAGCTCCAGCTGCTGTTGATAATCGTGAATTTCTTTGACAAGACTATTGCGTGGGGTCATCAGAGCAGGAGCTGCAACAGACTCTCTGGCGATGGGCTGAACCAGGGGTTTCCCATCGGCTTGAAATGAGCTTTGGTGCTCAAAAGGATTGTTCCGAGGCTGAGGTGCTTGAGACTCGGGCATTGCTGGAAGCGTGGAAGATCTCTGGAACCTTGTGCTTGTAGGACTCGACATCGGGGTATCAGCCGGCTGATAGATCTCGTCGTTTGTACGTTTTCGGGCCACGCTGCCTTGTCTGGACCTGGACCTGTCCGGTAGTGGTGAGGAGAGGACTGCCGTGGCTGCCGCCGTATGTAATTCTGGAGGAGGCGTTTGCTTCCCCTCGTTCGTAGTCGGAGTATGAATAGCACCAGTCTCAGTTCGATTCACTGCGTCCATCTTGGCTAAATTGACTGCACACCAAAACTAAAAACGTCAATGAACTTTCGACGACGTTGAACAGACCAAGACAGACCTCGCTGCCCTTTTCGCTTTGTCCATCTTCGCTTAAACTTCGGCACAACGCGTCAACTGACACTTATTCTTCTTTGGTGTTAGCGTTCCTCGCCAAATCACGTGCAGAGACAACTTTCTCCTACGTCATGCCGCAGCTCAGACGGGTTGGGCCTAGCCTGAGCCTCATATCACTTCGAGACAGGTCAGTCGTGCCTATTCCCGTTCCCGTGCTCCTCTTCGACAATCTGATGGCGCCTTGATGACAATGTCAGCGCTGTCGCGATAATCGTGCTGGACGCACCCTATTCACGGGACAAACTCATTCTAACATCATGATTGCAGATTTCTTGCCAGCGAAACCCCGCCACCGCCGAAATCGCTGGATGCGGAGGTTAAAGACAACGAGACCACTGAACATGAAATCGAGATCCCCTTGACTGCCCCCGACTCTTCTGCCGACTCTAGTTACGTCAAGGTAGAAACCGTCAAGATGGATTGTCCTGTCTGTCACAAACACCTCACGGAAAGCACAGGCGTCAACTGCGCAAACTGTGTGAACAACCTGCTCTACAACTGCCGCTTTGACCTCGCCAGAGTCCTGCTCCAGAAAGAGTCCCTAGGAAAGAAAGTAGAAGCCATTGTCGGTCCAGAACCTGAGAAGCCTCTCGATGAAGAAACGGCGAGACTCAGGAAGGCTTGGCAAAGACAGCAGGAAAAGATCGAAGAACAGCGGGCCAAGGAGCAAGAAGAAGATATGCGGCGCGAACTCGTCCTCAGGCAGAAGGAACTGCAAGAGAAGAAAGACCATGCGCAGGCTTTGAGAAAGAACCTGGAGGAACGAAGAGCCAATCTCGCCGCCGCAAAGCAAGCCCAGGCCAAGAATCACAAGAAGAAGCTGGAGGAGCTCAAAGAGAACGGTGAGAAGCTGAAGGCACAATATGACGCCCTTCACGAGAAGATCGTCGACACCCGCGCCATTCTCTGCCGCGAAGCTGCCAGTCTGTTGAGGCTTTATCACTCTAGAAAGAAGACCAAAGCCGGTACAATCAAGGATCGCCACTATGTTGCTGGTCTCTTATTGCCAGACTTGAAAGAGATCAACAGTGAGTCCTCCAGCACGCCGTCCTTATCCCCCGCTAACTAGTTATATAGATATGCGTTGCACTGAACTCACTGCGGCACTTGGGAATGTCGCTCGACTCGTTTTCCTCTGCTCCTTTTATCTTGGTATCAGACTCCCCGCAGAAATCACTCTGCCTCACCGAGACTACCCACTCGCAACTATCAACACTCCGCTCACCTCGTACCTCGGACAGCGCATCACCTTTCCCGGCAGTGGATCGAGTCTCTCTGCGCCCGGCAGTCCCACCGCATCTCGAATGGATCTTAGCTCATCCCCCAAACCTCGTCCACTTTACATCGGCTCTGATGATTACAATGAATCTGTCGCTCAGTTTGCCAAAAAGGAACCTCTGGCATTCAGCTACTTCATCGAAGGCGTCTCCCTCTTGGCTTGGGATGTCGCGTGGCTTTCTCGCACTCAAGGCTTCGTTGCAGGCACCGACACGTGGGAGGATGTCTGTGACATGGGTCGCAACTTGTTCCAGATGATCTTAGCTCCTGCGCAATCTAGCGCAGTGACTCGAGTGCTCGCCCAACGCAACACTCACAACCGTCACCGCCGGTCCCAGAGCACGTCGTCCCCAGTCATCGAAGACAAGGACAACACGTTCCCAGCACGTCTTGGCTCATACTCCCACAACTCAGCTCACACATTCCTTGGGTCTGCTGCTGCGGCTGGAGATAATCCATCCCGCCACTGGCGTCTCAGCCGATATTCCATGATCTCTGACCCCTTGAAGAAGCATCTCCTCACAGAAATGAACAATGCTGAATGGGAATTGTTGGATCAACAGGAATGGAACGATGGTGGGGAGAAGATGGATGAAGCCGTCTTCATCAAGACGAGGCCAATGGACGGGAAGGAATATGATGATGCGAGAAGCATCATGGCGCCCGGTGCAGAGGAGGATGCCGCCCGGGCCAAGGGCAAGAGTGGCTGGACCAAACTCAAGAACAGGGAGAAGGAATAGAGAGGGCGGCGTTTGTGGACATGAATAACGAACAATGATGCATTTGCTTGGAGCTAGGGGGCATGCTTTGCCCAGCACGAGGCTGGGAAAATTGGCGTTGGGGGCTGTCTCTGGTTCGATAGAGAACGAGCGCACCATGCGCATGCGGTGCTGGTTGTAGGCAGGATAACGAGCACGAATGATACCCCAATTTTCAAAGTCAGCGATGTTCGTTGTCTCCAGTGACCTCTCAATGCAGGGAAACTCCTCCTCTCAAAGGGATCCAAGATAGAGCGACGGGCGACAGGACAGTATTGTGCAATGGCCCCTTGAACGGGAACAGTGGCGTGCTCTACCTCCATCCACATCAGGGGCGAGTGTCCAGACAAGGCTGGAGGCGGAATGTCGGCACGGACCCCGTCCACGAGGCTGAGGAATGCACATGGCACCCAGGAACAGACCGCAGCAAACAGGCTCGTCTGTCGACCCGGTCTCGTCTTGTTTTTCATCCCTCTTTGTTCGTTCACAGTCATGGCATCCAATGGCGTCTAGCTGTTTGCACAATGTCCGCCGAGGAGTGTCTGGATGGTCCTTTGTTCTCACAGCCGGACCATTTGACTGGGATCTTTGTCGTGCTGCCTCACCCTCTTTCTCTCTCTCAACCCTCTCCCCAGCCATCTGCTCATTCCCAGTCCTAAGTCACTGGTAGCTGTCGCCCAGACCATCCTTAGGCCCCGTGATCCGTGCTCGCTGCCGCCAAGTGCCAGCCTTCGCCCATTCACAGCCGAGCGCAAGCAAAAGGCTCTGCAAACAGTAAGTGAATCAGACGGCAACGCACGAGTGACAGTGCTGTTTGCGCATTACTCATTATCGCCCTCAAACAACTGAAGCACACCTTTTCCCGTCATTTTTCTTCTCCACTCTTTCAGTGAACTTTTTCCTCGCGACACCATACTCGAGACACGAAACAACAGCGGCAATTCGATAGCTTTGTGGACGGAAAGATTATCAATATATTGAACCAAGACCTCCTTTTGAGACCTATCGACCCGTAAGACACAACATCGCTCTTCCGCGGCCAGCTAGTGTCTTTTTCAAAACATTCAAGATGAAGCGCGGCTGTAGCGTTAGCGCACTACTACTCGCAGTTGCGAGCACAGTTCTGGCGCAAGACAACAATTGCTACGAAGATGCTGGTAACTGGTACTGCAACTCGGTCCAGGCGATCTCATATTCGAATTTCGGCACCCCGGGTCAGTACCAAAAAGTGTCGTACATGGGATCGAATGGCGAATGTGATTTCGTGGGACAGAGTTACCAAGGAGGCATGGCGCCCATGGACGAAGAGGTAAGATACAACTAAGTATCCTGTTTGGCGAAAGGGATCCTTGACTTACATCTGGTATTTGATAGGTGTCATGGCACTTCCGTGGGCCAATTCAGCTGAAGCAATTCGCGTTCTACACTCCTGGCTCCGGTAACACGAAGCGATCGCTTCATCCCAACCCGCATCAGCGCCCATACCCCCACAAACACCTCCACAGTCAGAAGAGTCATGGTGCCAGTGAATCCGGTGGTGGAGAATATACGAAGAATAAGCGCGGTGTCGGAGACTGGGTCACAGCGACGATTGACGGACAGGTCGTGTCGTGGATCAACTCGTACGCAGGGCCTGGCGCTGCAGCTGCAACGTCTGCTCCTGGAGACAGTGGTGACAATGACCAGAGAGAGGCATCTGGGTCAGCAAGTTCTGCAGACAGCGCCCCTTCACCTGAAGCGAGTATGAATGCAGGCTCGGGTCAGTGGGGAAGGCAGGCTTATTACAATGCTGGACAAGGTGTTGCCGATGGGCTTGTCTTCCTGAACCATCACGGCGGTGAGGGATCGGGCGTGTTCGACACGTGAGTTGTGTTCTCCAGTCCCTTCGTTTGATGTCCCCCGATACTGATAATTTTTACAGCGTTTGGGGAATGTCGTTGTCGTATGCCTCAGCGGATAATAGTGCAGGCTCTCCGTCTCCAGTGACTTTGGCAGATACCTTGGTCCCAGACAACAGTGAGTTTGTCATTATGAGCGACCAGTCATGCTCAGATGGCGGATGCGGAACTGTCCGGGAGGGAACGGTTGCCTACCGTAAGTTCATTGCCTGCTCGGTGCGATGTTGCATCTAACCAAATCAACAGATGGCTTTGATGGTGCTTCCAAGCTCTTTCTGCTTGAGTTCGGCATGCCCTTGTCCGGCAACACAGGGTTCAATGGGGACATGCCCGCAGCATGGATCTTGAATGCTCAAATCCCCCGGACTGTTCAGTACGGAAACTGCTCCTGCTGGAGTTCCGGTTGCGGCGAGTTCGATGTCTTTGAGGTTCTCGACTCTGGCGATCAGAAGTGCAAGTCTACCTGGCACGGGCTGAATGCCCTAGGCGACTCGAATTGGTTCCAACGGCCGATCAGCGGGACGACGAAAGTTGCAGTGGTGTTTGATGGGACTTCAAGCACTGTGTGTATTGTGATATTGCCCGACGACACGAGCTTTGACACGAGTATCTCGGAGGCGACTGTAGCTGGATTTGTCAACTCGATCCAAGCCGATCTGAACATTCAGGCTGCTTTGGCCAGTTGAGATCGTGAGAGCTTCAGAGAACAGCACACGCACGCCCTGGATATGTCGTTAACGCGAGCGAGTATGGTTAGTTAGGTGTCTGTTGGCCTTACTTACTTTAAGGTACCTGCTTTCTCCATCGGCAGGCAATGATCGGTACGAGATCTCCTGGTCATGGTAGCCCTAGCCTTAAACCAAGGAGACCTAGATATCTCAGAGCAGCATTGTATATACGGGGAGAATGTAACTTCCAAGTCCAGCAGAAAGGACGGGTTTGCCTTGATGGTACTACACTCTAGGATGAGGAGGACAATCACGGACGTGCAAGATGAGTTGACAATTTGTATTTTGCGTCTCCTCCTCTACCGAATATGGCGGAGCATCAAGCGCTGTTCCCGCACTTCACAATTTGGTCGAACTACAATGCTTACAAGATGTTTCTTGTTCATCCTCGCGTCTGCCATTCCATTTGCCAATACGTGGACCCTTATGTTCTCGCTGACAGGAGAGAGTGACTCCAAACAAGACTGTCTCCTGCGGAATGCAACTCGCCGCTAAGCACGTCCCCACTGGTCATCCCACCATTTCCTAATCAGCGTCTGGGTCGAGTCATTGTAGCGCTCTTCAAAATGCTCTGACCGTCAACCAAATACAGGGATGCGCGTCGAGTCGGCTAGACAGATGTTGACTATTGGCCGCAGAAACTTCCGTTGAGGCCTCCTGACACATTGCCCAGCGCGTCTGTGGGATCTGTGGCCCAGAGCTCGGAAGGAACAGCTGCAACTTCCTCCTGCCCTCGTCCACAAAATCATATGATAGTATGGCCTTGCTGTGGCCACGGCCCCCTTTCCGTGTCGGACCGGCCAGCCGTCGTCGCTTTTAGGACAATTCAAGCTGGATATAGGTATCACACGCAACCGACGGGGCCTTGACCAAGCGATGGACGTTCCGGTGGAATGTCGACTCCTCTCCAGTCAAAGCGTTCTGCAGGTAAGTCGACGAGCCTTTCCTATGTCTCTATCTCTTCTCCACGTGGGGTACAGCTCCCGGCCCACGCAATACTCCACTTACCGCCCGGGACGTGGAGCAAGTCGACATGCTGGAAAGCATTCCGACGGAGTGGAAGGTGACCATCCAGGGCCGGAGATGAGACTCGGCATAAGCTCTCGATCAAACCTCGAGTCCCCATTTGTCCACGCCAATATCTAAGAGACTTTCATATGTCCGAGTTGTCACGACAATACATGAAGCAACATGACTCACCCATCATCGAGTCCATGATGCCAAGATCGGGAGCGCAGCCGGTCTCCAATATCAGCTCGGCGTAGCAACGGCCGAAGCAGGACTACATCCCGGCGGAGCCTGGTCTTTGGGTTCCACAGAGCCTTCCTACCCCGCAACCTTCCACCAACGCCACCGTCGTTTGGGGGATTCTGGAGACAATCTACCAGGGCAGACGTTGAGTTCAGTTTCTCATTCGACAACGACAAGCAAGCCAAGCAATACAAGCCAATTTCTGAACACGAGATGCAACAGCGGAATTCCGTCCTTGATCAAACAGCCACCAGGCTCGGACGTCATTGCCTTCCCTGGACTGGCAGGGTCCACCATCATACTTATCATCATATGCTCGAAGTGGTTTGCGAGACCAAGAAGCGATGGAGAAGATCATTGCCACTGGTCTCTTTATTCTAAGGTCATTTCCTCTCCCTTTTCATCCTTCAAATCGTCCCTTTCGTCGCGTTTTGCCTGCACAGACCCTATTTCACGGGCAACCTTCAAAGCAATAGCACGCGACCAGGTCTTATTGTCGCAGAAATCGGGCTATTGACCAGAAATATGGCAGATAACATCGACAACAAGGGGATATCGGCACATAATGAAATCGAAAGCCTGAACCTGCCTCCTACTTCACACAAGTTCAGGTTTTCTGAGAAGTCCAAACACCAGAATGGTGATGTCGCGCTGAAGCTTTTCGCCAATGCAGACGATCTGCATGTTCCGATTGATGAGGCAGAAGAAAAGAAACTCATCCGCAAAGTCGACTTCTTGATTCTTCCTCTGATCGCTGTCAATTATGCCTTCTTCTACATCGACAAGACGACTCTGTCCTATGCCGCTATATTCGGTATCCGCGACGACCTTCACCTGCATGGAACCCAGTACAGTTGGCTCAGCAGTAAGTTTGTATCGATACGCATCGGCGCAATTGTTTGCTGAGGAACTTCAGGTCTTTTCTATTTTGGCTTCCTGGCATGGGCGTTTCCCACCAACTTCTTGATGCAAAGACTCCCGCTGGGCAAATACCTGGGTTTCAAGTAAGTCAACCCATCTTCTCGTTCCGTGCTGTCTCCTTCCGCCAAGTCTGACACGGAGCAGTATATTCATGTGGGGATTCTTCCTCATGCTACAGGCTGCTTGCAACAGCTTCGCCACACTTGGTGTCCTGAGAGCCCTCGCCGGCGCAGCTGAAGCATGCTCAGACCCCTCTTTCATGCTCATTACCTGCATGTGGTATACCCGACGGGAGCAGCCATTGCGCATTGGACTATGGTACACAGCAAATGGTCTCGGGATCGCACTCGGTGGCCTTCTCGGCTACGCCATTGGTCACATCAGAGGAGCGTTGGCATCATGGAGGTACGAGTTCATCATCATTGGTACGCTCTGCTGCACGTGGGGAATCGTCATTGCAATCTTCATGCCCGATAGCCCCGTCACGGCCAAATTCTTGAACGATCGCGAGAAGAGAATTGCCGTTGAGCGGCTGATGGGTAATCAAACTGGGGTGGAATGCAAGATTCTAAAGGTTAGCAAGAAAAGTCCTTGTCACACTTTGAGGCTCTCGGGCTAATGTGATTTCCTGGGAACAGCCCTACCAAATCTGGGAGGCCTTCACAGATATCAAACTATACCTGTTCTTCATCCTGGGCGTCGTTGGAAACATACCAAATGGAGGTATTTCGAACTTTGGCACTCTCATTATCAAAGGTGAATCCTCTAGCTTCCTGATACCACAACTGAAAGCTGACACGTTGTACAGGCTTTGGATTTTCAACGCTGGTTACCACGCTAATGCAGATTCCCTATGGTGTCTTCATCATCCTGTCGATCTTGACGTGTATGTCTGCCATAGAATGCCTCCTTTCCAGTCGACCCTTTTCCGTGATGCCGAGGCCTTACTTCAACCCGTTCTCAAAATCTTCACTGACTCAATCGCCTTCCTTCGCAGGTGTCTTCCTGAACAACCGCTTCCCCAACAACAACCGCTGCAAATTCATCCTGCTATTCCTGTGCCCCAACATCGCCGGCGCTTTTGGATTGTGCTTTGTCAACGAGAAACACCACGTCGGCCGCTACTTCTGCTACCTACTCACGGGCCCTTACAACGCGGCCTTTGTGATGATTCTGTCCCTCCAGATCGCGAATACCGCGGGCCATACCAAGGTATGTACCTATATTGTCTGAAATAGAGCGATATTATGTTCCCCCCACCCTCCCTCGAGCAACGAATAATCCCGATTTTTCCCTTTACCTCTCTATTGAATTTGGACTGCTTGGCTAACCGTAACGGCAAACAAATTGCAGAAAGTCGTCACCAACGCTGTCCTGTTCTTGGGGTATTGTACCGGAAAGTGAGTCCCACCTTCATCTGAGAAGAGAAAGATATTTAGGGCCGGCCGGGTTTAATTCTGCGCTCAACTCCCGCTCTCACGCTATTGAGCAAAAACATTAGCTAAAACTATACTTTGTTTTCGACAGCATCGCCGGCCCGTTCTTCTACAAGACAGATCAAGCGCCCGGATACACGCTGGGCATTTGGAGCATGATCGTCAGGTATGTATGCCATGCACACGGACCCGCACGCCACTCCCTCATTCAATTCCTTCCCAACCCTCCGGCTCCCGAGATAACTAACTAACATATGACGCAATTTTGATATGTCGATAGCCATCTCCTCGAAGTCTGCGTCATCATCACCTTCTGGATGCTGATGAAGTACGAAAACGCCCGCCGCGACAAGATCCAGGGCCACCAGGAACGCGACCTCGACGCCACGGCGTTCGGAGACCTGACGGACCGGGAGAATTTGAACTTTCGGTACATCTACTGAGATGGGATGGTTGGGTTGGTAGGAGAAATGTATGCTGGCAAGCAGGCAGGCAAGTAAGTGGACAAAGGAGCAAGAAATTGATTACATGATCACTGTTCAGCAAGCTGGTCCGACTAAAGAACAACCTTTGTGAGGCGGATAGAAGCTACATCAATGATAAGATTATTCCCAATACATCTTGACACTTCTGTGTGGCACAATCCACATGACGTGTACCTCATGATAGATTCCTTTCCCTCTCAAAACCGGAACCCCCAACACCAATGAAATCGAAAGAGCTGCGCTACTTTCTCTGAGACGGGCCCCCTCGGATTGCAAGTGGCTTAGTGCCGGCCTTTCCCTCTTTCAGCGGAATTTTGCCCACAGAGGTCTTGTGCACAGGAGGCTGGGGCGATTTGATTTCGGAGTTGGTTTTGAGAACATTGGTTGCGGGGACATCGCGAGTCTCGTTCCAGTGAACCGTCAAGCAGCGGTTGAGTATCCTCTCGACCAAGCTGGAAAAATACGCCGTTGTATAAGGCATTTCTCTCTCCCCAAGCTCCTCGTTGTAGAGACTGGAGCTGTATGTGGGGGATTTCGCTGCCTTTGCCAATTAGTCGACGAAGACCTTGCAAAGTGTGAGATACTCGTCCGCTGAGTTGCATTTAACCTGAGAAAATTCGGGTATCAGTTAGCTTGACTCGTTGGATTCAGGATCGATCCATCATACCGGGAGAATGTAAAACAACAGCTTCGTCTCGACAGACCGCAAGCTCCGAACCTGTTGACGCTCCGCCTCAGCTGTTAGCCTGTCCACGCCTGCTTGGATTGAAGGCGGCTGTCGCTGAGTCGACACCATTTTGCGGAAAGTGTTGATAAATGCTACAACAGGTTCCGGTGCGGTTTCTCGCGCGGTTTCTTTCGAGCCCTTCTGGGACAGAAATGGCGGTGGCTGTCCAACTGCTGATTCACGAGCAGAATCAGGCATCACACAACATTCTCCAACAAAAGAACGCATGTCTTGCAGCTTGTCCAAGAGATCGCTGGCAGATGGCCGCTTCGCCTCCTCACGCTCGAATTCCTGAAGAAGCAAGTTGAGGAGTGCACGCTGTTCCTTTGCCTTTGATCGAGCAAGGAGGTCCCTCAACCAAAGTTCAACCCTCCTGTGATCTTCACTGAAATTGAAACGCCAGCCGTCCTCGGCTCTGCACCATGTACGAAGCTCAGTCCTGCCACCACCGAAAAGCTCCGAAGCCATTTCGATAAAACAGCAGATCAGGGACCAAACGTCCTGCGACCGGCCACGGCGAGCACCTTTGATGACCTCGGGTGCTTGGTATAACCAAGCTCCAAAGGACTGGCCCTTGGACGGGCTTGTGCCGGGAAAAGAGTGTGCTATGCCGAAGTCCGTAATGACGACGTTCTCTCCATGCACCAAGATATTGTCCAGCTTGATGTCCTTGTGCTTGATTCGGTGGCCATGGATGTATTTGAGTCCTGCTGAAAGGCAGCCAAACCATCGCTGCATCACCAGCCGATCTCTCACTGTGAGGGGCCTAACCACGAATTGCTCAAGAGAGCAATCGGCCAGGGGAGACAGAAGCAGATGGCCTTCGTTGGCAGGATGGATGTAATGGCCACGCATCTGTATAACATGCCAGTGCGGATCGCGCCGCAGCTTCTCGAGACATTCGATCTCTTTACTGTATGCCTTATGGTTATCTTCTATTGAAAGCCAGATCGTCTTGCGGGCGAGCCATTGCGTGCGAAATTTGACCTTCTGGACTGACCCACTGTGTCCACGCGCGATGTGCTCTCCTTTCGCTTCGACCGCGTCTATCGCCTTTTGGGCGGAAATTTCGCCTTGGAGTAATGATGCGTCGAGACCTTGTATGATCTCAGGGACCTTGTTGAGGTCGAGGTCTTCAGAGTCTCGTTCCTCTGAATCATGACCCTTCAAGTTTCGAGCCGGGCGTTTTTCGTGATCCGAAGGTTCCAGTTGGCTGCATGAACGATCCATCACGACTAAAGATCAGGCTTCGTAAAGAAAAGAGGGACAGTGCTTAGAATGAGAGGGAGGGTTCTCCTGAAAACGCATTCAGCAGATGTATTCAACGCTGGCGTGTGGTATACCCTCGTCGGAGGGTATTCCCAACCCACGCTTCGGATTGGGGGCATTGATGAAGTCGAGACACCGCAATGTAAGCGCCTCGAGCGAGACTGCGCGCCCGTCATGCCCTCCACTCGTGCTCGGTCATCATTGACCGCCATTCTGTGTGAGGACTTGAGTGACGTGGACGAGCCGGGACGAGGAAGCCAGGCACGGCAACAGCAGCTTCAGTTCGAGAGAGGTGGGCAAAGACGGGAGGCGCCGATGGCTCCAGACGGCAGAGGTTGCCTACTAGAACAGCTGGCAGGACCAGAGTGGTGACTTCGAGATGCCTTGTTCAGGAAAACCATAAATATTGCCTTTTTCACCGAGAGTGCGGGAGAGTGAGCGGTCATTGAGGTGCCACGCAGGCACAGGTCAAGGCACAGGTCAAGCCTTACGAGCGCAGCCAAGCATGTGCATCAGGCTGACAGCAAGCAGGGTATCTACAGATAGGTAGGTACCTGGTATGTAGGTACATATGCACAGTCCCTTAACTCTGCCCATCGCTCAGCCTGCCCTACTATGTACCTGCCGTCTGGTCTCGCACGTAAATCTCTACATCTTCAGTTACCAGGTATGCGCCTGGGCGCTGCATCCAGTTCGCTGCCTTGAAATACACCTCGCTTACAGTCTCATGGGATATATGCCCAACCAAGTGGCTGCATCATCTGGACTGATCATGTCTATCGTGTCCATCATGTCGCACGACTTTACTGTCCTGGCATCAGTCACGCGTCTTTGGACAATCATTCTGAGAGCCAGCAGGTATTTCCGCGAGCCTTGGATGCAAGGCAGCCTGAAGCGGAAGAAACAGCAGTGATTGTGCGACATGGCCAAACCCCGTCACAAGACCAAGGCTCAAATCTCAAATTTCCGCACAGGATGTAAGGCTGACCGATTTTCCATTCGCATTGACGTTGGTCTCCGCTGCCCTCCGACTTGTCGAATTCCTGTCGCAGGAATTGTTGGGGTATCAGAGCAGAAAGAAGGTGAGAGAAAGAACGACGAGGCTGAGTTGCGAACAGCTCTCCTTCTCGGCTTTCCCTAATCATCCCTTAACGGCTTCGTTGCATCTCAGTCTGATGTCTCTCCTTCTCGCCTTTCCCCAATCATTCCCTTACGGCGTCCTTGCATCTCAGTCTGATGTCTCTCCTTCTCGCCTTTCCCCAACCATTCCCTGACGGCTTCGTTGCATTTCAGTCTGATGTCTCTCCTTTCTTGAGGAATTACCATTGATGAGAACCCTTCTCGGTGTCTTCCATTGAATTGGAGAACCTCCCCAGCTCCAAGCTCCAAGCTCCAAGCTCCAAACCCCAACGAAGCCCAGACTTTTCTACCGAGGAACATCTTCTTCCACGCCATGATCGATTAACGTTATAACGTGTCATTTGACGCGCCTCGCTTATGAGATTTCCCCACTTCCCCAGCTCCCGCGCTCCCAAAACTCCAGCCAGCGAGCCCGGGTGAGTGGAGGGGTAGAATGCCAGGAATATGGTGCTGGGCCAGCGGCCCGAGGTTGAAGTTGAGAGGCCACCAAGGCGACTCATCGAGTCGGCGTGGAGGTAGCCGGGGCTGCTGGAAGTGGATAGCCGTCTAGTGCTCTTCCATTATAACGTTACCCCCTGTCGCAATCATCGTCACCACCCTCTCGGTCGTTCTACCATAAAGCGGAGGAGCAGCGTTGGCTATCAAGGGAGCGCTTGTCGCCAGAGCCTAAGCTCCTTGCACAATGGCAGGCTTACCCAATCGTCCCTCTGACTTTGATGCCTCGCATACTGAGAAGGAGAGCATTCCAAATGGCGTCCCCAACGGCGCCAGCAGCTCCCTCACCAATGGGCAACCCACCGACAACATCCACAATATCACCACCGATGTTTTGATCGTGGGTGGCGGGTTTGGGGGCATCTACGGGTTGTACCAGTTCCGCAAAATGGGGTTGCGGGTGAAGCTCTTTGAAGCCGGTTCTGATTTTGGCGGTACCTGGTATTGGAACCGATATCCTGGGGCACGTGTGGACAGCGAGACGCCTTACTACAGCCTCTCCATCCCCGAGGTCTACAAGAACTGGCATTTCACAGAGCGCTTTCCAGGTCATCAGGAGCTTAGGCGCTACTTCAAACACATCGACAAGACCCTGGACCTTAGCAAAGACGCATACTTCAACACCGTGGTCGTCGAAGCAAAGTTCTCAACAGACACTGACGAATGGCACGTCCGCACCGACGATGGCGGCCTCGCAAAGGCCAAATACCTCGTGTTGGCCACGGGGTCTTCGTACAAGAAGCATTACCCAGACTTCAAAAACATGGATAAGTTCAAGGGCCGCCTCATCCACTCGGCCCTGTATCCCGACGAGGGCATCGACGTGACGGGCAAAAAGGTCGGCGTGATCGGGTCCGGAGCGACAGGCGTGCAAATCGTGCAGGAGCTCGCGCGCGAGGACTGTCAGTTGACCGCGTTCGTCCGCACCCCGAACCTGGCGCAGCCGATGCAGCAACGAAAACTCACAAAGGAAGAACAAGATAACGCAAAGTCTTTCTACCAGGCTTACCTCCAGGCGGCGAAGCAATGTCTCAGTGGCTTCCCTTACAACCCGGCGACCAAGACCTTCTTCGAAGCCACGCCCGAGGAACGGCTCGAGTATTGGGAGGAGTTGTGGCAACGGGGCGGGTTCAGCTTCCTAATCTCCAACTACCGCGAGTTCCTGACCAATAAGGACGTGAACCGGGAGATGTACCAATTCTGGGCGAAGAAGGTGCGGGCACGGATAAAGGACCCGTTCAAACGGGACGTGATGGCGCCGCTAGACCAGGGCCACTGGTTCGGCACGAAACGGCCTTCCCTGGAACAGGACTACTACGAGATGATTGACCGCGACAACGTAACGGTGGTGGACCTCAAGGCCACGCCGATCGTCGAGTTCACCGAGACGGGAATCCAGACCAGCGACAAGCTGCACGAGTTCGACATCGTCATCCTCGCCACGGGCTACGACTCGGTGACGGGCAGTTTGTTAGATATTGGCCTGATCGGCACCGACGGTGTCCCCCTCAATGAGAAGTGGAAGACCGGCACGTACACTTATCTCGGCCTGACCATCAACAAGATGCCCAACATGTTCATGGTTTATTCGCCGCAGGCGCCGACGAGTCTGTCCAACGGACCGCCCATCATCGAGATGCAGATCGACTGGATCTGCGAGGCGATCAGGAAGATGAAGGAGGAGGGGATCCGGTATGTCGATGCGAAGGAGGAGGCGGCCGAGAAGTGGCGCGACGACATCCAGAAGATGAATGAGAAGACCCTGTATCCGGAGACGGATAGTTGGTACATGTGAGTGCAATCTGTTTCCTGTCCTCCCTCCGCAAACTCCCTCTGCGCGACTGGCACCGCGCCTCCAAAATCTCCAGTTCGACCCTTGTGAAAGGGGCGAGGTCTTCCAGTCTTACAGAGGCACTCCATACGCCAATGCAACATTTCATACGCGGCGTTTTGATTCTCTATGGTTTCTGACTTGTGTTTTACTTTACTGACCCTACTAAATCCTCGCCACACAGGGGCGCCAACATCCCCGGAAAACCTCGCGAACAACTCATCTACCTCGCTGGCCTGGACGTGTACAACAAGTCGACGAAAGAAGCGCTGAAGACTTGGGACGGGTTCGACGTGGTGAAGAAATAGGGCTCTCTCTGCAGGTGCGTGCGAGTGAGCGAGGGAGCGAACGAAAATATTGAAACCGTGACTGCGCAACACCGAGAGAGAGGGTGTAGATGGTGAGGCCTTCCGGAAGAAAGCAAACGTGTTGGAATGAGAATAAAACAGGGGCGGATCTCCTCTGGGAGTGGAGGAGGCGCACTTGAGTATAAATAGCAAACGGAATCGATCGACCCACTCCAAGACCCGCAACCAGAATTATTATTATTACTGTAGTAATTATATTGTTCCGGGATTCTAGTGTGTCTAGTAAGTAGCCCACCCTGCGCCCAATCCATTTTGCCTCTATGAAAGGGTATATACAAGTCCAAAAAGGAACAGCACCGTCAGGGAAGCGTGGCCAGGGGCCAGGGGGGCCAGGAACCCGTATCTGGAGGTGGTTCATCATGCATACAAAGCCTTGCTGGTGCGGCGGATCTGGTGGCCCCCCCCCAAGTCGTTGAGATTGTTGGATGGCTCATCGAGGTATGGCATGATGAAAAGCCTCGAGATGCGTCGTCACCTCGTGCCGTCCCTGACCCAGCCAGCAGAGCCATCAGTCGCCCGAGGAGAAATAAACTTTTTCCCTTTGTCTCTACCTTCACCTCACATGCCCATTCCCATTCAACTGCTTATCCCCCTCAGAGTCACCCACGTCCAGACCAAACTCCTTCCTCAGAGCGTTTCCAAACCGACCGATCGCCTCGACTATCTTGTCCGCGGGCGCGGCCGCGAACGTCGTGCGGCAGAACAACTGTGTATCCGTGCCGCGCTGGGCACGGAACCAGGATCCCTTTGCGATGAGGACGTTCTGGTCCGCGGCGGCGAGGAAGACGGCGTCTTCGATTTCCAGCAGTGTGGCATAATCAACTCGCCCCTCGGCGTTGCGTCGCGATTGATAGAGCGGGTGTTTCGTAATGTCGACGTTGATCCAATGAAACATGCCCGCCTTGGGCGGTGTCCAAGTACATATCCTCCGGGGCAGATGTTGTTCGCACGCGTTGACGATAATGTCCCGGCGGCGCGTGTACTCCGCGCGGATGAACATGAGCCACTCCAAAAACCCGCGATGGCCCCAGTTCTCCTCGAGCAGGTTGTACAAGTGGATCATGGCGAAGCCCGCCGGGTTCTGCGCGCTGACTTCATTGTGTCGCATCAGTCGCTCAATCACCTGCGCGGATCCCGTCACCCACCCGCACCGACTGCCCGGGGCGATAATCTTGGAAAATGAATCAAGCCGCAAAACGCGCCCGGAGGTGTCGAGCGAGAGGAACGAAGGCACGAGATTCTTGAGGAAATCCGCCACGGGGACCGGTTGGAATGGTTTGGGCACGCGGTGTGTGTGGCCCGAGACAAAGGGTTCCATCTGCAAAAAGTAGTACGGCTCGTCTTCGACGATATACAGGTCGTGTTTCTCGGCCACGGCGTAGATTTGTTTCCTCCGCTCCAGCGACTGTGTGGAGGCGGTCGGATTCTGTCCCGTCGGCACGGTATAGACGAGAAACGGCTTTGGTGCCCTTCTCGCATTTTCATCCCAGGCAGATAAAACGTGGTCCAGATCATCGGGCAGCATTCCGTCCGCGTCCATCTTGATCCCCAGCATTTTACACCCCAACGGAGCCACCGTTTCAATGGCACTGCTGAACGTGTACTCCTCGGTGATGACGTAGTGCCCTCTCTCGGTAAACATCCGGAACGCCATTTCCAACGCGGAGGTGCTGCCGGTCGTCATGCAGACGTCCCAATCCGAGTATGGAGGGTTGTGGACGATCTCCGTGTGTTCGGTGAGGAAGCGCACGAGGGCTCCCGGACCCATCGACTGGCCGTAATTGAGGGCAATCGAGAGATCGAGGAGGGATTTCCCCTGGCGAGCGTCGTGCTTGCCGGTCGAAAAGACCTGGCCTGACTCGTGTGTCTCAGCTTCCGAGAATTCAGGCGACACGGGCACTTTGGCGCTGAGCTCCTCAAAGGGGAAATAGTCACTAGACGTTTGATCAGCACGGAGTACTCGGTAGACGTACAAGATAACCAACGAATACCACTCACCTCGAAGGCAGTCCGCCGCAGAGGCTGATGGTCTCGGGCCGAAAATACTTCATAGCACCCTTCAACGAGGAAGCTTGTCGGGCCTTGCTCTCGGTCGAGAGACGGTGATCCCACCGGTTGGCCGCCGGTTTTCGGAAGCACCCTTTACTTTTGAACATATCCGCACTCGAAAAGGCAGCCACTGTCGTGGGCGGAGGTCCTGTCTTCTGGCGATGTGGCAGGACATGGTCGACGGTAAAGACTGAATGTGTTTCGCCATTGGCGAGGACAGGGTCGTCCACCACGAAGGTCGAAGTGTCTGTGACCGCCTCGGGTTCAGCATGAGGAGCCATAGTGATATTCTTTCTGGTCCAGATGTCCCTTTTGATCTCCTGGATGTACAAATGAGTGAGACTCGAAGATCGGGTGCTGTTCACCGACAATTGGCGAGATGGACTGGTTTATGGGCACAAATAACGAGAGACTGTGCAAACGATAGAGCAGGAGTAGTGATCCTGTGACGTTCCAGTTATTTCCGTATTACATACGACGAATACAGGGAGTGGATGGAGGAGAACGATATTAGGTAAATGAAAGGGGGTGGGACCCGACGAAGCCCAGCTTTTATTGCCTGGCTGGAACAAGGGATGGCCAGTCGTGCCAGTTTGAGGAAATGTGCGCTTGGACCTGCTTAGCACCGGCCCGTTTGCGTGAAGTCCAGAGATGGCCAATCACAACACCGCGCGTACCGGCCAGCTTGTCCTTCCGCGCCACGTGACCATCCATTTTAGGAAATGAATTTCTCCGGCGCCCTTCCGCTTTCGACATTCCGCCCTATTGTCATTCAAGGGCGCACTCGTGCATATAACGGGTACATGGAAAAGAACTATAGTCACAGTGGCAAGGCTAGCTCATGTACTAGTAGTGTTGATAAGGCACTTTGCTGTCTCACTATTGGCCACCGTTGGTCGATCATCCTCGGGCGTAGTATTGCCTGGAAACCCTCCTCGATAGGGTCAGTTCCTAACAGGGCATCTCTCGCGCCTGTGATGATGGTACTGCACTTGGACTCTCGAACATGATTCATTCATTCGCTCCTGTCAATATCTTTATGCAACCCGATCTGTCGTCCCCTCATCGCTCCTTCCCTTCTGGTTACCCGTCCCCGGCCCGCGTCAGGTTTCCCCATCGCGGTCAGTCTTGATTAAGCTCAGAAGCATTATCTGTTCTTCCATGGTCAGACAGCCCTCCCCCCTTTTCTTACAAATCCTTCCATGCTCGGCACCTGTTCTCATGTACATTGACGTGTTTAGTAACGAATAGACCTCCGCTTCTTCATCCTTCTTCGCCGTCCCCATCCATCTCACCCGACCGTGACGGACTATCTGGCCGTGCCCGAGGGATAGGCAGATAGTACACTCCTGTCCGCTGTTGGGCCTCGGCCCTCTTGACCTGCGCGGACGTACTCTCTCGCCGACTCAGAAATTGTCGCCGGCGATGCCATTGTGGCCGGCGGACACGGCGCTGGGATAACCGTACGGGCCGGTCGCGTCGTGGTCGTTTGCATTCATCCCGTGTCCCTGATTCAATAGTTCGGTGGCATTGTCGGGTTGCCCGCCTGGGTAGCCGGGGGGAGCGGCCGAGGCATTGCTCTGGACATTGCCGGCCCCGACGCCACCGCCATACCCGCCACTGCTGGTAGGTCTGTTCTGGTTCTCGCCCCTTGTGGATTGGGTCTCATCCCAATCAGTTCAATTGTTCAGAAAGATTTCCTCGTCAAGCTGACAAAGGAGAGGGAGATTCGGACGAGGGGGACATGACACAAAACTTACTTCGCGATACTTGGACAGATAGATTTTGAGTGCTTCTGCATAATTCTCGAAGCCCAACGAAGTCATGGCGAACAGGATATCTTCCCCGTTGACAGTCTTGCGCTTCTCCTGTTGACACTTTTCGGACGCTGTGCAACGTTAGCCAAAGCTTCCCGCCACGGTGGGAAAGCGGGCAATGATATAAGTAGACGGGCGCAGTTGACATACCTTCGCTGGTGATGAATGAGATAAACTCGCTCACACATTCTTGCATGCATTCTTTCGCCTCTTTGGCAATTTTGGCATTGTCGGGCAAGGCAGTCTTCATGATTCGGGCCACTGGTGCGAAATTTCGTATGTTAGCATCTGACATTGCTGACATGGAGGAAGACGACGACGACGTTGATCGACCGCCATGGTGCTTGGAGCAGGGTGGCAATGGTTTGGCTTCACGCTCAGATGAACTGGAAGGCATATTGGGGAACTTGTTTTGTCCAGTGAGACGTTGACAGCGATCTCTGAGTGGTCCAGATGCCGCACCAGTCAGCGCTGAGGAGAGCTGAGACGCAAATCATGGCGTGAGGAGGAGAGAAGCAGCAACGAATGAGACGGTGCTGGCTAAAGAGCAGCTGCAGCGTCGCACATTCGGATTCGCACAGAGCCCAAGAGCAGCGTTGCTGGCGCCCGCAAGGATGCATAGCTTGTTACGCAAGGGTCGAACAAATCAAATGCCAACGCTTCAAGACTGCGCTTCTGGTAACACCGTCCCCCCTCTCCAGTGGGAAAATTGCGTGTATGAACTCCAAAAGATCAAGATAAAAAGGAGGATTTGCACCAACCATTGGCAATGGGAAGCCATCGGTCCTGTTCCTTGACTTCAAAGTCCAAACCGGCACCTTGAGCACCTTCTTGTTCGCGATCCATGGGATCCTGCTCTTCACCAGAATGTGCGTTCTGTTCAACATCGGGTTCCTTGGGTGGGGAGTCCGACATGATGTAGTCCTGTACACTGAAGGATAGCCGCAGCGGCCGAATTGCAAGGCGAAGATTGTCTGGCTGGCGGTGATGACCACGTCACACTGGGGCGACACCAATGCAGAATGTCTAATGCTGGCCTGCGTCACTTCCGGCGCAAGAGGTCAGACGATCCCTTCTCCTGCTCTGTTTGTGCCCAAAATGATTCCCAGTCGGCACGCTTCCCAGGGCTGACGGGGAACCGGGGGGGCTTTAGGAATGGGGTATGCGTTGTCGCGCAGGCGGATCGTCAAATCGAGACTGGGAGCTTTCGGAAGAAGAGTTGAATGGCTGTGGCGGGATATGAGGCGGTCTACCACGGGCACGCACGAATGACGAACTTCGAAGGGCAGGAGTGTCTAGTCGCAGCTGAAGCGAGACCCGATCGCAGGGACTTTGGAGACCCAGCCAGCAGGATCGTGATGCAAGGCGATGTGATGCGACACGCGAGAATGCGCCGCGCGGTGGCTGCGCAACGATGCTATGCGACTGCTGTGCCGTATGGTCTGCGCGACTCGAGGGCCGGGACGGACAGCTGCAGATGAGACGCTTGGGTCGCCGGTTGCTGCAGGTCTAGAACGGTGGTCAGTCTACCGGTCAATCCGCTGGGATGGGGGCTCATTAGCGATACTAGCATTGGCAGACTAGTATCGAGATTTCAGGACGAACGTCTAATGGACCAGAAAGGGTAGAATCAGAACGAGACGTACAATGTATGCAATGCGCGAAGCAAGGCGGGAGAAGACAGGTGGAGGAACGAATGAGTGTTGATGTTTTGCCGATGAGAGCGGGCGACGATTGGAGGAAGGCGGATAGCTGTGAGAAGTAAGGATGGAAGGATCCTATAGTAGAATAGTCAAGGGGACGCGCTGCAGGTGCCAACACGACAAGAGGATGGACAAGGTTGAAAGGACGATGGATAGTTGGTGGATGAAAGAAAAGTCGATGATGGTTGGATGGATTCTTGGTTGGGATAGACAAGATGGTTGAAGGTGGAGAGGCCGGCCGGAAGGAGGAGCATCACAAGCCAGCATCACAGCCAGCAGCATTTGGTGGGGGGAAGAAAGTAACGGAGAGGGGGAGATGCCCGGCAAAAGCAGGAAGGGGGGGAGGCAAAACAACATGGTTCGGTTGCTAAAGGGCTAGGAGTGGGCTGTCACCAGGCTACCAGGCTAGCCAGTCACCCAGTGCCAGTGGACTTGATGAGTGTTTACCTAGGTAGGTAGCTAGGTAGGGTACCTTAGTGATGGGGTTGCTTCTTGGGCGCCTGTGCTACACACCTTAACTGTGGTGATGTGTCCCCAGAGGCCATCACTTTAAGCCCAGCCTACCTAGCTAACCCCAGCCTAGGGTACTACTCGCAAGCATGTCCCCCCAGGTTCATCCTCAGCCTAGAGACACGATACTACTCACTCGGTCCTCTGCTCCTCTCCCTCACTCCTCATCTCAGTCTCTCACCACCATTTGCTCTCGCTTAGACTGCATGACATCTCTCGCCTCGCATCTGCAAGCCATCAGCTTCATCTGAACCGTCCCTTTGGTACGCTTTCAACTGACGATGGATTGCCTCTCCTGCCTTCATCTTCGACAAATCCATTTTCAGTCCCATGCTCAAGCCACACCGGACGCCTTGACAACCATCAACAAATTGCTACCCGAGCTGTCACCGCCTTGCATCACTATTCTTGACTCGGCATCTGTCGACTACTTGGTTATTCCCTGACCCATAGGCTATAGCCCACCGTTTGCGCCAAATTAAGACGGTAGGCACATCACACCCGAACTTTCAGTCATTCACGGCTTTCCCGGGAGACCCGAAGTCGCGGTGAAGCCACCGCCATCTCCTCTCTTGCGCCCTTGCAAAAATACTCCTAGGACCGCAGTAATCTCGTTTCCCAGTCGTATCCGAGCCTGTGAACCTGGTTCATTATCATGAGGCCGTCAAAGATGAGGAGCATTGGCGTCTGCTTCATTTCCCATGAAGTGTGACCGTCACCAACCAGCAGCGAGAAACACCGTATCACATGAAAGGACCATGACGCACTGGCCTTACCAATCACAGGCTTCGACACAGCGTTGGGCCAGCAATCCGAATCTCAGCCTCACTAGCGAGCAAGGCCTTTGCTCAACCCGCTCGCCCGTGCATAAGCGCACGTAGCACCTCCCACTCGTACCGAGTACAGCTCTAGAACCCTGGGCTTCAATCGCCCGTGACGTTGACAGTCCTAACTCAGCTCCACAGAGCCCAGCTTGATCGCTTCCAGGGTGATTGTGAGTCTGTGACCAGTTACCCACTCCTGGTGCTCTAACCAAACTTCTATCCATCGAGATCGGATATAGTTGCAGATACAGGAGGCGGAAGCAAAGTCACATGGTAGGGTGGAGAGGCCGCCTCACGTTGGGCATACACGCATACCTAGTAACTCTTAGACATGGGTTTGTGCGCTAGGCCAGGTAGCCTCCGCCTGGACCACACCGTCACATATGATGCAAAGTTGCTCGCCCACGTGCTGTGATCTTGTCTCCGGTTACCAGGCACCCAGCAAGCCAGCCAGGTGTTACCAATTGCCAGGGCAAAAGACACATGCTACTTCTTCCTCCTGTTCACTTTGCTCCAAGAAAATGTGGAAGGTCATTGCACTGGCGCCCTGAGAGCTTCACAAACGTCAAGAACGGAAAAGTCGACGCCTCCCGGAACATGTCAGTGCGTGCCCATTGCGATGGCTAAATATATCCTGTATAATTGTCCTCTCGGTAGTAGTGTAGCTATAGAGCATAGAAGCATTCCGTCATTGAAACAAGACGTGGAAGGGGTATCTCTTCAAAACAACAAAGCAGCATACATGCCGACCCTGATGGAGCGATGTAATATGTTCCATTCGCTCCCAAGCAGTACCCAAACGTCCACATGGAAAAAAAAAATTTCGCAAGGCAAAAAAATGCGTCAGCTTTTCCTCCTTAACTTCCATTGGGGATCGAGCGTTCTGGAACCAATCGCTCAGCGCAGAGAGCAGTCATTCCCCAGAGCGACCTGTGCCAAAAGATCGTGGAGTGTACCGCCTTGGTTGCTCGATTGGCTCATAGGTGATCTCTCGAGTGCTGATTCTTCCACTTCGCGTGTGTGGTTCAAATGTGACTTCTTCGTGAGAGTAGCGACCATCATATTCAAAAGGTGGTCCTCGAATCTGAGCGGAGTGGTAGTTATTATCACCAAGTCGATCTTCTCTGGAAGCAGCACGGACACGGTCGTCGTGTTCGAGGTGCCGTTCTAGAAAGTACCGTCTGTTGTCCAAGTAATCTGAGCCACCAACTTCCGGGACTTCATGATATCGTTCGGAGAAATCGCCGGCTCGAAGTGCATACCTCTCCATACTCTGTTCACTTAGTTCTACATATCGTCTTCCGTCATGACTGTAGAAATACTGAGGCTCGTATGAAGGCATGGCGTAGCCTGCGGCCACATCCCGCATACTCTCATTTGGAGCATCGTAGCGGCTTTGGAGTGTTCGTCCGGAGCCCTCGTATCTACCACTGTGAGCCAATTCCCTAGTAAACTCACGGTCGCGGTCTGGTGGCATAGGGCTATAGCGGAGCTGCGTTGGAGGGTCGTCAGCCCACACAGTCGGCCGTTCATGCCCTCTTATGGGGAGAGGTCGCCTTTGTCGAGAAGGAGGAGAGACGCGGCCCATTGCGCGGCTGTCCAAACCCTCCCGGATCTCATGCTGCTGAGGATAAATACCAGTCGAGTGTAATCCCGGCACATTGCGGGGTTGCTGTAGGTCAATTGCATGCGCGGTCGCAGCAACGTCTTTCGCGGCATCCATACTATCTTCAACAACCATGGGACTGAAGTTATTTAGGAAATTCTCCACTGCTGCGTTGGTTGCGGCCTGGTGAATTTGGTCTCTCGAGGTCTCGATCTCGCTGGTTGGCGCTCTTGATTCGGAAGGTGTTTCCCGCCGCAAAGACAAGCGGCTGGTGGCTTTGCTAGCCCTCCCAGCCTCAGATGTTCCATCGACCGAGGTCCCGCCGTCTCTTTGTAGAGACTCCCCGTACGAAAACCTGGAAGAGCCGTCTCCGTACGAATAGATCATGGAACCGTGGGAGATAGGCCCTTGCTGCTTCCAAGTTTCCCAACCACGTCCAGTCTCGAAAGAATGGTGTGGTTCCTCCCGTCGAGGAACCGCTTTGCCTGAATGACTCCTGTTTATTTCATCACCAGCTTTACCGCCACTATATGACCCTTGGTAGTATTGAATGTTGGAGGGGGCGGGGCGCGTAAATGTCAGGTGTTGGTAACGAGGCCCAGGTTCGTCCTCGTTGGTATATCCAGATACTTCGGATCTAGCAATGGAGGAGCCGGCAACACTATCCCGAAAGTCTCTTGTTTCGAGTCCTGGAGGGAGGCGTCCAGCGTTAAGCGAGTGCATTCTCGCCGACGCCGAATAGCTATTCTGGTTGATGTGTTGTGATGATCCAGAGAACCACTGTGATGCTGTAACAGGTTGGAGAAACGTGTCCGAACCTTTAGGTCCACTCTCGATTGACGACGGCGGGCCGCGAGTTGGGAATCCCTGGCGGGCTTGTTGATGTGGTTGCATACGAGACATAGTGCCAGTTACCTCGAGAGCCCATGGAATGTTTGGATGTGGATCGAAGGGGGGCTCGAGCGGCCAATCCGCTTTCCAGTACACGATGCTGTTACCACTGCTGAAAGAGTTCGTATGTTTTGCAGCAAAGTGCTGAATGACCGCTTCGAATGCGAAGAGCTTTTGGTTGATGTCACACACGTGGCAGAGGAAAAGCTCTTTTCCAAATTTGTCGGTGTGAGGCTTCACAAATTCTTCATAGACCCATTTCATATCCTCGAGTGTCAATTTCCTGCAGGCAAGGGACGCCTGGTCCTGCGGAAATGCGGTTCCTTTCAGCTCGAGCATTCTATCTTCTTGAGCTACGACCTCGTCGAAGCGTTGTCGCACATGACAAAGGACCTCCGCAGCGAACTTACTTGCAGTCGCCCTTGTGACAGCACGACCATCCGACCATGTCTGTTGTATGAAATCCTGGGCATATCTCTGTAGCTTGTCTCTTGCAGGGATCTTCAATTCGATCCACATGTGGCTTGCATTTGCCTGCGCAACACGCTGCTCCTCTTCCAGTTGCTGACGCTTTTGGAGTTGTATGTTCGGATCTCGAAGTGCAAGTTTACTCTCTCGGTGTTCGGCATCTGCACGTTGCGCTAGAAGACGCGGTTTCAATATCTCCCATGCCTTGTCATCAAGTGGACGTGAGATCAAGATCGCAGCTTGAAACGCATCCATGTAAGCCAGCGTTGACGGCATGATTGGGGGCTCGAGAGCAAGGCAGCGTCTTTCAATCTCTTTCCGGCGTTCAGCCCTTGCCTCTTTTGCCTCTTTCAAACTACGCTCGGTCTTTTGCCGCGGAGGACGCACTGGAGGCTGGACAGGCGGCGCTGGATGGGCAAGAGGACCAGGGCCGACGGCTGCCAAGGGCGGTCCCGGAGCTGCAGAGAAATGTGGCAATGACCATCCTTGGGTTGAAGCGGATGGGTGTCGAGGATCTGCACGTGATGACTATTAGTTCTGCTGCAAATGAGAATATCCCAAAGGTACTATGACTGGGATGAATGAAACAACTGAGAAGATTCCGCTTGTCACTCACCCTCATGAATGCCGGCAGTGGAAAGCTCCGAGAACAAGTTGCCAGAAGAGGGTGTTCCAACGGCAGAGTTCACAGAACTCTGTTGGATATTGTCAAATGCTTGCATGAGGTCTGCATGAGCCGTAACGCTCATCGACGACGGAATGAGGGTGCTTCCAGTTTGGCCCTGTACAGTGGACACTCTTGACAGACCACCTTGGAGTTCCCATTGCTCGAAACGCGCAGCGTCGGCGTTGCTTTGCTGACCAACGGTCTCAAGACCTTTATACCATTCTGCGACTGCAGCAGCTCCTAAATCCTTCACATCATGGAATTCGGACTGAAGTTCTTCAAACTGAGGTCGGAAATAGTATTTGACCAGATCCAGGTTTGGAGGGGGTGACTTCTGCTGGATGACCGTGGATGGAATATAACTCAACTCCTGTGTCAAGATCGCGAAAGGCAGACCGGGCCTTAATGCCGAATAAGTAGAGACAATCAATTCTGCGTCCTATGGGAGATCAGACACTGTACCGGATTCAGAATAAAGGACCTCACTTTTATTAGCCTGAGTTGCAGGCAACGGCCACAAGTCCTGACTCTAAATGGCCAGATAGGCCGGACGCCATCCAGTCCAGGCCCGGCATACCAGGGTTCAGATACCGACAGTCGCTGCTGATGAGCCGTTTTTTTCCCACAGAATTGGCATGTGCGACCTCGGATGAGTCTCCACATTTCCAGCTCTGTCATTTTGTCCATCGGCTTTGGAAAACCCTGAAGGAACGATCTTCGCGATGCGGCCCAAACAAGGTCCTGATTCCGCAAGGTCAAATGCATGGACTGGCTAGACGCAGATTTTTGTGGCAGTAGACATGCGGGATCAAGAAGTGAACGAAAGGAGCGGTTGACACAAATCAACCGTCCAAGAGAAATAGGATCAACGAAAGTGAAAATATGCTGCAGGATCTCGCAAGGTAGCTCCGCCAACATCAAAGGCTGGCGCAAAGAGGCTCGCTTGGGGCCTGCAGGAGAGCTAAGGCCCGACGTTCCAAGTGAGAGCTTCCGCCGTTTACTCCGCTCCGTATCGGCGCCATATGAAATGGCGGTCGCAGGACGCTCCACAGCCATGGGTCCATACTCAAATCCGAGGGCAGAAAGATCTGCAAGGTCTGGAGACCTAGGTCTCTTTCGCTGCCTTATCGAAGGAGCGAAAGTCGATCCACCGTTGAAGTCCATGGCACGCAGCTGTGGAGGACATTTGCGGAAGAAAAATAGGAAATACTCAACAGATGAGACCTGTTTGAGAAACGAAAATATCAGCGCCAGGAGCCGGTAGCCAAGTGTGCTAGCCAGTCTGGGTCTGATGAAGAGAGAAAGAAAAACATTTCGAGCAGAGCGATTGCTATGCTCGAAAAACAGAGAGCGATGGTGTCGTCGTCCCGAGGAGCACGACTTTGCAGGATTCGTGGTGCTCCAACCTTATCCTTGTTGATTCTGAAGTATTCGGCACGACAGGAAAGAGGAGTCCTGGAGATATGCTGGTGCTGGCGATCTGAGGATCGGAGTTGTCAACCTTCAGAAGCGCTTTCTGTCGACTAAAGCAGGAGTGTCCGTGGCTGGTGCGTCTTTGAGGTATTTGGGCTCGATCAAGGGCAGTCAAGCGTCGGGCTATTCAGCAGCGGATCGTGGCAGAGAGAGGTCTATACCGGCAAATGGCTGTAGAGGTCAAGTCGAGATGCACAAGCCGATTCTAGGAGCAAGTAAATGAGCATCAATGACCTCCTGTCGTTGTGTTGAACCCTGGGCGCTGGATACGATTGCGGTGGGGATGAGGAGGGCGCAGTTGCGAAGTGAGGGAACTGGAAGGGAAGTGCAGCCTGGGATGGATCACATGATGCTCTTCATCTTTAGTGTCTTGGCATATGCCATCATCAAACTGCGAAGCTGAGGCACCATCTTGCTCCCCCATACCTCGTACTCCAACTTCCAATGGCACTAAACGACCATGCAGAGTAAGCTGCTTTTCAATTCTCCATCTTGATTGTCCACGCATTTCATTGCTGGATCCTGTAGGCTGCCGCGAAGAGCTATTTCATCCTTCTTTTGTCTGATCTCCCGGTAAGACCACCCAAGCCGGCCACACGCAGGTCGTTCAGAGCGACGGGAAAGTAGACACAACCACAAGGCAGCCGGGTCTATTTTGACCACATCGACAAAGCCTCCTTTCTGGGTAGCCATGGCTTCTCTCAACACCTCGACAAACGGACCCTCAATCTCCAAGAGCTATCAATCAATTGTCAATGCCCCTCCTCCCACCGGTCCCGCCGCAGCCTCGCCCACTTATGGCCAATGGGCCCTCTTCTCAGTCTCGGCTCCTCTCGCGAATGCTTTTCAGCAGGACTCGGGAAATAAAGAGAGCGTTTTGAAGGTACAAAGCACAGGAGAAGGCGAGCTCATTGATCTGGTTGACGAATTCTCCGATGGCCGCATTCAATTTGCTTTTGTCAAGGTCAAGGACTCCAACACGGGTCTTCCTAAAAGTGCCCTCATCGCCTGGTGTGGTGAAGGTGTCCCCGAACGAACCAAAGGCTATTTCACTAGCCACCTGACTACAGTTGCCAAATTATTGCATGGCTACCACGTACAAATCACTGCGAGATCAGACCGCGACCTCACCCCAGAGAGTATCATCCAGAAAGTCGCGGATGCCTCGGGCTCTAAATACTCGTCAAGCACCTCTGCTGCGGCTGCCCCTCCTCCAGTTGCCGCAACCAAACCCGCAATTGCCTCGAAACCTGTATTTACGCCTACCCAGAGTTCTGGAGTTTCAGGAGGCTACAATCCTGTAGCGCGCAATCTGCCCAAAAGAGATGCCAATGTGGATGAGGATGGTTGGGGCACGGACGCTCCTCCGGTCACGAGAACACAACTTGAGAAGGTCGCGCCAGCTTATCAGCCTACAAAGGTCAATATGAGAGACCTTACTTCACAAAAGCCTGCCCCGTCGCCCTTTACTAGCAGCCAGGCGGACGATCGGCCTGAGGTGGTCAGAGGTGCATACCAGCCCATCGGGAAGGTTGACATTGCGGCCATTCGACGTCAAGCTCAGGAATCAGGTTCCCTGAAGGATGACAGACCAGAACCCGTCAAGGGTGCTTATGAGCCTATTGGCAAGGTCGACATTGCAGCCATTCGCGCCAAAGCCCAGAGACCCGAAGAGTCGGGCGGCTTTTCGCGGCCGCCTCCTGTCTCAAGCCCATCAACCGGACCTTCGGAGGAACCAGAGATGCCCAGTCGTTCGCTGGCAGAGAGATCAGCGGCCTTTTCGCAAGGGCCTGAACGTTTGACATCGCTTCCCAAACCCAAAGTGGCCAATAAGTTTGGTGGCGGCTCGACTTTCACCGGGACCAGAGCACCGCTCCCTGGTGGTTTCGAGGCAAAACCTGCGGCACCAGCTGCGCCTGTGGGAACAGCGAGTCGGACATTTGCTGACCAAGGTGGGAAGACGCCTGCACAGCTGTGGGCTGAGAAGAAGGCTCGTGAGAGAGGCATGAGCGGCTCCGGCGAAGCCCCCGTATCGCCTTCTGGCTATACCGGACAGACACCGATCGCAACGCAAAAGAGCGGGGACAGCGGCTGGAAGAGCGGCTACACAGGCAAGTCGTGGGCTCCTGTGCAAACCACGCATACTGGCCGCAGCAGTATCGGCCAACAAGTGACCGGCGAAGGCATGAAGGCAGTCGAGGAAGAAGAGGGTCCGACTTCTCCAGTCGGGGGAATCAGCTCGATCCGAGATCGCTTCAGCGGAGCGCCGCCGATGGGAGCTCCGGCGACATTTGACCGCGCTCCGCCACCGGCTCCGGAACCCGATACAAGCAGCAAACCCAACCGGGGCATTCCAATCCCAGGGTTGCCCCTGCCGCAAGCTAGAGAGGAAGAGCCTGCTCCAGCACTACCTCCACCACCTGCACAACCACGAAGTCCCATGCCCGAGGAGGAGGAGGAGGAGCCAGAGGCGCCGAGCGGCTCTCCTATCCGCGTGGCGATGCCAGTCAGCGCCTCAGCGGATGTCACTGATGCCCATGAGGAGCAGCTATCTCCTCCACCTGTGGTACCAGCAACTTCCATGGCGCGTGCAATCCCCACTCCAGCGGCAAGAGAAGAGGAGGATGAACCAGCTCGAGGCCCTGACTTGGGCAGAACAGCGGCGGTGGCTGCGGCAGCCAGTACCCTAGGCACTGAAGCAGTAGAGTCTGCTCCCGCGCCAAACCCTGCAGCTGGCGGTGAACGCGCTCGGGCTGAGTATGATTACGAGGCAGCTGAGGATAACGAAGTATCACTGCGCGAAGGTATTGCTCTTCACCTTTTTCGACAGACAGACCTGTTGCTGACCGTTCTAGGTGAAATGGTGACGGACATTCAACGCATTGATCCAGATTGGTGGTTGGTCAAGAACGAGGCAGGACAAGTAAGTTGACCCTCCCAAGGATGAGGAGTAGTGATTCTGACGCGAACACAGACCGGACTAGTACCCAGCAATTATCTCACCCTGTTGGACGACGATGCTGGCGGTGCTCCTGCTCCTGCCCCAGCTGCTGCTCCCGTCGCCGCGGCAGAGCCAACTCCTCCCGCGCCCGCTCCCGCAGCTGCCGAGGCCAAAGGGGCAACAGCAACAGCGCTCTACGACTATGAGGCTGGGGAGGACAACGAGTTGTCATTCCCCGAGAACGCGATCATCACGAACGTGGTAAGTGTTGACATGGCGATTGTTGTCCACTTGAGTCTCTGCTAACGATGGATCCCTCAGTCATTTCCTGACGAAGACTGGTGGCATGGCGAATACAACGGTCACACTGGACTTTTCCCGGCCAACTATACAAAACTGAATGACTGAGTGCGAGGAATGCATGGCAAAAATTTTTGGGCATTCTAGCCGTAGACTAAGTCCGTAGATCGAACGGCAACCAAAAACGTAACTTTTTTTTTTCTCTACCCATGTATGCAGTCTATGTCTACGGTACCAGTCTACCACATGCAGCTCCGATCAAATGACGCAAGGAGAAGATTTTGCTACCAGCATCACAGCGACAAAGATTGTGCTTGGTTGGTAGATAGCTGCAAGAGGGGTGGAGGCACGAAGGCAAAGAGAGATGGTTGGTTCTTGGAGGCTCCAAAAAGTTGATCCCTTGGTGGAAGATGCTGTGGATGTCCAAGGCGGTGACCGAGAAGAGTTTAGAAGCATGCAGCGTCTCTGCAAGCTTTCCAATTCTGCTCCAATTCTGCCGCAACTAACGCCTCCCAGCTTTCAAGGTTCCTTTCCCCAGACAAAATTTTTCATGGTGATCCAAGGCCGAGAGGGCGAAGAAGGAAAAAAAAGTGACTGGTTCACGCAACAGGAAGAAATTTTTCAAGGTTGCCAGTCGCGTAGATCGAATGGCAGATGAGTGTAGAAGAGGCCTTGCGAGCCTGCTACCACCTGATAGTAGTTCCCTAGGTAGGAAGGACATCGTATCTCACTCACCTCAGTACCGAGTACTAGTAATTATTACATGTTGTTTGGCATCAAAAGAGGGAGAATAGAGGCAGAGAAAGGAAAACTCTTATCTCTCCATCCCCCACTGACGTCGGAGCATCCAAGTTGCTTGCCTGCAGCTTATCCATTGGCTCCCGCAATCTGAAAGCCTCGCGCAGCCGACCGTGACCGCACTTTTTTTTCGCTGCCCAGTGTTTTGGGGGGGCTTGGGAATCCTTTTCCAGCGCTGCTTTATTCTCAGCTTCGTTTTCTCGACAAATCTATGTGCAGTGCTTGCTTCAAAGTCCTCAAGTCGAGAACTATTCTGAGCTGGTTCCGTGCAGTGACTGAGTAGAACACTCGTTCTATCTCGCCTGCCAGCAATCACCCATTGGCTCCCACCGCAATGGCCTCGACCACGCGAGCTCTGCGCCAGGCCAGCAGCCTTCTGCTGCGAGACTGTGCTCCTGTCCCCCGACTCTCGGCCCGACCATTCTCTACTCGAGTCCCCTCTCTCGCTGTCCGACAGCACCTGGTAAATTCCAAGACACCGTCGTGGCAGCAAGTCAAGAGATTCACGAGGTCTACAAAACGGCGGGCTCTGGTACAAGAGGCTCCTCGTCCGGAGGCTTACTTGGAAAGCGGTGCCATCGAGTATGGCAAGAACCTGGTCGATGTCAAGAAGGTCATAGTCATTGGCAGTGGTGGTTTGAGTATAGGACAAGCTGGAGAATTTGACTATTCTGGTACGTGCCCGCAAGACAGACAGTTATGACTCAGTCCCATGCAAAATTCTTTCATGCCATATTTGCCAAGTGGCATATGGTGACAGCAGGTTTGGATCACAAGCTCACAGCGGCAACAGGGTCACAAGCGCTCAAAGCACTCAAAGAAGCTGGCGTTAAATCCATCCTCATTAATCCTAACATTGCGACCATTCAAACCGACCACAAGCTCGCCGACGAGGTCTACTACCTTCCAGTCACCCCCGAATATGTGACCTACGTTATTGAGAGGGAGAAACCAGATGGAATCCTCCTCACATTTGGCGGCCAGACAGGCCTCAATTTGGGTGTCAAAATGAACAAGATGGGCATATTTGATCGCTATGGCGTCAAGGTGCTGGGAACCAGCATCAAGACTCTCGAGACCAGTGAAGATCGAGACCTGTTTGCCAAGGCCCTCAACGAGATCAACATCCCAATTGCCCAGTCCATTGCTGTGGGCACCGTCGAGGAAGCCCTTGACGCTGCTGAGAAGGTTGGATACCCCATCATCGTCCGCTCAGCCTATGCTCTCGGTGGTCTGGGATCAGGTTTTGCCAACAACCCCGAGGAGCTCAGCAACCTGTCTTCCCGATCCCTATCTCTGTCTCCCCAGATTCTAGTCGAGAAGTCTCTGAAAGGCTGGAAGGAAGTTGAGTACGAAGTGGTCCGCGATGCTGAGGACAACTGTATCACCGTCTGCAACATGGAGAACTTTGATCCCCTTGGCATTCACACCGGCGACAGCATTGTGGTCGCCCCGAGCCAGACCCTGAGTGACGAAGAGTATCATATGCTACGAACAGCGGCCATCAAGATTGTCCGTCACCTGGGAGTCGTTGGAGAATGCAACGTTCAATACGCACTCCAACCCGACGGCCTCGATTACCGCGTCATTGAAGTCAATGCTCGTCTCTCCCGTTCTTCAGCGCTTGCATCCAAGGCAACCGGCTATCCTCTGGCTTACACAGCTGCAAAGATTGGCCTGGGTCACACTCTCCCGGAGCTTCCCAATGCTGTCACCAAGACAACCACCGCCAATTTCGAGCCGAGCTTGGATTATATCGTGGTCAAGATCCCTCGTTGGGATCTGTCAAAGTTCCAGCACGTAAAGCGGGACATTGGAAGTGCCATGAAATCTGTTGGAGAAGTCATGGCCATTGGTCGCACCTTTGAAGAGTCATTCCAGAAAGCCATCCGGCAGGTCGATCCCCGGTATGTGGGATTCCAAGGCGACAAATTCGACAATCTGGACGACGTTCTTCGCAATCCCACCGACCGAAGGTGGCTGGCTGTTGGACAAGCCATGATTCACGAGAACTACTCGGTGGACAAGATCCACGACCTGACCAAGATTGATAAGTGGTTCCTCCACAAGTTGCAGAACCTCAAGGACACCATGACAGAAATCCAAGAGATCGGCTCTCTTAGCGGCATTAAGCACGAGCTGATGCTCAAAGCGAAGAAGCAAGGCTTTTCTGACAAGCAGATCGCAATGTACGTCAAATCTACTGAAGGAGAAGTCCGAGCTCGTCGACAGAAATTCGGTATTCGACCTTGGGTGAAGAAGATTGATACGCTTGCAGCCGAGTTTCCCGCCGATACCAACTATTTGTACACCACATACAATGCCTCATCTCACGATGTTACTTTCGAAGACAAAGGGACTATCATTCTTGGATCTGGGGTTTACCGGATTGGGTCTTCTGTCGAATTCGATTGGTGCGCCGTTAATGCCACACTGTCTCTTCGCAGTATGGGCCAGAAGACAGTGATGATTAATGTAAGTCAGTATTTTCTTTTGATGTGCCCAACTGGACGCAGCCACCTTGGATAGACAATGGTTGTGCCCCTGCTCTATGGTTGGACACTGGACCTCCGACTGTCATATGTTCTGTCGGGTGCCGCCATGTCCAGCATCTACACGTTCGAAGCATTGAAGGACAAGCTGGAACCAGTCTCTACGATTCCTCCTGACCATTCCGACCGAGCGATATCGTAATAACATGGCTACTGCTGCCGTCGTCGCCGTCGCTGGCGGGTCCTGACCTGGACCATGCCGACCCTTTTTGGACTTGGACTTTCTTTTGTTATCTTTATTTCTTTAACAAAAAATATGAACTGATCGTTTTCTCGTTCCCAGTACAACCCCGAGACCTACAGCACTGATTTCGATACCGCCGATAAACTTTACTTCGAAGAGCTGTCCTACGAACGGGTCATGGATATCTACGAGCTTGAGAGCGCCTCGGGAGTTGTTGTCAGCGTGGGAGGCCAGCTACCACAAAACATCGCGCTGCGGCTACAGGAAGAAGGCAAGGCCCACGTGCTCGGCACAAACCCCGTCGACATCGACAAGGCCGAAGATCGTCATAAGTTCTCGCAGATCTTGGACTCGATTGGCGTGGATCAACCTGCGTGGAAAGAGTTGACCTCTGTGGCCGACGCGGAGGCCTTCGCTGACTCTGTGGGCTATCCTGTCCTCGTCCGACCTTCGTATGTTCTTTCCGGTGCCGCCATGTCCGTCATCTATACGCACGAAGAGCTAAAGGACAAACTGGAATCTGCCTCGGCGGTTTCCCCTGATCACCCCGTCGTGATTACGAAATTCATCGAGGGTGCTCAGGAAATTGACGTTGACGCCGTGGCATCGAAGGGAGAACTGATCCTGCACGCTGTTTCGGAACACGTCGAAGCCGCAGGTGTCCACTCCGGTGATGCCACGCTGGTCCTCCCTCCGGCTAATCTTGACGAGAAAGTAATGGCACGTGTCAAGGAGATCGCGCAGAAAGTCGCCAAAGCTTGGAATATCACTGGGCCTTTCAACATGCAGATCATCAAGGCTGACGCAGGCGGTGAAGAACCTGCGCTCAAAGTCATTGAGTGCAATCTTCGTGCTTCACGGTCGTTCCCCTTTGTCAGCAAAGTGCTTGGGACTAACTTTATTGACGTTGCCACCAAAGCATTGGTGGGTCAGAACGTCCCAGAGCCTCAAGATCTCATGGCTACAAAACGCGACTATCTGGCCACCAAAGTTCCACAATTTTCCTGGACTCGATTGGCGGGTGCTGATCCTTTCTTGGGCGTTGAGATGAGTAGCACAGGTGAGATTGCGTGCTTTGGAAAAGACCTAATCGAGGCGTACTGGGCATCTCTCCAGTCAACCATGAACTTCCGTATGCCTGAAGCTGGCGAGGGCATCCTGCTTGGCGGATCCACCGAGCTTCCCGAGCTTCCCAAGATTGTGGAATATCTCCAGCCGCTGGGTTACAAGTTCTATGCCGCGAGCCAGCAGGTGAAGGAGCATTTGGAGAAGTCCGGTGCATCGATCGAGGTGATTGAGTTCCCGACGACGGACAAGAACGCGCTCCGGAAGGTGTTCCAGAAATACGACATCAAGGGGGTCTTCAACATTGCGAAGTCCCGAGGTAAGACATTGGTGGACGAAGACTATGTGATGAGAAGGAACGCTGTGGACTTTGGTGTCCCTCTGTTCATGGAGCCCAAGGTATGATCACTACCACCATTGCCATTGCAGGACCATGACTAATTCAGACTCTCCCAGACTGCATTACTGTTTGCTCAATGCATGAATGCGAAACTTCCTCGACAGGAAGGAATCCCTCCCGAGGTTAAGAGCTGGAGCGAATTTGCTGGTTCGAAGATGATGTAATAAAGGGGGGTCCAATACATACCACAAAACAGGGGCAAAGGAGCCTCGGTGGGGATTTGACGTGACTGGCAATTGGGATATTTTGGGCAGCAATTGTGAAAGAGCCAAAAAGTCTACAACAGACATCAAAAGTTTTTCTAGACCACACAGGATGGCGGCGATCGGAGGGTATCTTGCATGTCTCGTACCGGTTACGCTTTTAAAGAGGACGAGCAGATTTGGTACCTAGATAGTCTGTCGGAGGGCAAAAGCGGGTGTGCCAGGTGAGCGTGACATAGAGTCCCTAGGTACTGGTTGACGAGCATCCAAGGAGTTTACTTGTGCTGTTGCCTAGCCTCGTCGTTCTCAAGCGAATAGCCGGCCCCTGACTCTTTCCCCTTTTGCTTGGCTTGCAATTCCGCACGCGCAGTAGCAGCAGCGGGCGGAGTCATACTGTGTTTACCAAGTAAGGTTCCCAAACTACCTCGTCCATCCTCATCGTGATCATCGCCCATCAGCATTCCTTCCTTTCCCCCCTTTTGGAGTACGTTTTCTCAAGACTCAATTTTTGTCTGCTGATACGACGGTCGGCGGTGAGGGTGGATGCTGACGGCGCATTCCCCCAAGAACACTACTGTTCCTGTCCTTACAGCTCCCCGTACAAATCGAAGGGAATGCTGCTCAGCCAGGACATGTCGCCGCCCAGATCGAGATTGAGGTCGAAGTCGAGATTGAAGCTGGATGACGACAAATCCGGCACGCCACCGCCACCGCTGCCCCTGTCGTTGCTCAGCATGAACGGTACCGATGCCGGCGCGGTTGTTTTCCCGTGGTCGGGTCCGGCGGTGGTGGTCGTGAAGGAGCTGCTTGATAGCGTTGGCGCGGTGGTACTGATATTGGTATTGGCGCTGCTAATCATGCTACCAGCAGGACGAGTGGCGGGGGGTGTAGTAAGTGTACTTCGATTATGGGTTTGGGGGTGATTGAATGTCGTCCAAGCCTGGGAGCCGCCGTTCGTGATATCGGGATGGACATCGCCACCGTCGGCATTCGGCGGGAGTCTTGACCGTCGCACATTCCCACCACTGTCGCCTGTGTTGCCGCGCCGGGCCTGCACCGAGGGCGTCGTCCTGGTTTGCACTCTGTGCGATGGCTGGTGGCGTGGAGGGATCTGATCAAACAGCAGCGCAATGGCCGCGGCGCAGCGTTTGGCGTGTTTCCCGAAACTGCCGTACCTCTGCAGCGCGGCCGTCGCGGTCCGAGCGGCACTCATGATCACCTCGTCGCCGCCCACCTCGGCCTCGACCGTTGGATTGAGCCGAGCGGCGACAAGGACCGTCGCTGCAGTGTACAGATAGAAGATGCTGTACCACCACGCAGGCAGGAGATCGTCGAGCAGCTCTAGACGGCACTCTGCGTGGATCCTGCCGAACAGGTCGACCGTGTTCAATGCGCTTTGCACGCACATGACCGAGCACTGCAGGGCGAGCTTGCGCGCGAGGGTGTCTTCGCCTCCGCCGACGTGAAGGTCTTCTTGGTCGTCGTTCTGGCTGCTCGTCATGCAGAAGCGGGAAAGGACTGGCCGGAAGAGCAGTGTTCGAATGTGACAGTATCGGAGAAAGAGCACCTTGGCCTGCCGGGCGTGAATCAGGTTCATGCTCTCGGATGACGATTTGGGAGAATGCCGGAGGTGGAAGGGCAGACGGTGTCGCCAGATCCAGTATTTGCTGTCCATCTCCAGCACGGTCCCGGCTGCTTTTGCGCCCAGGCTGCCGCCAAAATAGCGAGTGTAGCTGTCCTCTGCTGGATCGGAAGACTCCTCCGCTGATGTTGTTGGGCTGTAGAGGGCCACGATCGTCTCGCTCATGGTTTCGTACAGCTTGAGAGATTCGATGAAGAAGTGGAGATCGGGGGAAGACGGCTGATACACGTAGTGGTCTGTGTGGCACGAACATTCGCTCGAGTCGGGATGAGGCTGAGGCCTAGGCACCGAAACAGCAGCTTGCGGAGTGATGATTCCGGGACGTCCGAAGGTCATGGACAGCGTTCGGTCCATGAGCACACAGCCGTGCCAGACCTTGCGGAACAACTCATTCGGTTTGCCATTGGAAGTCCGGGTACTGGTGGAGGGTAGATCGAGCCCGAGGCTTTGGGCGATCCTGATGGCCAGGCCCGCGAACAGCCAGCATTGCTGCGGCTCGCTAGTGCTCTGGAGGTACTGGGCGAGGAGCAGGAGGCACTGGACGGTGTGCACGGAGCGGAACTGCAGGAATTCGAGGTTGAAATATACCAATGCGCGTTTGTAAAAGCCCTCGCCGGAATTGACGCGATCTGGCGGGCGGATGGACGAGTCCAAAATGCAGGAGATGGCGAAGATGGCGTTGAGGAGACAGATAAAGCAGACCTCGTCATCCATTGTGGGATTCCCAGTCCAGAGAGTCTGGTACTTGCCCATGAAATCATCCTTGTCAACAAAAGGATAGAGGGGATCGACGATCCTCCAGTATACCTCCAGCAGCCGATCGGCCTGTTGTCTGGGAGGAAGGACATAGTCAGGGTTCTTGAACCGTCTTTGTCGCTGCGAACCGGTTGGTACCGGAGACACCGTTGAGGATGCTTGTTGGGCGGAATCTGGGGTCAGTTGCTGGTCCAGTGCGGCTTTGATGCGGTTCATGAAGCTCGCCGCGCTCGAATCGCCTACGACGCCCGCCTCAGCAGGTTCGCCTTCTTCCATCAGCCCCATCATCGCATTTGCGCCACTGTCATGGTTCCGATCTGACGTCGATTGAGGCGGAGACTGGTGTTCGGCGCCTTCTGGCTGGTTCGATTTTCGTCGGCCTGACCTTTCCAGTTCATCGATCCGGGACTGTAGTCGCATGATCTCCAGTTTGGAGGCCCCGATACTGCGCGTCTTTCTCAACCCCCATTCGCATTGAGCTGCCGCGCCGTATCTTCGCTCGCAAGGCCGGCACAGCGGTTTCCGGCCATCGCACTTGATCTTCTTCTCCCTGCATTGGTCGCACGCTGCAGCTACCTTTTGTCTCTTTGCCGGTCTTTCGTTGCCGGTGATGGTTTCCGATTCATATTCCTGAAATGGTGAAATGGAGGAAAGACCTGAGCTTTCTGCCGACATGTTATAGTCTCGTCTCCGGGCAACTCTCATATATCTAAAAAGATAGCGATATGTTCGTCACATAGTCTCTCTTCATACTGGACTGGTGAGAGGTTGCATCTCCACCAACCGAAACAAAGAAGTTCCGGAACGACGAGGTGGGGATGCGAGGCTGACCAGGGCGGATCAATCGGGGTCCGGAGCAGAGATTATCCGAATCCCAAGAACAAGGCTGGCCTCGAAGGGGTCTGGCGCCTTCCTGTAAGGCTGTACCTCGTAAAAGCGGCACCGTCTACGGCGAACCGCACGTGAGTTCGCGATCTTCAATGACGACGGCGACCAGAATGTTGCCCGCGACCACAATCTTCGTCACCTCCGTTCCGTCAAGTATGAGTGCTGTGGACGACTCGACACGCACTCGCCGGAGGGTCAAGCAGGACGAAAACGATGGCGACGAGAACCAGAAGCATCAAGTCCAGAATGGAGCGGCGACTCCTCCTGCTCCAAATCCGCCGTCCTCACCGTCGACATCCGTAGCCACGCTGCCGTCCATTCTGCAAATCTGGGCTCCGACCCTCATGCTCATATTCGGCGGCTGCTGCTCCAACGTCTACACCCTCGAATCTATCATCCATGCCTCCCCCTCGTCCGGATCTCTCATCACCGCATTCCAATTCCTCCTCGTCGCCCTGTTCACCTTACCCCGACATCTCTCCCCCCGTCGCGGACTGCGAAACCTCTACCTGAAAGAACGAAACATCCCCATCCGAAAATGGGTCGTCTACACCGCTTACTTTTTGAGCATCAACATCCTGAACAACAAGGCGTTCAAATACCGGATCAGTGTCCCCTTGCATATTATACTGAGGAGCGCTGGGCCCGTCACGACCATGCTCGCGGGGAGGATTTGGAAGGGACGTCGGTATCCCGTGCAGAAAATCGTGGCCGTCATGTTACTTTTTGGTGGGGTTGTGTTGGCGGCTTTTGCAGACACGTGGTCTAAGCAGGAGGTCGATATCGGTGCAGCAGCTGTCGAAGAGTTGGATGATGATTACCGTTCGACGACGGCGGAGCACGCTTCTACCACGTCTGCCGTTTCGGTACTCTCGTCTCAAGCCCCCGGCTTCGTGCTTCTTGCGTCCGCACTCATTCTTTCGGCATGTATGGGCCTCTACACCGACGACATGTATGCAACCCACGGTCGGTCTGGGGAGATCACAGCGGAGACGCTCTTCTACAGCCACACCATGTCCTTGCCCTACTTCGTCAGTCAAATCCGACCGCTCTTTTTCGAATTTGTCAATCTCCTAGCCGTTCCAGGCCACGACCTCAGCAACAACAACAACCCGTCATCAAAGACGGAAGCACCAGCACCCATATCTTCATCTTCCTGGCTGCTAGACGCAGCCTCTTTCTCCGCCCTTGTTCCCCGGCCGCTCATCCTGCTCTTGCTCAACGCCGCGACGCAATTACTCTGCATCATCGGCGTCAACCGGCTCTCGGCGCAGTCGTCCTCTCTGACGGTCTCCATCGTCCTCAACATCCGCAAACTCGTCAGTCTGGTCCTGAGCATCTGGCTGTTCGGGAATCAACTCCCTCTGGGCGTGGTCATGGGCGCCGTGATAGTGTTTGTGGGTGGCGGACTGTACGCTTTGCCCGGGCCGAAACGACCTCGCGCGAAGCCAACAGACAAAGAGAAGACGAAGACGAAGACGAAGACACGATGAACCCTCGGCTGTTGCGTACATTAGCGGAAACGAGACGACGAGACGACGTGGAGACGTGTACGATATGGTCATGTATTGGGTAGAACGGGCGTCGTCAACATTGCCGCCCGAGACACTTAGCTCCAGGACCAGAGGAATCCAAGGGTATTAGGTATATATAGAACTAGAAATAGATGTTACCTAATGGAGCATGGGTACGTAAAGCAATCCCTCCCCATCCCTTGTGGACCTGTCCGAACCGACTCCTAATAACATCTCATACTCCCCTTCCCTTCTCTTCTCTTTCTACCCTTATCGGCCCAAGCACCTACACGCAGACATTCATCTCAAGTGGGTGGAGAGAAGAGAGAGAGCAGGGATTGAAATGAACGCAAGCCCGCTTGGGCTACCTAGGTACTGTTTGGGCGCCGACGACGCTTTTTTTTCTCTTCTGCTCTTTGAGTAACCCGCATATACATACATGACATCTTGATCAAAAGCGAGCCATCCATCCAATTTTAGTTGTCCGAATAAGCCAAGGGAGACGGACCCCCTTTTTTTCGCTTTTTCGCTTTTTCGCCTTTCGCATCCTCCCCGAGGTCCTAATCTGCATGAGTTTTTCCAAAAAGTATACACCCCCTTGCATGGCCCGCCGTCGTCATTCTTTGGATCCGCGGAAATTACCTAGATAATCATACCTGCGCCTTGCGGCCCCAACTCCCTTCCCCAAACCGCTGTCCCACGCCAGCCATGTCCTCCATAACCTCATTGAAAGCCTCTGCCACCTTCTCTTTCACTTTGTTTCTGTCCCACTCACTCCTCGTCCTCCAGATCGTGTCCATCAGCACACTGTTCACCTGCTCGAGTTGTTCCACGGACAGACCGCTAGTTTGATCCGTAATCTCGGTGTGCAGATTTTGAAGCGCGTGCTCCTCGACTTGGACCAAATTGGGCCGAGAGGGTGGCGGCGGCGGCGGCGATGTTGGATGTTCTGGGGATGCAGAAGGATTGAGGAGGTCGTCGATGCGGCTGGCATTAGAATGCCGCTGAGACCGCGCCTCGATGGGAGGAGGCATGGTTACGGAATGCTGTGAGCTGGAATCTTGGTTTGCTCCTTGCGATGACGAGGGATGTCCAGCAGCAGCAGGTTGTGATTGCGAGTTTTGCCCTATTGCGGCGTTCAATGTCAGATTCATGCAGAAGCGAACGGAGTGGTATACGATTTGGAAGAAGGCTGTTGCGTGAAAAAAGGAGTGCACGTACCTTGAGTGGATGGAATCTGACTACCCCCAGCAGACCGCCTCTCCTCGAATGGATAGAGATCAGGGCCCGAGTCCTGCTGAATCTCCTGCTGCGTATTATTGGATGATGTCTTCTTGTCGTTCGGTGACTGAGTTGTGCTGGCATCGTTCTGGAATTCCCCTGGATGGCTCCCGTGAGGCATAGGGGTGAAGGCTCCGGTCTGGGACGGCGGCGCTGACATCCCCGATTCTTTCATGAGCTGTTGCGACGGTGCTGTGTATGCGTGCCATGGTCTTGTTTGGGCAGAGGCACGTGCACCAAAAGAGCTCGTCGTGTGTGTCTGCTGCGTCTCGTTGCTCTTGTTGTGAGAAGATGGGTGTGAGTCTGCGCCTCCCATGGGTGTGTCCCCTTCCACATCGACTTCGTGCCCATTTGTGTGGGATCCATTTGTCAACTCTTCTGAATTGTTGTGACTAGGGTGGATGCCGTTCGTAACGATCGACTCGGTTGACTTGGCCTGGTCGGATGTCGGAGCAAGCCGCTGAGCAAAGTCGTTACGACGCTGCATGGGCTCGCCGAGCAGGATGGGGCCAGTGTCATTTGTGGTCGTTGTCCCCGAACCCTGAGCAATATTGGTCACATTAGGAGGCGGAGGCATTTTGGTCTGCTCAGCCTTTTCCAAAGCCTCTCGTTCCCGTTCCAGTTCTCGCTGATAAACACGTTCGCACTCCGCAGTCAGGGCAGGTTCACTGACTTCCAAGGATCCAATATCCACCTCGACATTTGCTAAGAGCTCGTTGGCCTTGAGCAGTCGATCTTCATCGCCAATCGCCTTTGCATCCTTGGCCAAGCGCTTGATGTCAGCCAGAAAGTCTTTCGGTCGCTTGTAGTATCCATTGCTCAAACGCTTCTCAATGGTCACAGAGTCCAGGTTGTAATAGAAGTTTCCATTTGCCTGATCAATCAAGCCCGGCACACCGTGGGCGTCCTTCCCAATCTCGAACGGTCGGTATGAAGCTCTGGCCAGAATTTCAGTGTGCAGATCAGATGTCACAGTACCTGGATCAGCTTCGTCGTAGAGGTAGCGAATGTGGCTTTCATCAATCACGCCCGTTCTGAACTTCTTGTACTTTGTCCTGATTTGATCCATTATAGGCTGCAGTCGAATCTTGAGCATGTTCAGAGTTTGACGATCACGCTTCTTTTGTGCCTTGAGCTCCTCCTTGCTCAATGCATTCTTCGGCTTCTCCGGTTCAGGCGGTGCCACGGCAAGCTTCTCCAATTCACGTTTCTTTCGATGCTCCGGATCTGGAAAATCATCTGGTGCCGTGATAATGTACTCCTTGATGCTGCGGAAGAATTCGGACCTTTCTGCATGATTGGGCTCCCTCAGCTGGAACTGGTTCTTCTTCGAATATCCGAAGAATTCGCGGCGCATGCTGTCCTCCATGTCGTCGTACTCGCCCTCTGCAAACCCAAGTAGCAAAACAGGGTCAGTCGGTTTGATGGATCTCAAAAGGCCCACAAAAGTAGAGATCACGGTCTGACCAACTGTGTTGTACCATTCCTGCACATTGGGGATGTAGATGACGCTCGGCTTGTGCATTTTGATTTCGGAAAACAGCCTGATGACCGTGGCCTCGGGTGAACTCGCCGTGTCACTGAATAATGTTGGGACATCAAAGGCCTGGACGTGGAGACCTTCAAAGTGATTGAGGAGAGCAGAAGCGACATATTGTTGCCCCATGCCCATCTTGCCATGTATCAGCAGCCTAGGACGAAAGACTCTGGTAGTCTCGAATGTTTGTTGCATTCTTTCCCGACCAAAACTGTGACCGTCGGCAGCGTCTTCAAATTGAGCTTCTTCCAGAGCTGTGAGTCTCTTCCGTTGCGGAAGTATCTCTGCTAGAAGCTGGCTGATCTGGTCCAGTTGGTAACGCAGCAGAGGCGCCACACTAGGCGGTAGGGGAGCTGCGCCGGACGACGCCGATCGCTCCGACGAAGGTGTCATCTTTTTGACAGAAATCATAAAGTCCTTGGGTGTGACTTCGATCTTTCTGGGGTCAATGGCGAGCTTCTCGTTCGAGCTGTAAATCTGAGGGTAATGGCGCTGCACCGCATTGAGCGCAGCTTCCGTGCACAGAGCACGCAAGTCCGCACCACCATACCCCTTGGTCAATTCTGCCAACTCATCCTTGATAGCTTCGGGCAAAGGGGGATCCCAGCCCTTCGTGTGAATGTCGATGATGGCCCTTCTGGCTTCAGTGCCTGGCAAGGGGAAGTAGAACTCGCGGTCAAATCTACCAGGTCTTCGTAATGCCGGATCAATGGAATCAGGCCGATTGGTAGCACCGATAACAATAACCTGGCCTCGCCCATCCATCCCGTCCATGAGCGCCAACAGCGTAGAAACAATGGAGGCATGAATCTGTTCCTGTTTGCTCGACCGTACAGGAGCTAGACCATCGATCTCATCAAAAAATATGATGCTAGGCTGATTCTTCCTGGCTTCTTCAAAGAGTAGCCGCAATTGTCTTTCAGCTTCGCCAACCCACTTGCTCAGGGCATCGGCACCTTTGCGCATGTAGAACGTGACCTTCTTGCCTTGAGAACTGACACTGGTAGCCAATGCTCGCGCGAGAAGCGTCTTACCTGTCCCGGGCGGGCCGTGAAACAGAACCCCACGGGGAGGAGTAATCTTGAATCGCATGAAAATCTCCGGGTAAAGTAAAGGCAGAGCAACCATCTCTTTCAGCTGATCGATATGCCCTTGTAAACCACCCACATTGTCGAAAGTCACGTTTTGGTCGACTCCGAGCGGATCAGCGTCTGCCAGCGCCTGCTTGTCCTTAATCTTGCCGAGATTCGCTGGGGTGCCAGCTGCAGCTTGGGCCGCATCTGTATTCAGTGTTTGAGGGAAGAGATTGAAGCCTCCAGCAGTCGTTGGAGTCATTCCTACTGTACCGCCCAACGGCTTGGGTTGTTTCATCGTTTCATCATCACTGCTGTCGGAATCAACGCCACCTTGAGCCCTTTGAGGGCCTCCTCCTAGCACAGGTGGCAGACCGCCGCCACCACCAAATGGACCGTAAGTGTTGAAAAGACTCCGGCTCCAACCGCCACCGCCGGTCTTTCGAGCCCGTGCAGAAGGAGACGGGGCAGCTTCTTCCTCCTCCTCGAGGGGCGCGAGATTCCTCAGGAGGTCATAGTTTGGTTTCTTCCCGCCTCGTCGACCGCGAGGCTCAAAGACGATCTCTTCCTCTCTAGGGCGTCTTGGCTTCCTGCCGTCGCGCTTCAGCTCTGCGACCTCTGCAGCCAGATCCTCGTCGCTCACTTCGGAACGTTGGCGAGATACTGCTTGACTGCGGAGGCGTCGAGATCTGCGACCTTGGTTTTCGCTCTCGTAATCGTCATCGTCGCCATTCTTTTTGCGAGGGGATGCATTGGACTCGCTGGAGCTCGAAAGGTCGTCTTGATTGGCGGTCTCATCCTCAGGATGGAAATCACTGCTCTCGTCCGGGGCTTTTCGCCGACGACTGCCCGATGCTCCTGATTTGGCTTCACCTCTCAGGGTCCGCCCACGCAGTCGCTTGGGCGAGTTCTGTGGTTGAAACTCAGGCGAGTCGACTTTTCTTTTCGAAGAGCCACGGGTCAGCCTGCCCCGTGCTGGTCTCACTTCGTCCTCATCCTCGTCCTCATCATCATCATCTTCTTCTTCTTCTTCGTCTGCTTTCTCAACTTCCACTGCTACCTCTTCCTGCGTGGCGGCGGGTTCGGGATTGAAGTCGCCATCGCTCTCGACACCTTCAGCTTCCGCCATAGCCACAAGATCCGAAACAATGCGTGGCAGTGCTTCCTCTGCATGTTCTTCCATGGTTTGAGGATCACTTTCCAAAACCTCATGCTGTGATGCCTGTATTTCAAGTTCTTCTTCGACTTCCTCTTCCTTGGGCTGGGACTGTGACTCTTCATTAATCGTACTTTTCGAGGGGTATTTCAGGCCCTTTCCACCCTTCATTGCTCTTGCAGGAATGCCTTCAGGATCCCGGGAACCTTCGCGCACGACCTCGACGTGGTTGCCCGAATCGGTCAATTTCACCAGAGACTCTTCGGGGTCGTGAGAAAGACGACTGCTCTTTCGCGTGAATGTAGGATGGGGTGCGGATGAGGTGGTGGGTTGGTTGACGCTGTGACTTCCGCTCCTATTTCGCAAAGATCTCGTGGGACGAGCAGGGGTGGTCTTGAGGACGACGATCAACTTTTTGGGCGGAGGTGTTTTGGCTTGGCGACGTGGACGGTCTTCTTCTGAGGAATTGGCAAGTTCATCTTCCTCTTCCTCCGAACTTTCTTCGTATTTGTTCACGGCTTGTTTGGCAGCTCTCCGAACAGGTCGGCCTATCGCGTTTGTCTCAATGTCATCATCGTCCTCCTCATCAGAAAATGAATCTTCCTCATCCGACACGACCTCGTCCGAGTCACTGTCGACATCGGAGCCGTTGTATCCTCTTCTTCGCTTCTTGCGGACGGGAGCGCCTCGCCGCCGAGACTTGGCAGACCGAGACTTCGAGGGCCCGGCTGCCCGATCATCATAGTCTTCATCATCCGAGTCCTCGTAATTGACGACTTCTTCGAGAGACCTCTTGCTGCCGCGACCTGCAGGCATGGTAGCGGTTCACTTGCAGAGGCACTTGGATGGAGTTGGTTGGGTTGGGCGGCGGAATCGCTCAGGAGGCTATGTTTCGGCGATAACTGCAGCCCAAAAGCATGCCCCAGACTGACTCGAATAATTTCACCTTGTTAAGAATCGAACGGGACAGGATCGAGGGCGTTTGAATTAGGGATGGTGAATGACTCTGCAATGAGCGACCACAGCGCGTCTGTCAGCAGAGCGGGTCGTTGTCGCAATCCAATGGAGGAATCGAAGGGGAGACAGGGCGAAAGGGTATCACAGTGACTCCCAGGTCATGGCTGCGATGGCAGAGGATGCATATTCGACTGCCAGGACTGTGAGTCGATGATATTTTGATGGATGGTGGGAGTCCAAACCTTTCACCTCCGACTTTGGGGGGTTGCGCAGTTCGCCAGACTCCAGAGGCGCAAGGCGTGTTTGGGGCTAGCGCAGGCCAAAGCTGAGAGCCACTCACCGCGCCAAGCCCGCCAAGCCCTCCACTTTTTAGGGCTGCAGCCAATAGCAGTGGCCGATGCTGCTAACACCAACAGGTAGAAGATCTCGTCGCGAGCAGCACGCTTGAAGCATCAAATATCAACATGTCTCGACCACCGACTTGTCGGGCCCGGGGAGCCTCGAAAATGTGCGGAGCTGGTACCGGAGACCTATGCGACACTGCCCATAGGGTTTTCCCCAGCCCTCGGGACCGCCCTCGGCCGTATCACACCGAGAAGAAATTGTAGGAACATTTTGTTCAGCCCAAGCCGCAGCTGCAAAGATCGACGTCAGATCTCGGTTGTGCCTCGCCAGAACCTCCCTGCCGGTTGCATTGGCGCCCACCCCCGGACAACGTACTTTTGTACGTCACGTGATGGGTCAATATTCTCCAGGCTCTCTCAACCTCACTTGCTTTCCAAGGTTTGTTTTATTGTTGATAGTCCAAGTGCTCGAGTACGCTTGCTAATGCTAGTTCATTCTAATGATACATGTCGGTCCAGTGTCATTTTGTCATCTCGGCAGGGGACTGCACCAAGCCATCTTCACCCTCAGCGTCATCTGTCGTCACAGCATCATCCTCTCCTTCCGTGACCCCATCGTCATGCCATAGCACGGAAGCCTGTCGTGTGAGTTCCTCGAGCATGCTGCTTTGCCGCCGCCCTGGTGAAAGCATAGGTTTCAGGTGTCTCTCTTCCGTAGACGACGTGTTGTCATCGGTGCCCGGTCGCCTTCTGGCGCGTAGGAGAGCCTCTTGCGCCTGTTGCTCGAGAACAGGGTTTGGAGCACGCACGCCGTCATCAATCGGTCCTCCCATTCGCAGGCCCTCCAAGATGACCCTTTCAACCTTCAGGCGATTGGAGATAAAACGAATCTTCGGCCAGCAGCTGCGCTGACCGACAATGAGCATTCGATCCAGTCGCTGGGGGCTAGGGTCGCTGAGGATGTTCCAGAAATCGCTGGCCACCGTCTTGGGCCAGATGGTCACCGTGCCTGAAAATCGTTGTAGCCAAATCTCACTCCAATCCTGGCCCATCGGCCGGGGCAGCAATTCAAGATGCCGCAATATCTTGAGATATTTTTGCAGATCGAGCTTGACTGAGGTCTCAATAGTAGAGCCAAGGAATCCTCCACGCCAGCCTCGACCCTTCCGATGTGTCACTGGCCCACCTGGCGAGCCTCGAGGTGAGAAGAAGAACAAATTGATGTGCGGGTTGACCTGAGAAACAACGGAGAAATTGACGTTGAAGTGGATGTTGAGCGCTTTCAAGGGAATATCTGTACGCAAACTTCCATCTTTCCATTTATTGCCAAACGAGTACGGGACTAGTGTGCCGTCGTTCGTCTTCCGCATGAGCACGATCGGGTTGAGGATGCCAGGAACAGCCGCAGAGGCAAGCACCGCTGACCATATGACGCAGTCGGGGCTCGTGATGTGGTTGTTCAAAATCGTCGGGGAATGTGGATCAGAGGGTACACATGAGACGTTGAGGATGCGGCCGGTTCTCTGGTATGCTTCTCGAAAAGTCAAGGAGCCCCGGCAAAACCAGCTACATTGCAATGCCCAGTCCAGAGAGTCAAATCTTGCACCAGTACGCCACCATCTGCGAATCCACGTCGTAAACCCCTCATGACAGGCTCTGATGCGGTGTGCCAGTGCCGGTACCAGGAGTTTCTTTAACTCCTCGTCCGTTCTGGTGGCTACTAATGCCGCAACCAGAGCGCCGCCAGACGTACCGGTGATAATCTCAGGAAGCTGACCAGTATCGAGCAGGGCTTTGATGACCCCGAAATGGTAATACGCAAAAGTCGCTCCTCCAGAAAGGCAGAGTGCCGTGCGCCCATAGTTCAACTCGAGATGCCGGAAGAAGGACACCTTTTCGTGATCGGTAATGTGTTTATTCTCAAGAACAAATTGGAGGCTTTGCTCAACTTGATCGACGAACGTTTGGACCAGATCCTTCGTGCCAATATACGTCTCACTGTATAGATGTGGATTCTCCACGCCAACGAAATTGTTCTTGACGCAACTTTCGAGTAATGACTTCAACTCATCCAAAGCCATGAGACCACCATTACCACCACGGACTCTTTCGGACTCGGCTATAGCCCGTTGATGGAGCTCGGACAGTTGGGCCGTGACCTTTCTCACCGTTTGGTGGTTGTAATAGGAGTACGGGTCGGAGCGCTTCCACTCCTCATTCCCCAGAAACTGGTCGAGGCGGTGGGCAGCTTCTTGCCATTCGTTGTAATTGGTGGCTCGATGAAGCTGTCTGCGCAGTCTCTCGCGTTCCCCTGTCCATGAAAACACGTGCTCGTAGGCATAGATGTAGAGGCGGGTCAAGTTGTAAATGATGAAGAGAAACACTATCCAACCACAGACAATGAGCAACAGCGGATAGTACAGGATTGTATAAACAAAGCCTTCGCGAGTTTCATCCTTGGACCGTGGCGCCGCTTTTCGTCGGACTCGACTTCTTTTCACACGCTGCCGTACTGGACCCCAGTCATTCAGAGCCGTCACAGGCTCGGTACTGGGGGCAGTCAGGGCTTCTGCAAAACTCTTTAGATCTTCGCGTCGGATGAAGTCGGTATCGTAATCCGGTAGCTCGTGGGGATCATAAGTGCCAGCAGAAGTCAGCGTTGACGCGACGGCATGCGTCGGTTTCGAGTTGGACGTCATCGTTCTGACATTATCCGTTCAACGAACCTAGCGCGAGTCCATTGCAGAGAATCACGTAGACTTAACTGTTCCATGGAAGAGAGAAGGTCGAGAATGAAATAAGGGAGGGCGAAACGGCGGAGAGGTATGTAAGGTGGTCCCACTATGATGATGATGTCCGAGTCTGCTGCTTTCAAGTTTGTTGGGGTCACCGGCGTCGGGGTCGGGGTCGAGGCGCTCGGATATAGCTTGGCAATGCGCCACTTCACCGGGTGGCTGCCAAGAAAGCGCCACAGGTGCCAACGATGCTCCTACCAGTAGAGAAATACTCAGGTACCTCCTCTTGGTCCATTCATCTGAGGTCTGGCTTTCTGGGAATGCTACTAGAGTACCCGCATCCTGAACATGGAAGCAGTTTTGAGAGAAATATGATGGTTTAGCCGTGGCTGGATCTAATCTATTCCAGTGTCGCCCTAGCTTTCTTTTCTCGTTCTTGATGCAAGAGATCCTCCAGAAAATCTAACCTTGCCTCATACTGCTGGATTTGCATCGAATGCGCATGGCTCTGCATAAAATCTCTATGACTGCCCCATCCTTCTAAAATCTGTTTGGTTCGAGACAGAAACTGGGGCAAGCAGGCCCGGAACATCTGGGCTACACCTCCAATTGTGAGTAATATAAACTGCACAAATTACGCCTTGGACATGACTTACGTCGAAGTGAAAAAATCCGGACAGTTCGCAACAGGATTTCGAGGACATCTGCATAAACCATCCCAAGGCGTCCTTGCATATGAGGGTTGCGGCCGAAAAGGGCCTGATACTGCAGCAAACAAGTGAGTTGCTCTCCTATCTGCTTGTAGGCGTCAATGACATCAACCAGAGCCGCAAAATCAGATTTGAAGCGCCATTCTTGCAAAACGAACTTCAGTGGTCCCCAGATAAAAGAGCGGGCGTGGGGATCAGTTTGAGCCATCTCGAGCATTTTGCCAAACTGATCCATAGCTTTCAGAGATACCTCTAATCCAGCGAGACTCGTCTGAGTCGTCTCCAATTCCCAGCCTTTCCCGTCGGCTAGTATGCCTCGGATATGTGGAATTTGATGCTGAACGTCTTCGAAGGTTGCAAACCGGAAGATGTCTTCTTCCTCATGGGTCAGTCGTTGTCTGAAATCCGTCAAACTAGCGTAAACGCTGTTCTGAAGAGTGGACCAGTCATTGGTGCCACCGGAATGTAGAGAATAACTTCTCACACCAGTTAGCAGCTGACCGTGTGCGAGCAGTGCGAGACTTGCCGAGCTTGGTAAGACCTTCTTGATATCGATGATCAGCTGTGTCAACGCAGTATTCTACAGACTTACGAATGGTCGCTCTCTATCATTAGGGGCCTCGGTGTCCCTGGTAATTCGACACGAGGCTCTCCTTGACAACGAGCTTCAAGCTCATCCAGACCGGTATCGGGAGCGGCCCTATCATCCTCAGGACTCTTACGAATCGTGGATGACGCCGCTTCGTTAGACTGGGTGAACAGCGCAGTGCTATTTGTCTCGCGCTTGCGCTGCGAAGATTTGTCGATCTTCTTCCGCAGACGTGTGAACGCGTTCTCTCTCCCTTCTCCGTAGATCAGCGGCATATAGACATCGAAGATACCCAGGAGAGAGTATGCCATGTCCTCCTGACGCTTCGTATTGCGACGGCTTACCCACGATAGTCGTTCCTGGACTGCGAAGTCCTTTAGCGGTTTTCCCCGAAGAGCCGCAACAGGAATGTGTGTTATCTCGTGAATCTGCTGTTCTAGCGATCGCTTGGTACCGAGGTGGACGCCCTCTCGAGAAAAGAAATCGACTGACGTTGGGGCAAGAAGTTCTTGTAGCGTCCAGCCTCGACGAAACCATCTGCTGCCACGAAAAGCCACTTCCATAGCTGACAAGAAACACGCGCTTGTGGAATCCGCATGTGTGGAAACGTCAGACAAGTATACGTAACATGCAGCCGCATTTTGGTACCAACGAAACATTGAATTGACCGCCTCCGTCTGCTCAGCACTGCTTGATTTGTCAATGCAACAGGTGTCCACCCAGACATATTGTATATCTTCCCCAGCAGCTTGCTTTCCGCAGAACTCTATCTTCTTATAGCCTGCTTTGTTCGTACCCGTGCCTTCCATGAGGTCTTTAAAAGTGACTTCCTCGCCGTCCGCACCCCAAGTATGCGAAAGTATGGCATAGCGAGGGATATTTTCATCATTCAGCTCCACGAGACGAAAGCTCCCGGGCTCCCGACATGATATGAGGCGCATTGCTGTGTAAGCTTCCCGTAACCTAAGAAGGGGGGTGGGTCAGAGAGCAGCGGTGCTTTGGTTCGGAATCGCAATCTGGGCGTATGAGAGGACTATCGGGAACACCGCAGACAAGGACGGGAACCACATTCAGTTCCTGATCTTGAGAATGCTATCGCTGATGTGGTATGTGCCATCAATGAGGCTCGTTGCAGTGGAGTCCGTGGCGCGGTGCTTCGAATCAACAATCTACCGCACCAGCGTGTGGTATCAGTCCATAGTTCCTGGACTGACAATGACCTTATTAGTGCAGAATGGAGAGATGAATCATTAGTCTTCATCCCTCTTGAAATAGTATGTCATGCAGTGTATTGAGATGGGCGGGCTACTGAGCCGGCAAGAAAAAGGAGCCTCGCTTGCCTCAGCCTTGCGGCAGCCTAGGCACAGGGGCAGCTGGAGGTTGTTTCCGCCCGCGGACTCAGCCTCACTACCTAGGTCGCCTTTGGACGCGGGGTCAATGTGACAACCACGTAACAAGCAAAGGTGTTCGACTTGCTAATCAGCTTAAGCAGCTTGACAGGAAGAGTCAACCTCTATATACTTAGTTTTTGATGGCTTTAGAAGTAACAGGTGGATTTTCCGCTCAAGACACCTCATAAATGTCTATTAATTGGACATCACTCGATACCTTGTGGTGCATCTGGGCGAAAGTCCGGAGGCAGCAGCAAAATTATGGCCAAACGTAGAGCTGACTGCGTTGTACTGGTTGTACTGGAAATCATTTCGATGAAACTGAATAACAGTCTAGAAAAGTGCCTTGAGGAAGCATATTCGTACCTTGGAATGTGCTCTGACTGGTCGATCCCTCGGGATGAGCGGTTAAAGCATCGAGGCTCTACAACCTCGTAGGTAGATATATACGGAGTACCCTAGACCGAGTTCCGTGGCGCAGGGTATGCTTCACCATGCCAGAACAGATCTTCGTACCCACAGCACGTATCCAATCTCCCCACGCGTTCATAACGCGTTCACCTGGTCTCACCGCTCTTCCACCCCTCCTCCCGTCCGCTGCAGGCGGCATTGAGAGGGAAACCCGCCTCTAAATCTAACCTCCGGGAAGTAAAAGAGAGAGTGAATAGGATTTTGATCAACAAATTTCGTGTCAGATGATGAGCATCACCTTCAGCGGCGAACTCGAGCTTGCCAGCGTTGCACGTTTAAATCTTCACCTTCTCGCGAATTGCCAATGGGTTATCGTCGGGAATTGACATCATAGTCCCCCTCCCTTACCCCTCCATTGGAAGATTGGACCCATAGAGCAGGCGGGCCAGCATCGAAATGCTAACGGAGTCCTCCACAAATCTTCCGTGGCGGTTGGCCATACAACTCGCCCTCTACACCTATTGCTGCACAGTTTTCAAGGAATGGGGAGGGAGATCTCCGTATTGTCTTGCCATATGACCTCGGGGATATCAAGGCCCATTTTGTGCCGACCGGAACCGAAAGTGGGCTCCAGCAACTTCAAAAGATCGTCGAGCATCATCCGAGAGCACAACGAGCATTTGTGAAAAGCGAAAGGAAAAAAGACACCCTGCGGTCGAACTCTAGGCGGTCCTCTGACGCTGTGGGGGTTAGTGCCAACTCGAGAGCACTTGTAGCCTCGAAGAGATTGGGAGTGATGCACGATGTCGTGGGCATGCAACCTGAATCCACCAGAGCTCTGCCGCTAACATAGTCCCAATGCAACTAATGTTCTTTGCCTAGGCGACCTCGGTGCGTTCTTGCACTGGACTTCTGCCGGTATGTTGCAATCAGGCAAGATAGTCTCAGAATTCCATCATTCCTGACTGTGTCGCTCTTGGGAGCATTTGTTGTCATTGTCTGAGAAAATTCCTGTCTCGACAGTCTGCACTGTTGGCAATGCCATTCAACTCATCTCACCGTTGTTTGCGAGCCGGATTGATTGTTCTGCAAGAATGCCAGTAGAGTTTCTCTAGTGAACGAGAAAAAATTTCCCCTCTTTTCTTTTTTCTATTTCTTTTTTGGCTCTGTCGGTGCTGTTACGGCTGGAAGAGAAGATCAAGCATGTGAAAATCATTGCTCCAGCCTGGGGGGCAGAAGTGCCATTGGTTGCTTGCTTCAAATCACTCACAGACTGTCGTGCTTAGCAGGAAATAATAGCGAGCTAATAGGCACTTGAACCAAGTGGTGGGCTAGGTAGTCAAGGACTGGAGGGCGCCAGCCAAGCTGAGCCTGGCGTCGATTCGGTATCGATGGAGGCGAAAGAGTCTGGAGCCAGGCTTCATTCTTGGCTTGTTAGAAGCTCTCGGCAGCCGGACTCCGACCTCAGGAAGTGATATACATACAAGGAGAAAGAAATCTTGCGTCCTGGAGCACCCTTTGGTGGACCAATGGTGTGACAACTCCAATGGCTGCGATCTTCCCGTGACACAGCATAATTTGTTTGATGCTGTATGCTCTCGGTTGACCGCACTACATCCCACACTTGGCTCCCCAAGTGGCGGGAAGGCAAGACACCAGCCCTCAGTAAGCGATTCGCGGCGAAAGCACGGGCACTACTCGCCCCAGAGAATGGCTCTAAAGCAGATCTCCCTACCATGCAAGAATTGGTTAGAGAGCACCCCTCCCCCCAGAACTCGCTAGGAAAAGAAGCCTGGAATTGTTCTCTCTAGGAGACAGATTTCTGGGGTTTCTGGACGTAGAATAGGATGCTGAACTGCGGTTTGTTTGCTGAGACTGCATCGATTCGATTCAAGCACCCTGATCCGTTGGGAAAATGGTGGTTGGCGTCGAGGCCACCACTTTCTCAGCATCGGTCATGAGGTCCTCCGAAGCTGCAGCTGATTTACACGCTAGCAATGTGACCACGGACCAATGCGCCTTAGAATTGCAGCGAAAAGGGAACATTCTTGCCTAGCGGGCCTCTTACCACCCTCAGATCCTGTCAATGGCGAACTTGTGGTGAGTGAAAAACATTCCCGCTCGAGCTCGTGCAGCATTCTGTGTCACACGGCTCATGCATCAGCATTGGTCAATCGGTCGAGACCGCGACAGGGCACAGCCTGGAGTCTGTCGCGGTAGAGTAGCGGTCAAAAGCCTGGCCTGTCGTCGACTGAGCACAGATGCAGAGGGACTGGTCATGCAGGCGGGCGTCCGTGATATGTGAATGCCGAAGACAAAGACAGAAGCAGATACGAATGCAAGAGGTTGCCATCGGAATTTCGAAGCCAGAGTTACCACACACTCGTTTCGGTTGGCGTTATCATCATCAGCTCGCACCAGGCCGAACGAATGAGGATTTACAGAGCCTGATCAGGCTACACTGTGGCTGTTTCGAGATATCAGGCCAGTCAAGCAGAAGGAAACATTTCCCAGTGCACTTTGGCCCTTGGTAGTGCCTCGAAGCGCCTAAAAGTAGTGTCTCTCAGCGAGACGACCACGACGACCACTTATTGGGCGTGACCTTCGGATTATGGCGTGGGACTGCTCTTGAGATGCAGAAAACCTGCGGTCGCTTTGACTGCATAACTTGTAGTCTGAGCGCGACGATCAATAAAGTTTAGCCTCGATGATTTGACAGAACCTTTGAGCACCGTTCTCCGTTCGTGTGAGTCGAGTGGCATGAGGGGCACTGTCAGCGGTTGTGTGATTGTGCACCTTGTCCCGCCTGCGATTAGACGACTATCTCAGAATGATGCTGTGGGAAGCAAGCGAGGGCCGAGCCTGTCCGGCCGGCCATCGACGGATCTCATTGCGACGTACAGGACATGGTCTGGCGTCTGGAAGCTGAGAGTTTGTTTTTTATGGATTACGAGGTCAATCACGAGAATGAGGACACTGGAGGGTGTGAAGCTTCGGATTTCGGGCGGGTAAGATGGGTAGGAAGAGGATATCATCGCCGCTCTCGTGATACCCAAGCTGGTAAGGGTGTCCCAGAAGGAGCACAGTTGTGGATAGGGATAAGTCGTCGATATACCCGTCGTGGAAAAGTTATAGACACGTCGCAGGGAGATCAACGTCGATCCTGTTGCCTCAACTGCTCGAATCAGAGGTCTGTCCAGAGCGTGGAGGAATACCTCACCTTCAGACGACAATCTACGGTGTCACCGGGAGTCATCGTAAGTACGTAGTTAGCACTCCGTCATCTGTCCTTGTCGTCTTAGCTTGGTATGCACAGACAATCCAGGGAACCAGTCAGTTGAGCAAGTGGACTATCGTGGGGACGTATCGAGGGTTCGGAGGGAGGGGAGGGGGGCGTGTTTTTGTTATAGAAAGCGTGGCGGAATCCTCTACAACCCACCTAACAGCCCACCAAACAGCCCACCAAGACTTTTGGTGATATGCATCTGATCCCGCTGCCTCTAACTGACCCTGGGTGCCCGGGGCATTATAGTTAGCTTTTGCCCACCACCCCGGCTCCAGTCACCCACCCAGGCCCCTGCATCTGATCTGTTCTAGTTAAAGGTGCCCATTGCGAGTGCCCGCCTGCCCGCCATCCCCTCCACCCTGGCCCAAGGCCAATCTAACTCTGTTGTTACCTTTTGATAGCAAAACTCTGCACGCTCCATCCTCCTCCATTTCCCTCCTGCATCCCGCTCTCGCCATCCTGCGCTCCTCTACACAAACTCTGACAGTTGAACTCAACTTGTCACCGCCATTGTTCAATACACTGGGTTCTTGCACATCACGTCTGGCTGTGGTTGTAGGCTGGTCTTGACCTTTTATTGCGTGCTGGTGCTTTTGTTTTCCATACACACCCTCACATCCCTCTCAGCCTCATTCATCCCACGGCTCACCTCACTGCTGACCCGCGAGGCCATCACTTGCCCGCCTGCAACTGTCACGCAACCACTTGTGCTTACACAACAGTTGGTTGAACGTCCCAATTCACCTTCATATACACAGCGTTCTGCCTCAATTTCTCTCAGGTGCATCGGAGACTTGTCTCACTGGGCAATCACGCGTGAAGAGAGGCACAGGCACATCTGCAATCTTCCTCA